TCTAACTAACCCACTGATGTCACATGGACTACTTTGATGATGTCTTTATTTCCTTTCTGGACAAGGACAGTATACCGTACACACATTTACAATGGAGGGACAGAAAGCTCTCGGACTAGGGGTGGGAGAAAAAATCGATCCATCGATGCATCGCGATTCTCTCTCCAACGATTCCGGATCGATTCTGAGCTTAGTTTTTAACCAGATGTGCGATGACGTTGAGTTTGCTTTAGAAACACCCGTATTCTGCTTGCTTCCAATTCCTCACACACATACACCACTCGAACCTTCCGTAAAATAATCTTTCATAAAGTTCGGAAAGGTTGAAGCGAATTACAAGGACATTCACAGGCTTCATTGCACACGCTGTGAGAGACGCGCGCTTTCTTTGATGTTACACTTGAAGTGTGCTGTCTCGCCCGTCGGTATTTTCCTTACAAATGCTCTACGAAGTCATCATTTATGTGGTTTGGAAGGCAGTGGACTTATATATTTAAAATATGAACCTCACTAACAGAAGGCTGCTTTCAATTTCAAATGCTGACACGCGCTTTTGTTTGTGAGACTGCTCGCGCATGCGGCTGTGCGACTCCGTGTAGTGGTTTAATGTACTTGGGCAAAATTAACGTAAACACAGCCAGTTATGTTTTAAGGGATTAAACCTAAACGGACAGGACACACCGCATTACTTCTTTTACTTCAAAAGAGATGCGTGCGTGAATGCAGATTAATAGATCTCCCGCAGTGACAGTCTATGATGTCATAGTAAAAAACAACAGTAAAGATGAAGAAAAATCACTCACAGTTCTTGAATGGAAAACGTTCAGATAATCTATAGGCTACTGAAAGCACTTTTTGTTTGTTTGCTATATTTTTCTATGCTCCTCTTTATTATTTGTTATATTAGTTTAAAATTCTTAACATACAACTGTTTTAATAAAAACAAATTAATTTGTAATTATTTTAAAAAAAGTACTTAATTACTTATGTAAACTAATGAATTAATAAGGGGTGGGGGGAAAGGTAGATAAAGAATCGTTCTGGAATCGGATCGTGACTCCCAGAATCGGAATCGGATCGGATCGTGAGGTGACCAAAGATTCCCACCCCTATCTCGGACTAAATCTAAAATATCTTAAACTTTGTTCTGAAGATGAACGGAGGTCTGACGGGCTTGGGACGACATGAGGGCGAGTCATTAATGACATCATTTTCATTTTTTGGGTGAACTAACCCTTTAAGGGTGTAATGAAAAATTGATTGTTCTTTCCTAATAAAGGTCTTTCCTTACAGGCACACTCATAATGCGATTATAATGGGATTTTGGCAATAATGTGATTAAACCTCATGAAAACACAATACCTCAATCAAACTGAGATTAAGCTCATAATCACATTAAGATATGTGGTGTACGCTGATTTTAATCGCAATAAACAGGCATGTAAACACCTAAATCGCATTATTACCACAGTGCGCACGAGCTCGGACGTCACGGATGGCGTGTGTTATTCACACCACATCATGAATGAACTCATGAACATTATTCTGTAGTTTTCCCCCTACTCTTATCTTCATCCCGAGGCGGTGTGAAGAACGTGATCAGCGCAGGCTAACCCAGTTACAGCGGCAGTGCTGTGTTCACAGTGCCAAATAATATCCATATATACACTACCAGTCAAAGGTTTTGGATCGGTGAGATTTGTAAGATAATGTTTTTAAAATAAGTCTCTTATGCATATACCAAATTAAGAGTCATGGTGTATTTTAGGCTTTTTTCCTCTGGTTATTATTGGTATTTCAAAGCAATGAAAGACTAAGAAATTCACTCTTACAACCTATTTCAATATAAACACCCTAACGTAAACATTGCCATAATTAATTTAAGAGTAAATCTATTAATGTCGATCTATTAATGTAAATGTGCAGGATTGCGAACGGCTCTGAAAGCGCACAACAGCACCACGTTTGGACTGAACGTGCAGCGCTCACATATTTTTTTATTTATTTTTTTTATTTAATCATAGCCTTTTAGGTGTAATAATCAATTAAATAATTAATTAGGCTGATTCCTGTTTTTCCATCCCCAAAATTTAAGACCTCTTTAAATTATAATTAACAGATTTGTTACACAATTTAAGACTTTTTGCAACCTTAAATATTCATAAAACTTTTTACGAACCCATGGGGATGTTTTTATTAACACATGCTCCTAAATACATTTTACAGTTTGCACACATGTATAGTAAAACGCTCGAGCCCTGATTTTCGTTTAAAAATGATGTATTTCTATTGTCTACTTCTATTGCTATTGTCCATTTAAGCTACTATGTATAGGCAAACCATTTACACTCGGCAAGCACAGTTGTGGCCTCGTGGCTTAGCATCTGTTTCCACGAAAATGACTTTGCGCTGACCCCGGTTAGTAAGAACAGGTCTCTGTCAATGCTCATGCAAGACCTGTGGACAGTGGAGACTTCAGTAATGTTATTACGAGCGTCACCTTCACAGGCTCCAGGGTAGCAGAGAAAGCGTCCTGCAGGGCACAGCATGCTAACCTCCACATCTCCTCCGTGAAGACAGGCCCTGCGCTCACCAGAACATACCTGCCAATCACACACAACACATTATATCCACTGATACTACTGGAGACATAAACTAATAATATACTAAAAACATAATGAACTAATCTAATCATATTTTGCAGCGTAACTTCAAGCCTTCTTCAATGAGTTTTGAATGAGTGATTGTCACACGGTAGAGTGATTTGAGTAGTTTGAAGTTAAGCATCTGATGCTTGGATGGACTTTGTCACTGAGCTTGAAAGGTTTTGTAAGAATAATCATCCTGTCTATCTTTTCGAACATCCTTCGCATTAAGAGAAAGCCAACGTGCTGTGCTGCCTATGTAGACAGTTCAATATGTTTTGGAACACCAACACACACACACACTCATTCGCTCACAAACGCATACACACACACACACACCCCCAAACTCATTCACTCACAAACTCAAACAAACACACACACACACTCACAAACTCAAACACACACTCTCTCTCTCACTCACACACACACACCCAAACTCAAACACACACACAAACTCAAACACACACTCTCTCTCACTCACACACACACACAAACAAACAAACTCATTCACTCACACACACAAACTCATTCACTCAGACACACACACACACACACACACACTCATTCACTCAGACTCACTTGCTCACTCGCTCACTCGCTCACTCACACACAGACTCATTCTCTCACACACACACTCATTCACTCAGACTCACTCGCTCACTCACTCACTCGCTCAGACTCACTCGCTCACTCGCTCACTCAGACTCACTCGCTCACTCACTCACTCGCTCAGACTCACTCGCTCACTCGCTCACTCAGACTCACTCGCTCACTCACTCACTCGCTCACTCAGACTCACTCGCTCACTCACTCACTCGCTCAGACTCACTCGCTCACTCACTCACTCGCTCAGACTCACTCGCTCACTCACTCACTCAGACTCACTCGCTCACTCACTCACTCGCTCACTCAGACTCACTCGCTCAGACTCACTCACTCACTCACTCACTCGCTCAGACTCACTCACTCACTCACTCACTCGCTCAGACTCACTCGCTCACTCACTCACTCGCTCAGACTCACTCGCTCACTCGCTCACTCAGACTCACTCGCTCACTCGCTCACTCAGACTCACTCGCTCACTCGCTCACTCAGACTCACTCGCTCACTCGCTCACTCAGACTCACTCGCTCACTCAGACTCACTCGCTCACTCACTCACTCGCTCACTCAGACTCACTCGCTCACTCACTCACTCGCTCACTCAGACTCACTCGCTCACTCAGACTCACTCGCTCACTCGCTCACTCGCTCACTCGCTCACTCAGACTCACTCGCTCACTCGCTCACTCGCTCACTCGCTCACTCAGACTCACTCGCTCACTCGCTCACTCAGACTCACTCGCTCACTCAGACTCACTCGCTCACTCACTCACTCGCTCACTCAGACTCACTCGCTCACTCAGACTCACTCGCTCACTCGCTCACTCGCTCACTCGCTCACTCAGACTCACTCGCTCACTCGCTCACTCAGACTCACTCGCTCACTCGCTCACTCAGACTCACTCGCTCACTCGCTCACTCAGACTCACTCGCTCACTCGCTCACTCAGACTCACTCGCTCACTCGCTCGCTCAGACTCACTCAGACTCACTCGCTCAGACTCACTCGCTCACTCACTCACTCGCTCACTCAGACTCACTCGCTCAGACTCACTCACTCACTCACTCACTCGCTCAGACTCACTCGCTCACTCACTCACTCGCTCAGACTCACTCGCTCACTCGCTCGCTCAGACTCACTCGCTCACTCGCTCACTCGCTCACTCAGACTCACTCGCTCACTCGCTCACTCAGACTCACTCGCTCACTCAGACTCACTCGCTCACTCACTCACTCGCTCACTCAGACTCACTCGCTCACTCAGACTCACTCGCTCACTCGCTCACTCGCTCACTCAGACTCACTCGCTCACTCGCTCACTCAGACTCACTCGCTCACTCGCTCACTCAGACTCACTCGCTCACTCGCTCACTCAGACTCACTCGCTCACTCGCTCACTCAGACTCACTCGCTCACTCGCTCACTCAGACTCACTCGCTCACTCGCTCGCTCAGACTCACTCAGACTCACTCGCTCACTCGCTCACTCGCTCAGACTCACTCGCTCACTCGCTCGCTCAGACTCACTCGCTCACTCACTCGCTCGCTCACTCGCTCAGACTCACTCGCTCGCTCACTCGCTCACTCGCTCACTCGCTCACTCAGACTCACTCGCTCACTCGCTCAGACTCACTCGCTCACTCGCTCACTCGCTCACTCGCTCACTCAGACTCACTCGCTCACTCGCTCACTCGCTCAGACTCACTCGCTCACTCGCTCACTCGCTCACTCAGACTCACTCGCTCACTCGCTCAGACTCACTCGCTCACTCGCTCACTCGCTCAGACTCACTCGCTCACTCGCTCACTCGCTCACTCGCTCGCTCACTCAGACTCACTCGCTCACTCGCTCAGACTCACTCGCTCACTCGCTCACTCGCTCACTCGGACTCACTCGCTCACTCGGACTCACTCGCTCAGACTCACTCGCTCACTCGCTCACTCGCTCACTCAGACTCACTCACTCACTCACTCACTCACTCACTCACTCACTCACTCACTCACTCACTCACTCACTCACTCACTCACTCACTCACTCACTCACTCACTCACTCACTCACTCACTCACTCACTCACTCACTCACTCACTCACTCACTCACTCACTCTCACTCCCTCACTCACTCACTCACTCACTCACTCACTCACTCACTCGCCCACTCACTCACTCACTCACTCACTCACTCACTCACTCGCCCACTCACTCACTTCTTATGCACACACACACACACACACACACACACACACACACACACACACACACACACACACACCTGATACAGGAGCAGCCCACTCTGGAGATGGTCTCGGCTGGTTCTGCCACACAGGACACCAGCAGTTTGAAGAGATCTTTCAGCATTAGGTTAATCAGATTCTCATAGCCAATATCTACAAAAAAATAAAGTCATACAATTTATAGTTATATACACACATCCCAATTTCACACTTCAAAGTCGTCACCAACTTAAAACTCCTGCACATCTGTATTAAATATCATTGCACATATTGCACACATCAGGTATTAGTAGGCTGAATCTCAAGAAACCTGTCAAGAGCAAACGCCTGTTTTCATTTTATTTCAGTTTATAGAATTAATTCCGCCAATAATTCTCATTACTGCAATGCGAAACAATTCATTTTGTAAATTGTAAACTTTTTGTATATATACAGATAAAATGGTTTTGAGTCAAGATTTTGAGAAAAAGTGAGTGATGGTTTCAAGAAATGTGTTTTAGCAATTCAGAAAAATTATTGTTGTTTAAATAAAAGCACTGTATACAGGACCACATGGAGACGCCAAAAATAAAAACCTAAACCGAACGCCTTGACTGCATAAACCTGCAGAACACGGATCCATTCAGAATTACTAAACTCAGCAACATCCACATGACAGATAAGAACATGATCCTGAATGTGTGTGGAAACGACGTGAATGAACTGAAATGTGTCCAATCAGTGTGTCGAGAGCGCACATACACACTTTGTTTGCGCATCAATATATTAGACTCACGTGGGCTTACTCTTTAGCTTGATTACAATCCGCATCCATCAAAACTATTACTGATTTGAGAGGTTTACCTGAATGTATGAAGCTGTGAATGTGTTCCACCACCAGTTCACAGGACAGTCCGATGGCGTGCTTGAAGTTTGCCGCCGCGATGTCCCAGTACGAGTGCTCGCCGTGACTGCGCTGGAGCCACAGAGACATGACCGGGAGAAGCAGCTGGATGACAGAGAAGATGGCAAACCCCGGCCCTGTGGAGGAGGAGGAGGAGGAGGAAGAGCACACTGGCTACTTCACATGCACAACTTCTGTTTCAATAGGACTGAATTCAATCCGATTGATGAATCCGAACGTAGTGTTTACATGAACGCTAAACACGTGATCGGGTTGATGTGTCACAAGCTTCAAATGCTCACTGCACGAATATACAGAGTTTCCCGCTGTTTGAGCATTATAACCATTCTCACACACTGGTTCTTTATTTGTAAACAGCAGGCTTAAAGGGTTAGTTCACCCAAAGATGAAAATGATGTCATTAATGACTCTCCCTCGTGTCGTCCCAAGCCCGTAAGACCTCCGTTCATCTTCAGGACACAGTTTAAGATATTTTAGATTTAGTCCGAGAGCTTTCTGTCCCTCCATTGTAAATGTGTGTACGGTATACTGTCCTTGTCCAGAAAGGAAATAAAGACATCATCAAAGTAGTCCATGTGACATCAGTGGGTTAGTTAGAGTGTGTTGAAGCATCGAAAATACATTTTGGTCCAAAAATAACAAAAACTAGGACTTTATTCAGCATTGTATTGTCTTCCGGTTCTGTTGTGGATCCGCGTTCAGTGCCGCTGCTGAAAACTCTCGGACTAAATCTAAAATATCTTAAACTGTGTCCTGAAGATGAACGGAGGTCTGACGGGCTTGGAGCGACACGAGGGAGAGTCATTAATGACATCATTTTCATCTTTGGGTGAACTATCCCTTTAATATTGATCCATTTATGGTCAAAAGACAATGAGTACATGTGCCGTGATGATTATATTTATCCCGCAGTAAACACGCAGTCGTCTGTGGATGAGAGTCTGAAACCAGGACTGGTGGGACGTTGTCCTGCTCCACTTCTCAGACGCAGAGAAAGGAGAATTATAGAATGACGGGACACTCATTTATACGACACTTTATTCAAGAGGAAGAACAGCTCGTAACATGCATCATACGCTATTAACGTCATTGCACATGCGCAGTCCTTCAGTTTCGGTTTTCAATCCGATCAAGTGTTTACATGTTCTCTCGATCGGATTAGGAAAGGAAGAAATTTCATTGGGATCGAGCTCAGTTGTAGCCACTGTGGGTTTGTTCTGGATCTGTATCGTGAGTACGGTTGGGTATCGTTTGAATTTTATTATTTCATTATTTTTTATTATTTTATTATTCCTATTTTGATTCATTCTGCTTATCGATTCCTAATTTCAATTACAGTAATGCAAAAAAAAAAAAAAACTTAGATATCATTCACATTTAGTCTTAATGCAAAACATTTAATACAGCTGAATATCATGAACAAAGATCAACCGCTAGAGAACACTTAACACTGCACTTTATAAATAAAATATACATTACAAATATAGTTACAAAAGTTATTCAGTCAAGAAGGAGTGAATTTTCTCTTTGTCTTTTGTTGTTTGATTAGTTTTATTATAGAGACGGCAGCTGCTGTCACTTTAAGGCCGTGTGTCCACCAAAGCGTTTTTTCATGCACCTGCCGTATTTTTTCAATTGTTTTCAATGGGAGCGTCCTGTGTGAAAGGCCCATAACGAGGCGCTGAGCGGTTTTGTCACGCTGAAGCGCTGAGCGCCCGCCGTTTTTTACTCGTCGCCGAGAGTTGAAGAATGTTCAACTTTGGGTAAAACGCAGCGCTCATCACTGTCACTCTTTACCCAACCATCCAATCAGTGGAGGAGGGGCGGGGCTAATACCACACCGACCAACTGTCACAACATTCTTTATGTACAACGACATCAACCGGCAGAGCTAACCGAACAACATGGATGAAAAATGTATTTTTAGTATGAAACAAATTATCTGCGATATCAGTTACAAGTAAACTGTGCTGTGGATATTCTGTATCATAGCAACGAAACGTCTCAACGGAAAAAACGCTTTGGTGGACACATGGCCTTTAATTGTGAGTACTAGTGTTATTCACAGGCGGTTTACCTGGGATCTGGGTGACCTCCCGCAGAAGCTCAAACAGCAGCTCGAGTGTCGGCGGCTGATGCTGTCGAGGACAGTTCGACACGGCTGCAGTCAGCTGCTCCAACAGGAGGATCCACACCTGGATCAGACCTGCACACACACACACACACCTGGATCAGACCTGCACACACACACACCTGGATCAGACCTGCACACACACACACACACACCTGGATCAGACCTGCACACACACACCTGGATCAGACCTGCACACACACACACCTGGATCAGACCTGCACACGCACACACACACACCTGGATCAGACCTGCACACACACACCTGGATCAGACCTGCACACACACACACCTGGATCAGACCTGCACACGCACACACACACACCTGGATCAGACCTGCACACACACACCTGGATCAGACCTGCACACACACACACACACAACACCTGGATCAGACCTGCACACACACACACACACACACACCTGGATCAGACCTGCACACACACACACACACACACACCTGGATCAGACCTGCACACACACACACACAACACCTGGATCAGACCTGCACACACACACACACACACACCTGGATCAGTCCTGCACACACACACCTGGATCAGACCTGCACACACACACACACACCTGGATCAGACCTGCACACACACACACACACACACACACACCTGGATCTGACCTGCACACACACACACACCTGGATCAGACCTGCACACACACACACCTGGATCAGACCTGCACACACACACACACACACACACCTGGATCAGACCTGCACACACACACCTGGATCAGACCTGCACACACACACACACACACACACACACGGATCAGACCTGCACACACACACACACAAACCTGGATCAGACCTGCACACACACACACACACACACCTGGATCAGACCTGCACACACACACACACACACACACACACCTGGATCAGACCTGCACACACACACACACACCTGGATCAGACCTGCACACACACACACACACACACACCTGGATCAGACCTGCACACACACACACACACACACACACACACCTGGATCAGACCTGCACACACACACACACACACCTGGATCAGACCTGCACACACACACACACACCTGGATCAGACCTGCACACACACACACACACAACACCTGGATCAGACCTGCACACACACACACACACACACACACACCTGGATCAGACCTGCACACACACACACACACACACACCTGGATCAGACCTGCACACACACACACACACACCTGGATCAGACCTGCACACACACACACACACACACACACACCTGGATCAGACCTGCACACACACACACACACACACACACACCTGGATCAGACCTGCACACACACACACACACACACACACACACACACACACACCTGGATCAGACCTGCACACACACACACACACACACACACACACACACACACACCTGGATCAGACCTGCACACACACAGACACACACAACACCTGGATCAGACCTGCACACACACACACACACACACCTGGATCAGACCTGCACACTTCACTAGGTGTGTAACGATACCCTCATGCCACGATTTGATACATACCGCGATACTGAACTCACTCCAAGACATATAGTAAAAGGTTAACAAAAAATGTATTGTTGACTAAAATGCTAAATTTAATATTACATTGTGTGTGTAAATTAATAGTCTTGGACTTCGTGCTGGAAACCCAAAGCTGGACAATAGAGACACCAGAATAACAATATTCATGATTCTGAAGCTGAAAACACAGAATTATTTTAGACGAATATGCTTTCTCTGTCACTGACTAGATATATTTATAATAATGTAGGCCACTTTTACTGGTAACAAGACATTTGGCATTATCAGGAACCACAAATATCCCCCCATTGCATTATTATACATTATATATAGTAGTTTAATGTAGTACTGACACTAAAACTCTGTAAACATGAAATTTTTCTCACACAGTCATTTTTATTTTGAGTGAACTATCCACAATATTGTCACAACCCTACCATATACTGCGACTCAACCCGTACCATTTGTGTCATCTTGATATGAATGATACCTCAAAAATGAAATAAATAAATGACCTGTATCGTCGTCAAACTCTGCTAAAACACAGTCCATGCCCTCCTCGCTGCTCACGGATCTCTCCTGCGCTCTCATCGGGAGACTGGCCAGACGCGCACCCAAGAAAACCGGCTTGGTTGGCATCTTATAGATCCTGGCGAGCAGCTGCAAAACAACAATCCATAAAAAACACCAAACTACATGTTATTCTTTTTGAATGCAAAAATCTCTCTTTGACCCAAATCCACAATACAAAAAGGTTTGAAAGTGTGTACATGGTTTATGGTCCATGGTTCGCTTGTTGTTTGTTTGCTATTTGTTTGTTATTTGTATTACATTGTGAAGCGACCTTGGGTTCTTGAAAGGCGCTATATAAAATAAACATATTATTATTATTATGGACAGAAATGCGTTCATCTTTCCCACCTGTGAGCATTTCCTCAGATAGTCCAGGGCGGGCAGGCACAGGTCTGTGGAGCTGTATCCACTGGCATGAACACAGTCGCCGATCTCCTTATAGTCCACTTCTCCTACGGATAACACACAGCACGTCTCATTCACTGTGTGGTACGGAAGCTTGTTACCGCCACAGAATAACATAATAATACAAGTAGTGAAGAGATAGTTGTGAACGAGTTGTGAACGTAATAATATACAAAGATAATTGCGACTTTTTGTCTCACAACTGCGAGTTTATACACTGTAAAAAAACTTAACTCATTATTTTGTGTTATCTTTTTGCATGGGTTTTTTTTAGTTTAACTAACTTATTTCGATAAGTTGAGGACAAGAAAACTTAAAATTTCTTGTTGTCTGGACAATCTAGTTATCTCTACACAAAAAAATAATTTGAAATAACTAAATTGCTAAAATATTTTTTACATTGTATCTCGCAATTCTGACAACTCGAAAAATTAGAATATGGTGCAAAAGTTCATTTATTTCAGTAATTCAACTTAAAAGGTGAAACTAATACATTATATAGACTCATTACATGCAAAGTGAGATATTCCAAGCTTTTATTTGTTATAATTGTGATGATTATGGCTTACAGCTTATGAAAACCTTTTCACAATATTCTAATTTTGAATTTGGGGTTTTCATATCTGTAAGCCATAATCATCAAAATTATAACAAATAAAAGCTTGGAATATCGTCTCAGGTTACGTATGTAACCCTGGTTCCCTGAGAGGGAACGAGACGCTGCGTTTGAGACGCGGTGGGAACGCTCTGCGTGATTGCGTCATGAAGCACGTGTAAAATCAGTCCAATGGAAGCCCGATACGTCATGGGTGACGTCATAGACCAGGAAACTATAAATCACCCTTGAAAACAGACCGCGACAGCTTCGGAAAAAGTCTGAAGCAAGTCGATCAGGGCATGCAGGAAGTATGGCAGGCAAACGCAGCGTCTCGTTCCCTCTCAGGGAACCAGGGTTACATACGTAACCTGAGACGTTCCCTTTCAAGGGAACTTCGAGCTGCGTTTGAGACGCGGTGGGAACCCCATACCCACTACGCCATAGTGACAAATGCCCGTTCTGTGTGAAGTCCTTGCGCACACTAAGAAGCAAGCAACCTCGCCCCAGGAGTGGAGAGGTCAAGGTCATAAAACCTGACAAATGTATGTGGAGAGGACCAACCTGCCGCATTACAAATGTCAAGAAGGGAAACACCCGAAATTAAGGCCGTAGAGGCCGCCATACTCCTTGTAGAATGGGCCCGTACAGCCATAGGTGAAGGCTGACCGGCCGCTTCATAAGCCAATGATATAGCCTCAACTATCCATTTGCTCATAACCTGTTTAGATGCAGGGCACCCTCTTCTGAGTGACCCAAAACATACAAATAACTGCTCTGACTTACGCCACAGGGCAGCTCTGTGAACGTAGGCATCCAATGCCCAAACTGGACATAACAGGTTCAGTTGTTCCTGATCTGGGGTATTAAAAGGTGGAGGATAAAAGGCCTGCAACACTAATGGGCCCCTAACATTAACTGGGACCTTAGGAATATAACCCGGTCTAGGGTATAGAAATGCTTTCACCATACCAGGTGCAAATTCCAGACATGACGGAGCAACCGACAGGGCATGCAAATCTCCAATTCTCTTGATAGATGAAATAGCAAGGAGAAATAAAGCTTTCAAAGTGAGGAATTTTTCTGAAACCTCTTCAATAGGCTCGAAGGGAGCCAGAGCCAGACCCTCAAGTACAATGGCTAAATCCCAAGCCGGTGCTCTAGAGTGCAGTGCAGGTCTCAACCTCAATGTACCACGGAGAAAACGAGTAATCAGAGGATCTCTCCCAAAAGAAGTACCCCCCAGAGGGGTATGATAGGCCGAAATAGCCGCCACATAAACTTTTAAGGTGGAAGGAGATAATCCAGCAGAGAAACGGTCTTGCAGAAAATCGAGAACTGAACCAACAGGGCAGTTAACAGGATCTAACTGACGCTCACCACACCAGGTGGAGAATAATTTCCATTTCAGTGCATACAGTCTTCTCGTGGAAGGAGCTCTGGAATGGAGAATGTCTCAACGACCTCAGTCGAGAGACTGGATTCTATGAGCCTGGCCCCCTCAGAGGCCAGGCCCACAGTTTCCACAACTCCGGTCGAGGGTGAAATATCGTGCCCCCTGCCTGGGACAGCAGGTCCCTCCTGAACGGAATCTCCATGGGAGAGCCGTCCAGAAGAGACAAAGTCCGAGAACCAAACTCGAGTCGGCCAGTATGGGGCTACTAGTAGCAGATGAGCCCCTTCCCGGCGAACCCTCTCCAGAACCTCCGGGAGCATAGATATCGGGGGAAATGCGTACAGGTGCAGCCTCGGCCACACCTGCACCATCGCATCCAGTCCGAGAAGAGCTGGCTGCGTGAGGGGGAACCATATAGAGCAATGCGTTGTACAAACGATGTGAAAGGTCGACTTGACTTTAGTTAGACCAAAGTTCTCCCTAAGAAGCTCCACCACCTCGGGGTGAAGTCTCCAATCCCCTGGGCCTCAGCCCCTGCCTCAACAGGATATCTGCTCTGATATACGAGACCATCAGTGTGTTGTCCGCCATTCGCCGAGCAACCACTCATGATCGCCCCCACTTGTGAGGGAAGCATCCGTCGATAGCAATATGCGTCGACAAGAAGCCCCCAACACTGGGCCTGGGCGAGGAACCAAGGTTCTTCCACATGACCGAAGCACGAAGGCATAGCCGCGTGACCTTGATCATGCGAAAACGTATTTCCCCTCGGAGAAAACCCCTTGGTCCTGAGCCACCACTGCAGGGGTCTCATGAACAGAAGGCCAAAAGTAATACGTTGGACGCAACTGCCATGAGACCCACCCGTCTGAAACTGTTTCACAGTGAGTGACTGGCCTAGATATACCCCATTACGGCTGTAAGAATTGCTACACCTAGAAAAGTGGTCCTCAGAGCACATTCTTCTTGCCGTTGAGAGGCAACTCCAACATCCTTAATGAGACAGAACGACATCTCGATGCCGAACTGCCATAAACTCAGATTGAGCTAGGAACAACCAATCATTGATGTAGTATAATACGCGAATGCCCTGGAGTCTCAGAAGAGCCAGAGCTGCATCCACGCATACTGTAAAGGTGTGGGGTAATAAACCTAGGCCGAATGGAAGAACCCGATAATGGTATGCTTCGCCCCCGAAAGCAAACCTCGGGAACCTCCCTCATCCTCTTTCGGAAACAATGAAGTAATGGCTGTCTGCTGGGAGGAGGAACCCCCTCTACAGCTCCTTTTGCAGAAGTGACAGTACTTCCTGCTCCATAACCAAAGCCTGCTCGGGGTCCACCAATGAGAGGAGGACCCCTAGAAATCTGGGCGAACGAGAACCGAACTGAATTCTGAAACCCTTTTCTATAGTGTGCAGGACCCACTGAGAAATATGTGGCAGTAGTTTCCACGCTGCCAGAAATTTACTAGGGGAACCAGTCTCTCAAGACTGGCCTCTGGATTTGTTTGAACAGTCACTACGGCGCCCTGAAGCGGCGAACCGGCAGGGAACAACCGAACTGACCATTCTACGACCCTCCTCAGAGGATCGTATGGGGATGCTGACACCTCGGTGCCCTGAACGGCGAACCGGCAGGGAACAACCGAACTGGCAGCGCTGCAACCCTCCTCAAAGAGTTGCACCCCAGAGGAAAAACGATTTCTCAAAACCGTCCCTTGGTTGAACAGTCACTACGGTGCCCTGAAGCGGCGAACCGGCAGGGAACAACCGAACTGACCGCTCTACGATCCTCCTCGGAGGATCGTATGGGGACGCTGACACCTCGGTGCCCTGAACGGCGAACCGGCAGGGAACAACCGAACTGGCAGCGCTGCGACCCTCCTCAGAGAGTCGCACCCCAGAGGTCGCCGAGGAGAAACGATTTCTCAAAACCGTCCCTGCCCCGGAGGAGCCCTCAGAAGCCTGATAGCCTCGTTTTCTTGCGACAGGACTTCTTGTCTAAGCTTTATTAGAGATGATGACAGTCCTCAGATCTTGCCTACCTCTAACTAGCTTAGTTCCTACGACCCTCCTCGGAGGATCGTTGAAAAAAGCAGGCACTTCGGCGCCCTGAAACGGCGAACCGGCAGGGAAACCGAACTGACTGCTCTTCTTTTTTCTTATTTGAAGGCTCGTTTGGGGACACTGACACCTTGGTGCCCTGAAACGGCGAACCGGCAGGGAAACCGAACTGGCAGTACTGCGACCCTCCTCAGAGAGTCGCACCCCAAAGGGTGCTGAGGAGAAACGATTTCTCAAAACCGTCCCTACCCCAGAGGGGACCACCCTTAGAAGCCAGATCGCCTCGGCGTCAGGGCTTCTCCTTTGTCAAAGCTATTTTAGAGATAAAACAGTCCTCAGATCTTGCATGTCTCTAACTGGCTAGACTGCGACCGCCACCCAGGTACCCCTCAATTGCGGAGGAGCCCGAATGGCGACGCTCTGTTTTGCACTTTGTGCTGAGAGGAGCATAATAGTTCTCAGGAACATTAGATTGGTGAGGAAGAAACCCCTGGAACGCCGCTGAATGGTTTATTTCTTAGTTTTCTTGAAAGCGGAGCGTCCAGAAGAACAGACATAATTATATCTTTATTTTCCTTTATCTTTATATCAGAAAAACTTATATATATATACATATATATCACTCTGCGGCCACCAGCAGGAAACAACCGAACTGGCAGCGCTGCGACCCTCCTCAGAGAGTCGCCCCTCACATTCATCCATGTCCTTATATACTCTACCCACCAGCGCTGCCTAATAAAAATGTATTCATTATTAAGATGGCTGGTGGGTAACGTCGGGGTTAATAACGATAACGCCGACTCGGGAGAGAGAAAGCTCGCAAGCGTCTCTTTAACCCGAGGCAATGTCATACTATGATACTTAATACCCAAACATTACTATAGTCAGACATCTGGGGATTAAACACATAAAATACTTCCGGTTTATTCCACGATCTCGACACCTCAGTGTGGAGATAGGGAAAAACCACAGTCCCCGACGAGGAGGCTGAGATACAGAGTTTTCCTGTTTTAAGATACAGTTCAACTAACAAACTCTTCTTTATTTTCAATCTCATAATGTTCAGCTGGCCAGTAAATATTTAACTGGCAACAGCACTAGATAAAACCTCCTTTTTTTCTTTAAAAAAGCTCCTCTTTATTCAACAGAGTTATGAGCTGGAAAATGTATTCATTGAAAACTCAAACATCTGCCTTTTTATAAAGATTTGTATTTGTTTTTTTTTCTTTTTAAACAAAACACTAACGATACCAATTCCTCGGAACTGGAAATCGCAGCACACTAGATCTGGCATGTGAAAGCTGAGAAAGGGCGGAGCCCGTCCCAACCCCCGCTGTCAGATCCGTTTTCGAACCCCGAAATACGAGCCATCTCCGAGCCTCGGCAACAGAGAGACCCGCTCGGGGAACGCGAACCGAACCGTCCTCCTCGAAGAACGCCCGGCGAGAGCGGAGCGTCCTCACGGACAGCTTCTCGCAATGCACAGTCAGATCCCTCGAGAAATGACTGTTGCATGCTCCACTCCCAAACAGCAACAAAAAGCTGATGTGTGTCCCCACCCGTGATGTAACGAGGGCAGGGAACAACACAACGTCTATAATATTGCTTTGCTCGCCATAATGATAGATAGTGATATATATATTGGGCTTGACAAACAACAATAAATAGACAAGGACAGAATCACAGAGAGCGCTTGCTGAAGACTACAGAAGCTGTCGCGGTCTGTTTTCAAGGGTGATTTATAGTTTCCTGGTCTATGACGTCACCCATGACGTATCGGGCTTCCATTGGACTGATTTTACACGTGCTTCATGACGCAATCACGCAGAGCGTTCCCACCGCGTCTCAAACGCAGCTCGAAGTTCCCTTGAAAGGGAACTCACTTTGCATGTAATGAGTCTATATAATGTATTAGTTTCACCTTTTAAGTTGAATTACTGAAATAAATTAACTTTTGCACCATATTCTAATTTTTCGAGTTTCACCTGTATATATCTCGCAATTCTGAGAAATAAAGTCAGAATTACGTGTTATAAAGTAGCAATCGCGTGTTAAAAAAATAAGAACTCGCAATTCTGACTTTTTTTCTCGCAATTGCGAGTTTATATCTCGCAATTCTGTCTTTATAACACGCAATTGCGATCTATAACACACAATTCTGAGATAAAAAGTCACAATTACCTTTTTATTTTTTATTCTGTGGCGGAAACAAGCTTCCATAATATAGAGACTCATAATCAGTTTGAATGTTTTTTTCCCATATTCTCTTTTCTTTTTCTACTTAATCAGTTATTGGTTTTTAATATATAATATCTTTAAGAGTAGCACCCAATGTCATTACACCACTATGTGTTCAACACTATGTGTACATTTGTAAAAATGTATATTAACCATCATGAGAAATGCACAAGATTTGAAGTTTGATGGTTTTGTCATAGTATCAAATATGTCTATCAAAAATAAGGACTAAAACAATAATTAAAACAATAGGTTCTGCATATTGTTATCGTAAATGTAAAATAATCCATATCAGTCGAAGTCGAACAATATCTAATATAAAGTGCATTTCTAATTTAAAGTGAACAATTATCTGGTAATCAATGGGAGCAAAACACACTGTTTAAAAGAGCTCACCTAAACCTTTCACAAACTTCATAAGGCACATGATGTAGTCAGTGGCCGCGTTGGCGAACACCTGGATGTTGTCCGTGTTAATGAAGGCTTCGAAGACGTCAAACACTGGCGCCTGTGACTTCCCTGCGTATAGACCGAATGAAGCAGAAATGCATTTCAGATCGATTCATTGGTTTAAATGTCAGCTGCCCACTACTCTCACTCCACACACACACACACACACGCACACACACTGATGTAACAAGCATGGTGAATGTGTGCTCTAAAATATGAATCATTGTTATAGGTTTATCAGTGTATTTGGGAAAATAATTGGTTTAGAAGATGGATTATTTTTTTCATGAAAAACCAAATTACATAGTAAAGTTACTGTACATATTTCTCCCACACTGTTGGCACCAAATAAAGTTGTACAAAAATGTAAATTTTCAAACAAGCTTCAAACACGTTCCCCGTCCTCTATTGGTTGGACAAACACATAGCTCCGCCCTAAACTATTATTGCATAAGCTGCGTTTTATGAAGCGTTTGCAAAATACACACCTGTAACCGTGAAGTCTTTATTAACCGCGCACATTTGCTGTGCAATCAAAAGGCCATAGTTATGCTAATGAACAATATAACTTGAAATGATTGTATATTCAAGTAATATTATAAATAAATGTAACTATCGAGCTATCTTTATAAATGCATGTTTGTTGTTTTCGTCTAAATGTGCTGTACTGTAGAAATATGCATGACGACTCTTATCATAATTCTGTTATTGACGCTTATTGATATAAAAATGTGTATATATATGTATATACACTCACCTAAAGGATTATTAGGAACACCATACTAAAACTGTGTTTGACCCCCTTTCGCCTTCAGAACTGCCTTAATTCTACGTGGCATTGATTCAACAAGGTGCTGAAAGCATTCTTTAGAAATGTTGGCCCATATTGATAGGATAGCATCTTGCAGTGGATGGAGATTTGTGGGATGCACATCCAGGGCACGAAGCTCCCGTTCCACCACATCCCAAAGATGCTCTATTGGGTTGAGATCTGGTGACTGTGGGGGCCATTTTAGTACAGTGAACTCATTGTCATGTTCAAGAAACCAATTTGAAATGATTCAAGCTTTGTGACATGGTGCATTATCCTGCTGGAAGTAGCCATCAGAGGATGGGTACATGGTGGCCATAAAGGGATGGACATGGTCAGAAACAATGCTCAGGTAGGCCGTGGCATTTAAACGATGCCCAATTCGCACTAAGGGGCCTAAAGTGTGCCAGGAAAACATCCCCCACACCATTACACCACCACCACCAGCCTGCACAGTGGTAACAAGGCATGACGGATCCATGTTCTCATTCTGTTTACGCCAAATTCTGACTCTACCATCTGAATGTCTCAACAGAAATCGAGACTCATCAGACCAGGCAACATTTTTCCAGTCTTCAACTGTCCAATTTTGGTGAGCTCTTGCAAATTGTAGCCTCTTTTTCCTATTTGTAGTGGAGATGAGTGGTACCCGGTGGGGTCTTCTGCTGTTGTAGCCCATCCGCCTCAAGGTTGTGCGTGTTGTGGCTTCACAAATGCTTTGCTGCATACCTCGGTTGTAACGAGTGGTTATTTCAGTCAAAGTTGCTCTTCTATCAGCTTGAATCAGTCGGCCCATTCTCCTCTGACCTCTAGCATCAACAAGGCATTTTCGCCCACAGGACTGCCGCATACTGGATGTTTTTCCCTTTTCACACCATTCTTTGTAAACCCTAGAAATGGTTGTGCGTGAAAATCCCAGTAACTGAGCAGATTGTGAAATACTCAGAGCGGCCCGTCTGGCACCAACAACCATGCCACGCTCAAAATTGCTTAAATCACCTTTCTTTCCCATTCTGACATTCAGTTTGGAGTTCAGGAGATTGTCTTGACCAGGACCACACCCCTAAATGCATTGAAGCAACTGCCATGTGATTGGTTGACTAGATAATTGCATTAATGAGAAATTGAACAGGTGTTCCTAATAATCCTTTAGGTGAGTGTATATATATATATATATACACACTACCGTTCAAAAGTTTGGGGTCAGTGAGAATTTTATTTTTTGGAGGAAAGAAATCAATACTTTTATTTATCAAGGACAGTAAAGACATTTATAATGTTACAAAAGATTCTATTTCAAACAAATGCTGTTCTTTTGAACTTCCTATTCATCAAAGAATCCTAAAATAAAAATAAATAAAAAACTGTACAACTGACAGACCAACAACTGTTTCAACATTGATAATAATCATAAATGTTTCTTGAGCATCAAATCCTCATATTATACTGATTTGTGAAGGATCATTTGACACTGAAGACACTGACACTGGTGATGCTGAAAATTCAGCTTTGATCACAGGAATAAATTACACTTCACTATATATTCACACAGAAAACAGCTGATTTACACTGGAATAATATTTAATACTATAACTGATTTTTGTTGTATTTTTAATCAAATAAGCGCAGCCATGGTTAGCAGAAGAGAATTCTTTTAAAAGTATTTAAAATCGTACCGACCCCAAACTTTTGAACGGTAGTGTATATATATATAAAAAGATAAATATATATATACAGTATATAAAAATTGCAACAGTTAAGGGGGTTTGCGCCATACAAGAACACAGTGAGGTAAAACCCCTATAATGCATGTTTCCCATTAATGCAGGATATAAAAAAAAAAACATAATCAGAGAAAAATAAATCACAAATAACTAACAATAAAGTAAACTTCACAGACCCATGGAATATTCTCCTATCAGGTAGTCCTTCATATCAGTTTTGTTCCCATGCACGGTTCTGAGCGCGCTGAACAGCGGCCTCCAGCCAGACTGGATCTGAGCTGAACACATCTCCACCAGCTCTCCAATGGATGTTATCACCTGAGTGCCATAGACAGATGCTGACATTAACACACTAAAGGGTTATCTACACGCTTAGACAGTTCAGTCAGGACCACTAGCGTCAAATATGATTGACAGTTAGCATACGGTTAGGATTGGCGGTGTGGTTCTGTTCTGGGCAGTCTAGCATGAATAAGAGCAATAACCCCGCTTAGGGTAAACAGAACAGAACCAACATGAATGTATTGCAGATATCATTAATGTCAATATTTTAATGTACAACATAATTCGAGGGGAATCAGAAGGCCGAATCCTGACTGAGACAGGAGGAGCTGGGGAGGGAGGAGGGTTATCGCTCCTGAGAAACGCGATCGCTGCTGATAATACTGAAGGAGTTATATATGAATACAGTAATAGAGTCGTATTCCTATAGTAGAGGATCAGCTGATAATACTGAAGGAGTTATATATGAATACAGTGATAGAGTCGTATTCCTATAGTAGAGGATCAGCTGATAATACTGAAGGAGTGATATATGAATACAGTGATAGAGTCGTATTCCTATAGTAGAGGATCAGCTGATAATACTGAAGGAGTGATATATGAATACAGTGATAGAGTCGTATTCCTATAGTAGAGGATCAGCTGATAATACTGAAGGAGTGATATATGAATACAGTGATAGAGTCGTATTCCTATAGTAGAGGATCAGCTGATAATACTGAAGGAGTGATATATGAATACAGTGATAGAGTCGTATTCCTATAGTAGAGGATCAGCTGATAATACTGAAGGAGTTATATATGAATACAGTGATAGAGTCGTATTGCTATAGTAGAGGATCAGCTGATAATACTGAAGGAGTTATATATGAATACAGTGATAGAGTCGTATTGCTATAGTAGAGGATCAGCTGATAATACTGAAGGAGTGATATATGAATACAGTGATAGAGTCGTATTGCTATAGTAGAGGATCAGCTGATAATACTGAAGGAGTTATATATGAATACAGTGATAGAGTCGTATTGCTATAGTAGAGGATCAGCTGATAATACTGAAGGAGTGATATATGAATACAGTGATAGAGTCGTATTGCTATAGTAGAGGATCAGCTGATAATACTGAAGGAGTTATATATGAATACAGTGATAGAGTCGTATTCCTATAGTAGAGGATCTGCTGATAATACTGAAGGAGTTATATATGAATACAGTGATAGAGTCGTATTCCTATAGTAGAGGATCAGCTGATAATACTGAAGGAGTGATATATGAATACAGTGATAGAGTCGTATTCCTATAGTAGAGGATCTGCTGATAATACTGAAGGAGTTATATATGAATACAGTGATAGAGTCGTATTCCTATAGTAGAGGATCAGCTGATAATACTGAAGGAGTGATATATGAATACAGTGATAGAGTCGTATTCCTATAGTAGAGGATCAGCTGATAATACTGAAGGAGTGATATATGAATACAGTGATAGAGTCGTATTCCTATAGTAGAGGATCTGCTGATAATACTGAAGGAGTGATATATGAATACAGTGATAGAGTCGTATTCCTATAGTAGAGGATCAGCTGATAATACTGAAGGAGTGATATATGAATACAGTGATAGAGTCGTATTCCTATAGTAGAGGATCAGCTGATAATACTGAAGGAGTGATATATGAATACAGTGATAGAGTCGTATTCCTATAGTAGAGGATCAGCTGATAATACTGAAGGAGTTATATATGAATACAGTGATAGAGTCGTATTCCTATAGTAGAGGATCAGCTGATAATACTGAAGGAGTTATATATGAATACAGTGATAGAGTCGTATTCCTATAGTAGAGGATCAGCTGATAATACTGAAGGAGTGATATATGAATACAGTGATAGAGTCGTATTGCTATAGTAGAGGATCAGCTGATAATACTGAAGGAGTGATATATGAATACAGTGATAGAGTCGTATTGCTATAGTAGAGGATCAGCTGATAATACTGAAGGAGTGATATATGAATACAGTGATAGAGTCGTATTCCTATAGTAGAGGATCAGCTGATAATACTGAAGGAGTGATATATGAATACAGTGATAGAGTCGTATTCCTATAGTAGAGGATCAGCTGATAATACTGAAGGAGTGATATATGAATACAGTGATAGAGTCGTATTGCTATAGTAGAGGATCAGCTGATAATACTGAAGGAGTTATAATTGAATACAGTGATAGAGTCGTATTCCTATAGTAGAGGATCAGCTGATAATACTGAAGGAGTGATATATGAATACAGTGATAGAGTCGTATTGCTATAGTAGAGGATCAGCTGATAATACTGAAGGAGTTATATATGAATACAGTGATAGAGTCGTATTGCTATAGTAGAGGATCAGCTGATAATACTGAAGGAGTGATATATGAATACAGTGATAGAGTCGTATTGCTATAGTAGAGGATCAGCTGATAATACTGAAGGAGTTATATATGAATACAGTGATAGAGTCGTATTCCTATAGTAGAGGATCAGCTGATAATACTGAAGGAGTTATATATGAATACAGTGATAGAGTCGTATTCCTATAGTAGAGGATCAGCTGATAATACTGAAGGAGTGATATATGAATACAGTGATAGAGACGTATTCCTATAGTAGAGGATCAGCTGATAATACTGAAGGAGTTATATATGAATACAGTGATAGAGTCGTATTCCTATAGTAGAGGATCAGCTGATAATACTGAAGGAGTGATATATGAATACAGTGATAGAGTCGTATTCCTATAGTAGAGGATCAGCTGATAATACTGAAGGAGTTATATATGAATACAGTGATAGAGTCGTATTCCTATAGTAGAGGATCAGCTGATAATACTGAAGGAGTGATATATGAATACAGTGATAGAGTCGTATTCCTATAGTAGAGGATCAGCTGATAATACTGAAGGAGTGATATATGAATACAGTGATAGAGTCGTATTCCTATAGTAGAGGATCAGCTGATAATACTGAAGGAGTTATATATGAATACAGTGATAGAGTGGTATTCCTATAGTAGAGGATCAGCTGAGAGTCACTGACGTGAGCTTGACTAACGTGACCTGCCCAGAACTGACGCTACGCTTGATGTTTGTTTAAGCCATCCTTCAGCGTGGTCATGTGATTTATCAGACCTGATCTTGGACGTCTTCGTCGCAGAGCTCCAGCTGCATGATGTGCTCAAAAGGTCTGAAGAGAGCTTCATTAAAATGAAAGTGTGGCAGTTCTGCCCAGCTGATCAAAACCTCCATCAGAACATCATGGATGAAGGACACGGCCTTCTGGGATACGTGGCGCTCTTTATGACAGGCGGCCTGTGGGGGAAAAGTCAAACAAAGGGGATTTGTGTTATTTTTTTCTCACCTATCAAAGAAAAAAATGATAGATTCACCATTTGAGATTTGGCAGCGAGCTTTACCGCACATGCGTGTTCCTTTTATGTGATTATTGAGGTTGAATTCATATCAAAATATGCCAAACTTCCCTTACTACTTCTGAATAGGATGCCTACTTCATAAATTGTATGAAAATTGTGGAAATAATGGTTCAGATTACTCAAAACACATGTGGAAATTGAGTCTGGTTGTGCCCTAGTGGAAGCGTTCGGTACTGCACCCTCACACACTCTCACTGAAAGCTCACTTTTTGAGATATCAACCTAAAATTTGAAACACAACTTGTTCAGAGTTTTGGCTTTGATTTTCTTGCAGTTTTAGAGTCCACCAGGTTTTGAAAAAATATAATTTTATATAAAATATGAATAATTAAATGTTTACATTTTACATTTTCATAAACTCAAACTACTATAACTTTTTTTCTGTTTCACTTTCTTAATTTATTTAACTTCTAAAAAAATATGCCAAATGTCTTCTTTAAAACAAGACCAATCTTACATCTATATTCCAAAGCATTCTTGAATTACAACCATTTAAGTTCGGATTGTGCATTTTCATGTTTATTCAAAAAAGGGGGCGTGACACTTAATAAAAAAATAATTTTAAAAAAAGTTCTATTTTTGGCTAATGTAAAATAGCTTGGCTCCGCCCTCATACGCACTTCCACTCAATTTTCATTTTCCTTCCGTACGTCGTCTGGGTTTGCGGTATATTCGCGGGTTTTCTCCGGCTAATTTTTTACCGGGCCAATCAGCGAACAGAGGGAGTGGCTGAGAACGATGACGTTAATGTCGTGCGCTAGTTTGAGTCGTCATACGTCACGAACAAACGTCAGCGATTGGTTATGGCAGATCCAGAGTGACTCTGGGTAGATCCAATAGTTTTAAACTTCACCAGAGTACCCGCCTACAAGGAAGTTAACGCTTGTCAATGGAGCGAGGCCAGACTCTCTGTACAGATGAAATGTACGAGAGTCTGGTGGGACCAGGCTAAATGTAAAGGCCCTTTCACACCAAAAGTCAAATGTATAAGTGAATACAAAAATTCACATCTGTACAGTAGAGGGCGCAGCTCAAACTAACCTTTCAACTGTCCTGCCATTCTAGATCACAGAAAAATAGGATGCAGGAGAAGAAATTTTAACACTCTTACATAAGCAATACAAATGTGATGTTTAACTAAAGGCATTTTTGCTTATTCGTACACCTGAATTGGATCATCAAAGGTCAGCAGCAAAGACATTGTTCCATAAAGTGAGATTAAATACATAAAGTACATTTCTATTATGTACTTTAGCATATTAAATTATTGCAGTTTTGCATAATATCCTGAGTTTGCATTTCTCTGTTTTTATTCATTTTTGAGGAATACTAAATCTGTTTTTGTGCAAGTGATGAGTACTGTAAGTGCAGGCTCACATTTAGTCTGGAACTACAATAATCATCATGTGTCCACACAATGCCTCTGAATATACATATGTTGTTCTGTTATGAAAGATTTACACGTTATTGCTCAAATCAATTTCCCTTTTGAGAAAATGAATGGAATTTTTCCTTCCCGAATCCAACTGCTCTCTTCATCTCATGCCAGCAGAAATACAGAAACACTGATTAAGAATGAAGCTGGATATCACTCTATGTGTGAACACCCCCTTTAAAAAATGAAAATTCACCCTATCTATTTTCGAAATGTTAAAGATCTTATTGAGAACATTTCATCCGTGCACAATAATTATTTTTTTTCTTTTTCGAGCTTATGATGTTTAGTCAAAAATGTCATAACTGGACTTCTCTGTGTTTCTTTAATGGAATACTGAAGTGTTTATAATAAATGATTCATCCATGCACATCATTATTTTATTTTTTTTATTTGCCACACAACCTTGAATTAGAATAACGTCCCCTCCCTCTTGCAGCGACATCTCTTCTCTTCACAACCTGTCACTCACATGAGATCCACCAATAGCAAACCACAACCGTCCAATCAATTCCCCATGGACAAAATCTTGTTCCAGAAGTCATTTCACTCAAACATACAGCATGATAAAGAGGAAAAGACTTGCAACTTCCGTTTCATGCCGACTTTAAAACTCGCATCCACTTTTGAGTGCCACGCCCACTTCTCAACATCCAATCAACAACCGATGCACAGAACCAAGTCCCCGCCTTACATTTTTTCTTTTCCGATAATCCGGTACACTCGGATGTACGTCACAATACAGAAGAAAAGATGAGATGCTACTTCCATTTCATCGCAACACTAAGGGCCCTATCATACACCCGGTGCAATGCAGCGCGGGGCGCGACCATAGACTGTAAAAAAAAATGGACGTAGTATCCGTGACGTCACCCGTAGGTTTCTGAAGAGCGTTTTTGAAGCCTAAAGTGGGCGTCGCCAACCGTCGCCATCTTGGCAGCGCGTCACCCCTCGTCACTCCCGGATAAAATAAAATGGGCAAAGAGGCGGGACGTGGGTGGAGCTGAGGTGCTAATGCTATATGCTACTGGCCTCGCGCTAAAGTGACAGCTGTTTGAAGAAGTAAAGCCAATAGTTTAAGTTAATGTTTTTGCCCTTTTTTATCAACTTTATTAACCAGACAAGGGACATGCAATTAGTTAAGAGCAGCATGTATACAACAGTACATAACACAGATCACACACATTTCTCACAACATACAAGCAGTCAACTATGTGTATCGTGATGCATTATTATTCTGCTAGTTAAAAATGTATTATCATGCAGACAGTAACTTACAATATTACTCTGAGCTTGTGCGTGTGACAGTGATTCATGTGCATACATGTCGCATGGCATCGCACGTCAAGTTCGTAAAGAGCTTTATTCAGTCCATTTTAAAATCTGATTTTGGCCGCCTCAGATGGGTTAAACCTGGGGTAGGCAAGTTCGGTCCTAGAGAGCCGCTGTCCTGCAAAATTTAGTTCCAACCCTAATCAAACACACCTGAATAAGCTCATCAATGTCTTCAGGATTACTAAGGCTATAGGTAGGAGAGGTTTTTTTCAGTGTTGGAGCTAAACTCTGCAGGACAGCGGCTCTCTAGGACCGAACTTGCCTACCCCTGGGTTAAACCAAAGATATTACCTCGGAAGTTCAAGTAAATGCACTAGAAATCCGCACTCATTTAGTGTGCATCTATTGCATGGACGGAGAGAAAGCACTGACACCTGCAGGATTTCATCTGACGGTACTTTTTATTTTACACTAAAAAGTTAAATAAGCATATCTGTTCCGTGAGAGCAATAGTATACCGCATAACGAGTGTGGTCTCTATATCTACAGACGTTTTTAAATCTAAACTCCAAAAAGCAATGAAATTGTCAGACATCCATTAGTGCATGCGAGGGAAACAACTGGAAATACAGCGCTGGTTGTTCTCTCCATACCCGACAACGACGGAATCCAAAGGCATGCATGGGCGAAGGTATAATACGTGTATTAAATTTATGAAATAATCCCGAAAAAAGCACAAACACAGCTGAGGGTGACGCTAACAGACAGCAGACAAACGACTAGCAGTGACAGCAGCGGCAATCCACCTGTCAATCAAGTGGCCACGCCCTAAATTATGCAGAACTTTAAGGCTTAATATAATTTAAACAGGTGAGTTGTAAAAAAATTCACCCCCCTCACAGTCGTCACGAAGGGCAAAATTAGCTATATAGACCAAAACCACTATTTGCCACCAGTCTGTAAACATGTTGTGTGTGTGTTCCGTGTTGGTTTCAAGAGAGAGACGGGGAGGTTGCCGCTTGGGTGCGACGCAAGTGTCCTTGTGCTAGTTTCAGCCGACGGCACTTTTCATTTACACGTCCTGCGCCACGTTGTTTAAATAGCAAATGCATTTGCGCCCATCTGTGGCCCATGGGCTGCTGGTCTGAAAACACACCCATTACTCATTAAAGGTCCCCTGACATGAAATGTTCACTTTCTGAGGTTTTTTAACATTAGTATTAGTTCCCCTAGCCTGTATTTGGTCCCCTCGTGTCTAGAAATTTCAGTCGGTGTAAACCGAGCTTTGACTATCTTTCTCTGCCTGTGAGAAAATGAGATCTCAGACGGGCTGATCTTGAATCTCCCCCATATGACGTCATACGGGGGAAAGTTTACCTCCCCTTTCTCTGCTTTGCCCGCCCATGAGAAAACGAGCTAGCAAGTACGCACGCGCGCGATTTTAGTTTTTCCTAGAGAAATATCATGGGGTGTGAACGAGCGAAGCACAACAGTTGCTCAATAATTGGATGCACAAATGATCACCGAAGTATTTTTTACTTCCTTCATCCAATCCCCAGAAGGATCAATGGATTAATTTCATTTACTCTGGAAATGCACCGACACAACACACCAAAGTTTGGCATCGTGTTTGCATTGGTGAAAGCATTAGAGAGAGTGTAGAAACTGCGTTGCAATGATAAGATCTTCATTCTCGCGATCAACACACTGTCTTCTGCTCAATGCTCATCACGGCAACATTTTATGTGATGGGAATAGATCTAAATACTTTAAAAACATCTCACGATTCGTTAATCTCGATAGCTGTTATAGTAAAAACGTATAATAGCTGTAATAGTATTCGAGAGAGTTTCACATGTAGTACATAGCTATTTCATATGCAAGCATGTCAGCCAATCACAGCAGTGGGCGGTTACACTGAATCCCACAGGGACACGCCCCTTCAAACAGAGCGTTCAAATCAGAGGCTAAAATCAGGCTAGGAAAAATGCCTTTTATTTCGAAATTATTTTTTTTGATTTGATTTATTCCACAGTAAAAAAATAACAATAAATGCATAACAAGATGCCATTACAATGACACTACACATTTATCAGAGCTGTCAAGGATAGCACAAGAAAGTTACAAAACTTATTTCCATTGTGGTCCTCGTTGTAGTCCGATAAAGATGGCAAGCAAGCCACAGATGACAATAGAGCACCTTGTACACTCAAACACACAAATACATACACATCAGTAATAAATATTCCTTAAGACTACATAAAAACTAAATCTGAGTAGCTTTTAGCAACCATTCACCAAATGCTTGCTTAAAGCAGCGATCTGACTGGCTTAACTTAATCTCAACTGGGAGTTTGTTCCATTCAATTGCTGCCATGTACAAAAAGGTGTTTTGCCCAGAACAACTCTTAAATCTACAAGGTACTATGTCTGTGGCACTGCTTCTAGTTGAGTAGCTATGAGAGTTCCTAATAAACTTAAAATAATCTTTAAAATACCTTGGCTCATTCCTATGCAAAATCTTTCTTGTTAATCTCAGTTTCAGCTGTCTCACCCTATTTTCGACTGACAACCACTTTAAATTCTTAAGTTCAAAAGAACCAACATGTTTCCTATTATTAATGTTTAAAATCAACCTAACTAATTTATTTTGTGCTGTTTTGAGTTGTACTTTTATCCTCTTGGGGGTACTACTGTACCATGTAGTACAGGCATAATCGAAGAGTGGCTGAATTAGAGCATTTGCTAACATTAGTAAAGTTTCTTTATTTAAAAAATGAGCCTTACGAGTCAGAAATTTAATTCTTTGGTTTACTTTTATAATAACTCTTTGACCCATACTTTCGCCACTCAAGGAACTATCTAAGTCACAGCCTAAATATTTAACACAATTTTTAACTTCAATCTGGGTACCACCCACAGAAATGCTAAGCTCAGGAGTCCTACTCAACCTTATTTTTGAACCAAATAAGATAGATTCAGTTTTCCCTAAATGCAAAGACAGTTTATTCTCAATCAGCCATTCACTTATATTATTTAACTCATCACTTAAATGGTTCTCAATAACTTTTATATCCTTATGAGAGAACACCAAGGCTGAATCATCCGCATAGAGAAAGAGATTACAATTACAGACAGATTTCATATCATTTATATACAAAAGAAACAACAATGGACCCAGGACACTACCCTGTGGCACCCCACATGTTATTTCTCTAGCCTCAGACAGAGTGCTGTTAATATCAACTCTTTGATACCTCTCAGTCAAGTATGATCCAATCCATTCACATGCCATACTGTTAAACCCTAGAGCTATGTTTCCTGGGTTGCCCTTGAAATTATGACTATTTTTGATCTAAAAAACATACTAACATTATAAGGGCAACCCAGGAAACATTCTAAAATAATAAAATAACCCCATGTCAGGGGACCTTTAAGGGCGCTTTCACACTTGCTTCGATTGCCTGTTCCGAACCCGAGTTCGATTGCTCCCCCCTCCCCCGATGGACTGTGTTCACATTGTACTATTTGTATCCGAACCGCGGTACACTTGCGAAATCAAGATGTTGATGTGTTGCTTGGTAACCAGCGGCGCTTTGAATAAAAAGGCATCAAAATGGATAAAATTGCTCGCTTCACATTTGTTCTTCTTTTTTTTATACCTTTGGTCTTGTTTTCAAAGAAAAGATACAGAAACACACTTGCGTCTGTCTGCCGCAAAGTACTAAAATCGTTCCGAAGACAGCGGGCTGTCCGCCGAAGACAAATTTTGCGGAGGCAAGAATATAAATAATCTCTCTGCTTGCAGTGCGTCAATCCCGCTTTTCGTCAAGGTAAGTGTATACACACACACACACACACACACACACACACACACACACGCACTGACGACTGTCCTGTCGACCACATTATACATTATACGTCATCAATAGCGGTTCACTTCCGCGATTGCGTTCATATCAGCAGTGAACCGTACCGGAGGTCACATGAACCGTACCCCAGACCACCCTTGTTAAGCGGACTCGAGTACGGTTCGCGGGTGCGCACCCGAGTTCGGAAGACAGCGTTCACATCATCCAAACGAACCGAACTCTGACATCATTCGGACACGGGTGCGCACCAAAAGTGCTAGTGTGAAAGCACCCTGGAAGCGCCCTTAGACCATGTGCCTGGCGCGCCGAATGTTTTTCCCGTCCTTAAACTAGCAAAAGTGGATTCGGACTCGCCCTAAGTGCGCTTTAGATCATGCGCTTAGATCCTTAAAATGGGGCCCTTAGGATGTCTAATCCACACGAGGGTTGTTTGTGTTTATACCTCCACCAGGTGCGGCGCCACCACACTCCAGGCCCTCATCATGTGCAGCAGAGGTCGACTCTTGCTCTTCACGATGCGAAGCATGGCCTCTCCCAGCCGGAACAGGTGCAGGGCGCTGCGCTTGTCCTGGGTCGACTTCGCCTCCCCTTTAATGAAAACACAATGAGGTGAAGGAAAAAATGGGTTTTAAAACTCCTAAAAAATTTAAATAAGGTGCATAACCTTCAGAAAATGTGGTTCATTGACTCCAGGAGGTCGAACTAAATATTAAAGCTGCAGTCCGTAGTTTTTCCTCTTTGTCGCCATCTCTGTTCGAAATCTGCAATTGCAGTCATCCGTGGAATTATCAACTTTACGTGGGTTGTGCCTCGGCACGGCACAGCGCGGATGAACACAATGTTTTTAGGAGAGTGTGTGTCTGTCAGTCGCCGCCGGTGTGGATACTGGCATTCAGAATCACAGATTATTCTTTTTGGAAGTATGACCAACATAAGAATCACGGAAAATGTCCTCTAAACAAGTAACAAACATCCACTTCTGGTTCTGGTTCTGACATTGCAGTAAATCGCGCTCATTTAATCTAACAATCGCTTATCATATCACGTAAAACCGTGCAAATTATACTTTGTTCTCAAATTGTTAATGTTCAACATCAGCATTGCATGACTACATGTAATGTCCTTCCTATATGCATCCTTGTTATCGCATGGGCCGTTACAGTCTCTTTTCTTCTGTCGCCACTCCGTACATAACACTGAGTCTTTTGCATTTTACAGCGGGTGAATCTGTTGTCACTGGTGATTGTCGTTTGAACATTTCTGGATCCGCCCTCAAATTAATAAGTTTAATTATATCAAGTGCTGTGAGAAAAGGCTATAAATCTCCACCTCCAGCATCCTCACACTCACAGCCTACTAGCCGAGACTCTGCTTTATGTGTACAGATGTGTGTGTACAGATGTGTGTGTACAGATGTGTGTGTACAGATGTGTGTGTACAGATGTGTGTGTACAGATGTGTGTGTACAGATGTGTGTGTACTAATGTGTGTGTACAGATGTGTGTGTACTAATGTGTGTGTACAGTATGGGATGAATATAGTATCAAAATGATTAACACGTGCAAGCACAATTATCAATAAACTTGATACGTTGCAGAAATGTTTTATCCATGCCTTTCAACTTGCGTGTGCAAAATTCAAAATTGAATGAATGTGTAGCAATTTGTACAAATAGAGAAATTTTTGTGAATACAAATGTTTTCTTTTGTATTAGTGTATCATAATTTGTGCACAGGTGACGTGTGTGCATTCATTGAATTATTTTCTGAGTCGATCTCATTTGATTCATTTGGATTTTGAGACTTTCTTTTCGCTGTTTTTAAGCATTTCACAACCCACACACAAACAACTACAATTGAATAGGCCTGGTGCTAATTATTAATGTGTGCACAACTACACATTTATTTGACAAATTCACAAATGTGCGTCGCTACATTTAAACTAATACAATACAACTTGTGTGTGCAAAATCCAGAATCACATGAAAGTGCAGCATTTTGTACAAATAGAGACAGAGAAACCTCGATTTTGTATTAATGTAGGCCAGAATTTGTGCATGCAACAAGTAAGATGTGCATTTGTGGATCAGGTGACACGTGTGCATTCATTGACTCGTTTCTGAGTCGATCCTATTTGATTCATTTGGATTTTGAGACTTTCATTTGGCGGGTTTCGCCTTGCAAGATCCACACACACTGTCTGAGAAAACCTGCTACCACTAGGGATGTCACGGTACCAAAATTCCAGTAGTCGGTACCGATACCATTAAAATGTTACGGTTCTCGGTACCAATTTCGGTACCACAGCAAAATCAGTTTGAACTATTTTTCCAATTTAACTATTTGAAAAAAATATTCAATTCAATTCAATGACTTTATTATTTATGACGGTAAATGTATGAAAGCATTGAAGGCTACATGCTGATTAAACGAAATTATTGATGATATTGAGAAATATTGCTTATAAAAAAAATCAAGTGAAAAATAATCAACCTTCTATGCACACATTATTATTAGTAGTAGTAGTAGTATTTTTAATTAATGGAGACATAGTTAAATCTATTGTACAGTAGCCTAATATAATTATTTCTGTCAATTTCTTTAAGTTAAACCGAACTTTTATTTTGACGGGTTGCCGTGAAGACCTTTGAGTTTCTGTGCGTGTATGATGACGAGTTTTTCTCAAATGAAACGGTAAAATGCTCATGAAGTGACTCTCGGAGATGAATTAAAGAGCATATTGCAGGTAAAAAAAAAATCTAAATTAATATATAACCTTGTATGAAAATACCATATTAAAAGTTAATGCAGGATTTAAAATGTTTTAAAACGACATAAGGGCACTAATTTAGTAGATAAAGTGAGCGTTTCTAGGACTGCTCGTAAAAACGGCTTTTTTTTTCAAACTCGCGTCATTTTACGTCACGCTAGGGAGCCTCAGCCTCGGCTCAGTGCAGAGCAGGCTGGTGTTCAGTGAGAGCGGCCGTGAGTCAGTGTGTTTTTCGGTAGTTTTTGTATTTTAATTTATCATCGTCATGGTTAATTATTCTGTGTGGAGGTTGCAAAAACAAAGGCAACTTGTAATTGAAAAACAAAATTACTCAGGTTGTTTAAATATTCAAATCTTTAATTTTCTGTTTATGTTATAACCCAGGTGAAAAATATGTATTAAAAATGTACTTGGGTATGTTTTTAGTACAATAGAAATATACTCAACTATAGTTTTTATACATTTAATAGTATAAATCTACCCTAAAAATACTAATGTCTGCTGGCCTGATATACGATGGTAATAATCTGTACAATATTGTGAGCACAGTGTATCGTTAGCGAACGTGTATCTATAAGCACTTCTCTCACCAAGACACCTGTCCTGTTCTCCACTGGTTCTCCTCACACCACAACTCATGGTGTCTCTGACCGTTCTGTCTGACATTAGTCCTGGCCTGTCCCTGCTCTCTTGGCAGCATAGCAGGCTCATAATTGTATGGCTGTGGTCTGTCATACGAGTAAGTACTTCCTCAGCGTCCGAAATGTCATTGCGATCCATTGTTTTCCTGTTGTTTGAATCGACCGCTCTCCCGCCCATTATGTCACGCCCGCCACGCCCATTTTCAGACGCGGAAGTAAAATGTTCTCACAAAAACGACTCCAGAAGCTTCTGTAGCGTATTTATAAGTATATTTTAAAGAAAATCTAGTTCCTACATTATTTTTCTATACATTGACTCGTTGGGTCCTCTAACCTGTAATATGCCCTTTAAGCATGAATCATGTCATCATATCGCGAGGCAGCAGAGACTGAAAACAGCGCGAGCGTCAGTCGTGCTTCAGTGTGTGTGTGTGTGTGTGTGTGTGTGTGTGAGGTAACGTTAAATGAAACCGCGCGTCTGCGCCGTTCATTCACACAGAGACAAGCAGAACATGCAGGGTTAATATTTAAATAGTCTTTTTGCAGTTTAATATACACAGCCACCACATCAGCAGCGCCGCCGGTCGCCATGTCTCAGCGCTTTCATGAAGAGGACGCAACTTCACGCCCTTATCGTGCATGCGCATCCAGAACCAGGTTTGACAGGGTACTCGGTACCACCGGTACTTGGTACCGTGACGTTTAAAATTTTTTAGTACCGACTTGGTACCGAAGTGCCAAATATTTTGACAACACTAGCTACCACTAGATGGCAGTATAGCTGCTAAGACAACGGCCGCGTAATCAAGCGTTCTTCCACATTTAAGACGCTTAATCTGAGTGATATTGAAGCGCCAAATTTAGTACACAATATAGGCCTACCTTATTAATAAAGCATACTTTATAAAGGCAATCAGATTATGAACAACACCCATAGAAAACCATTATAAAACGCTTCACGTGCAATAGCGCATTGCATGTTCAATAAGGTGTATCGGCTACTGAGTTTTAATATCACCGTCTTACTGCATTGACGTTATGCTTTTTCGTTTTGTGTGTGTACTAATGTGTGTGTACAGATGTGTGTGTACAGATGTATGTGTACAGATGTGTGTGTACAGATGTGTGTGTACAGATGTGTGTGTACAGATGTGTGTGTACAGATGTGTGTGTGCATATGTGTGTGTGCAGATGTGTGCAGATGTGTGTGTGCAGATGTGTGTGTGCAGATGTGTGTGTGCAGATGTGTGTGTACAGATGTGTGTGTACAGATGTGTGTGTGCAGATGTGTGTGTACAGATGTGACGTAATGACGCAAAGACATGCTCGAATTTCCCGTGGAAATCCACCAGTACCACTGGAGTTAAAAACAGTATTACAAGCTTACCGCTTTGAATCGAGCTACGGCAAGCAGAGAGTTTTGAACACTGGCTGGTTATGTACTTGCTCAAAAATTTATTTTGGATAATTTTTAACCCAAAAAAGTTACGCACTGCAGCTTTAAGTGAGCTGAATAGTTCTCGGATAATTTTATATTAGTTGTATGAGACTAGAACTTGGTTCAACTCTGATACTAAAATCTGGAACTTGTCTGAATACGGTACTGAAAACCTTGATTATTTCTGACTTCATTATTTATAGCAATAAACATAAAAAAACAAAAAATAAAGAGTAGCATGTAACTGCATTGCAAATTTAGCCTAAATGATGGTGTTCTGTTGGTGGAGAGTGTACTCAGTACTCTGTGTGTACCTGGCATGGCTAAGGAATAGTCTCCGGTTTCCGTGACCGAATCGAACAGTTGAGACTGTGAAGCTTTTCTGAGCTGATGCAGGAAACCCACGAGACCCACGAGGTTGAGTTTACTGACGGCATCCTCGAACAGCCTGCAGGACATTCACAACAGTTACACGTTAAACAGACATGTGAGAGGAATACTGATGAGTACAAATACAACAAGAGTTTTACTCCTTGATGCTGATCGCTCAATACATTGTTACAGCCATGGTCAAATTCACTATATCATGCTGCATAGATCATATTATTGTAATTGCGAGTTTCCGACTTGTAGAAAAAATAAATGTACAGCCTAGGAGAATCTGATGTGAAACTAAAACTTGCTTGGTTTCTGAAGTGGATCTACTAGCCCGAAATATCTGTCAGTGGCCGTCTTATTGTCTAGCAGAGTCCCATCACTTATTTAACAGAGCTTAACTGATCACTGGAAAGAGGTAAACAAATGGACATTGCGATTCAATGGGTTTTCCCATGTATGACATCCTACAGTATTTTTCTTAATCCTTCTTTTAAAGGATTTGTGCAAATTATTCCATTAGAGACCAGCTGCAAATGATCATTTTTCTTAATTTTTCTGTAGCTCTACAGCAATGCCATTTTTTCGATTCCGAGGGAAAGGGAAAGGTCTGCAAGTTTTAAAGATTAAAGTAGATAAATTGAGTTTTTGTCTCCCTGAACTGCCTGAAATGAATTCCAGTCTCACTTCCTGTTTCATACCTACGTAACAATGTAACAAATTTGCATAATTCCAGCCTATGGTCTTCATTGGCTGCTCTCAAACGATGTCTACTTTGTCCCTCAAACACTGTAGTTGTCGCCGAGACTGGAAGAGTTTGGTTCGTTTTGCATTGTGTGTACAAATGTTGATGAAAATCCGGAGCTAAAATTCAGATATGGTAATACACATTTGGTTTCTAAAACGCGCTGTAAGCGGTAGACCAATCACAACAGACTGGACCATCTGACCAATCAGAGCAGAGTCGGCACTCAGAAAGTGGGGTTTAAAGAAACCGAATCCTTGATCGAACCTTTTCAGACACTGTGAGAAGCTGCAAAGTATATTATGAGAATTTAAAGTGTTCTTTACCTTGGATGCATTTAAACCTATTTTAGGAGACCTTAAAAACAAAATTAGGACCTTTTAAAATAGCATGACTGGGGCACTTTAAAACAGATGCTATATATTTACTTGTCCTAACACAGAGCGCTCTATGGCCATCAAACTGTCTACCAAATTATGAACTTACTGGTCCCCCTAGTGGCCATTTTCAACACAACTCCAGCTAGGAAACAAATGTTTGAAAGATATTAGATTTGTTTGATATACCGTTAACTAGAAAACAATGAGCAGAGCCACATATTGCGCTTCGTTTGAGTTATTCAAGTGGAATCGTCATTACTTATTATTTTTGGGTGGACTTAAAGGGATAGTTCACCCAAAAATGAAAATTAGCCCATGATTTACTCACCCTGAAGCCGTCCTAGGTGTATATGACATTCTTCTTTCAGACGAATACAATCAGAGTTATATTAAAAAATGTCCTGGCTCTTCCAAGCTTTATAATGGCAGTGAACAGCCATTTCTGTTTTAAAGTCCATAAAAGTGCATCTATCCATCATAAAAGTGCATCTGTCCATCATAAAAGTGCATCCGTCCATCATAAAAGTGCATCTATCCACCATAAAAGTGCATCCATCCATCATAAAAGTGCATCTGTCCATCATAAAAGTGCATCCATCCATCATAAAAGTGCATCAGTCCACCATAAAAATGCATCTGTCCATCATAAAAGTGCATCTGTCCATCATAAAAGTGCATCCGTCCATCATAAAAGTGCATCTATCCACCATAAAAGTGCATCCATCCATCATAAAAGTGCATCCATCCATCATAAAAGTGCATCCATCCATCATAAAAGTGCATCTGTCCATCATAAAAGTGCATCTATCCATCATAAAAGTGCATCTGTCCACCATAAAAATGCATCTGTCCATCATAAAAGTGCATCCATCCATCATAAAAGTGCATCTGTCCATCATAAAAATGCATCTGTCCATCATAAAAGTGCATCCGTCTTTCATAAAAGAGCATCTATCCATCATAAAAGTGCATCCATCCATCATAAAAGTGCATCTGTCCACCATAAAAATGCATCTGTCCATCATAAAAGTGCATCCGTCTTTCATAAAAGAGCATCTATCCATCATAAAAGTGCATCCATCCATCATAAAAGTGCATCTGTCCATCATAAAAGTGCATCCATCCATCATAAAAGTGCATCTGTCCACCATAAAAATGCATCTGTCCATCATAAAAGTGCATCCGTCTTTCATAAAAGTGCATCCATCCATCATAAAAAGTGCATCCATCCATCATAAAAGTGCATCTATCCATCATAAAAGTGCATCCATCCATCATAAAAAGTGCATCCATCCATCATAAAAAGTGCATCCATCCATCATAAAAGTGCATCCATCCATCATAAAAGTGCATCTATCCATGATTAAAGTGCTCCACACAGCTCCGGGGGGTTAACTCTCTGGGGTCGGCGGTCTCGCTGGCGATACCAGCTCACTTTTTTCCTTATCAGTGCAAAAGAGGCTCAAATTACTCTGTTAATTTTGATCTTACATATAAGTGTTGTACATCATTCGATCCTGTTAGGTTTGTATTTTTTTTGTGGAACCTCATAATAAAAACAAAGTGTTGTGCTTTTCGCCTAATAAAGAAAAATAAACATGATGCGCGTTCTGCGTTCTCTCTGTCAGTGAAGTCCATTCTGAAACGCGTCCGAAAAATCATCTGTAACTCTGCAAATACTCAGTCAAACAGGTATACAGGCACACAGGCATGAAGCCTGAATTATCTTCTTTTAAATGAAGTAATTTATATAAAAAAAAATTTTTCTCATTTTATGTAATCTGTACGAAAAGAGAGAGATGATAGTCGTTCTCGTCTCAGCTCATTAAAAAGTTAATTTGACCACGCCCACGGAGCGCGCGCTCTATTCAAACACAAATGCTCTGAGGCGATCCACGCCCACATCAGCTGGATAACCCACCGAAAGAGACTCAGATTTACGACGCTGTGAGGAATAATAGTACTATCTTAATAATAATCCTGGAAAAAATTACCTCAGAAGTAGGCTACAGGTAGTTTAATTTGGAGGAGCAACGGATCCAGCCGAGGAAATAGGTACATTCTTTATTTTCAAGTGCTTTGTGCTAATCGCGATATGGAATAGTGTCTGTAAACAAAAAGACTGTTTGAATCGCGTTTTTGTGTGTGAATGAATGAACAGCTTTTACCTAACTATATTCCAATACTGAGATGAGTAAAAATCGACTGAAATATATTGAAATAAAATATTTTTGTATAAGCAACGTATTAAACTGCAAATTAACATTTATATGTCCTAATCATAAAAACGTTATGTTACATATGAAAGACAAGATGTCGTTTTTACTGTAAAATACTGCCACATCAAATAAGCTTGTTTGCTAAGATGTTATTATAGTGTTTGTTCGATTGTAAGCTATATTCAAACTAATTAATCCGCAACTGTGAAATATGATAAAATGTATACTTTAGTATATAATACAAAGAAAGATTACATTTGAAATATAGTTAAAATTTTAATTGTTGTTGTAATTGTAACCTTTTTATTAAAATAGCAAAAATATATGTAGGCTACATATAAATAAATCTTAGGTAAATCTTAGAAGCTCAATATAAGCCTCCTCTTTAAATTATTTGTATTGTGTTTTATTAGTGACACATTTGGGATACATTCCCAATCTTTCTGTAAAAACAGTATGATAATTAACTGCACAATTACTAGAAATTTTTACATTTGATATTATACAATTTGCAAGCACAATTTGAAAAATAAATAAATAATTGGAACTGTGAACCAATTTTGTATTATATAGGCATATATATATATATATATATATATATATATATATATATTGTCATTGCATTCTTGTGGCTCAGTGACACACCTGAATGAAAGGGTCATTAGTATGCAGCCCCATTATGCGCTCATTATGCGGGCCCATTGTCTTCTCAGGTGTGAATCACAGCAGGTCACACCCCTGCGCATATTGCCTTTCCAAACAAAAAGTGTCATTTTTAAATTTAAACCAATCTATTGTTTTATGTGAATGATAAGGCAGGATGATTTTCAGATCATTTTGAAGAAAAAACTCTAGGCGACAACATCCATTAGTCAAAAGTCTTGTGGACACATATTTAGTATGTGTTTTGTGGCCTTATTTCAGAAACTTTAAGTTTTAGTTTTTTCAATCACGCATAAACAATATTCTCTCAAAAATACAAAAATGTACATACATGTCGATAACACATTATGGTAGCCCTGTGTGTGCTAAATAGAGTGTAATTACACCTTTGCCAGTAATATGTTTATAAGCAACTGAAAAAAGCACAAATGTCAGAGTATGTCAAAACATCTCAAGGACCCCAAAAACACCTTGGACCCCAGAGGGTTAATAAAGGCCTTCTGAAGTGAAGCGATGCGTTTGTGTAAGAAAAATATCCATATTAAAATGTCCCGGCCAAATGATTCCATTCACTCCCATTATAAAGCTTGGAAGGCCAGGACATTCATTTTTGGGTGAACTATCCCTTTAATTCTGATTACACACAGTATAATTAACATTACCCCATGTTGTTGATAAAACATTCCGCTTAACCTAAAATCCAATGGAAAAATGAAGGTGGGGAGGAATGATTATGTTAGTTTGGTACCGGTCAGCTTGTGTGGAGAGAGTGCAGACGGCTTTGGCCACACTGGTGCCCGTGAGCAGACTGGCCCCCCGCAGGTCCGCTGCTTTCCCGCGACTGCTTTCCCTCAGGAGCTCCTGGATGGAGAGCGGCTGGATAACGGGATGGCTGAGACCCAGCTCCAGCTCTGGACTGGCCTCTCCACTCAGCTCCAGCTCCAGGTCCACGGCCACGGCCTGCGCTGCCTGTGTGATGGCCATCGGAGGCTGCGAGCCGCCGTCACTGAAGTGGGTGTGCTCCAGTGAACTAACATACTCAATCACTCTGAGGAATATTAAAACAAACTCAGTTTCCGGTTATTTGATTTTGGATCTAATTTAAAGGTGCAGTGTGTAATTTTTAGCCGCATCTAGTGGTGAGGTTGTGAATTGCACCCAACAGAAGTTACAATGGCCGACAGGAAGTGATGTCGTCGTCTGAGACAGCAGAGAGTAGCCAGTTAAGCAATGAGGTTTCTTTACAAAGATAAATTAAGAAATTAGGTTTACTTGATTATTCAGTAAAACGATGTTATTTAGAATATTATTGTTACTTGTTCATCATTGTGTCAGTGTTTTATTCGCTGACTTTAGCAGCTTCTGTGCACGAAGAACAACATAGTGACGAAACGCGTGTGTCCGCTCCGGGCCACTGTAGAAACATGTCGATGTAAGCGGACCCGCGGAGTGTGTAGATAAATGGCTCATCTAAGGTAATAAAAACATAACGGTTCATTACGTAATGTCTTTATACACCACTGAAAACATACTTATGTATATGATATTGCATTTATGTCAACAGGTCCTCCTAAATATTACACACTGCACCTTTAAATACGTTAAAACATTTTAACAGTGATATATTGATATACTATAACTATATATTTATGCATTTGCTCTAAAATGCCTTATTAGAATGTTTAATGCAAGTAAAATACAGTATAAAAAACATTCATTCATATGCAGTATGCACCAATATAACATTGCATATAAATAAACAGCAATATTTACCTATATACAGTATTGTGCAAAAGTAAGCTTAGGCACGCTAGTATTTTCACCCTAAAGAAATGGTATTAAGTCAGTTATTTATGTCTTTTGCTGTAGTATTTCAGTAGGAAATAACAGTTTACATTTTCAAACATTAATTTTGCCTTTAATTGTAATAATGCAGTGAAAAGTTTGTATGCACAAGGAGTCTGACAACAGCCGGTATGATCTGATCTCACCATCATCGAGACTGTGAGTGTTTACATGAAGAAACAGAACAAACTGAGACAGACTAAATCCAGAAGAACTGCGGGAACGTCTCCGAGATGCTTGAAGAAAACTTCCTGCAAAGCTATCTGAAAACCTCTGTGCAAGTGTACCTGGACAAAAGCTGTTTCAAACACAAAGGGTGCTCACACCAAATACTGATTTGATTTAGTTAATAGAAGTTAATTGATAAATGAAATTATTAATGGCATTATTTTTGAAAGCACCCTGACTTAACAGCATTTTAACACAAGTGCCTTAAACGTTTCACAGTACTGTAGCTTTGCTGATAGGTTTCTTCAAGCGTCTTGGAGATTTTGCCGCAATTCTTCTGGATTTAGTCTTTCGTTTTTTCTGTTGCTTCATGTAACCATTGACAGACTCGATGATGGAGAGATCAGACCATTCCGGCTGTTGTCAGACTCCTTAAACATTCAAATATCTCACTGGATTATAAAAAATGAATGGCAAAAATAATGTTTGGAAATGTAAACTGATATTTTCTACTGACACACTACAGCAAAACATGCAAATAACTGACTTAAAACCACTTTTTGGGGTGAAAATACTAAGACTTTTGCAAAGTACTATATTTTATTAAAACATTTTGATAGATGACAAACAGAATGCGAGTGAACATGATTAGAGTAAATTCACTGAAGTTGATAGCTAGACTTGATTCACGGTAATGTACTGATTTAAAAGTAAAATCCCATGTAGACTTTTTGTTAAATAGCATTTAATTATAAGAAAAACCTCAACCAACAGCATGAGCGAAATACATCAATAATGAGAAGACCATCATAGTAGTGCTGCTACATATATACTGTTTTCTTTCCTTAAAAGAAGAACTGAACGCATTACTACAGTTTGAAAGGAAGATGTTTATATTTAGAGGCAAATTTGAGTCATTTCAAAATGTCAGATTACTTGCAAACAATTAATGAGTAATAGTGATGAATTATTTTCATCTGGTGACAGGCCTAAAAGCAATTTGATTACTTTACTAAAGATTGGACAGTAAGATCAGGTCCTGGTTCTTCCCGAAGAACTGATTTGTGAGTGTTTTACCTGAACACGTGAGGCCAGCAGTCATGGTTATGGCTGCCCATCTCCAGCCCCACATTGAGTATAGCGTCCATGCAGAGCACATGAGCCGTGTGAAGCCTCACGCCCTGACAGCGGCCCATCTGCTCGAGTTTCTGTTCAACACGCTGCTTAACTACAACACAGACACATGCAAGATCATTAAACAGAAGAGCAGTAGGGTTTGAACTGGTGGTCTGAGGTTAGTTAGTTCAATATTTGGGTCTGAGGTGTTTTCTGAGTCCTGGAGGTGTTCTGACATGCTCTGACATTTGTGCTTATTTCTGTTACTTGTGATATTTTCATGGCTAAAGTCTGATAACACTGTATTCAGCACAAACTTTGCTACAATAATATGTCAGCAGCATGTATGTAAAAGTTTGTAGTTTTGTACAAAGTGGTTTGTGAAAAACCACAAATAAATTGTCACTGAAATAAGAAAACCCATACTGATTATTTCTTCACAAGACTTTTCACATAGCCTAGAATATTTGCTTCAAAACTATGTGAAAATCATCCCGCGTACTCATTCAGATAAAACAATATATTGATTTATTTGTATGACATGTTTTGTTTAAGAAAGCTTTATGCGAGGAGGCGTGAATCATCATGAATATTGATGCGTTTCACACCTGAGAAAGACAAAGACCCTCCCATAATGCCCCTATCAGGCCCTATCATTATGAGGAACCTTGCACAAAGAATGAGTAGAGGTTTAAAAACTCACTAATATTGATCACCAATGCACCATTTATCCAAATATGGCATTTACTCATTTGTATAAGTTAAGGTTAACACTTTACTTTACAATACAGTTTCATTTGTTAACATTAGTTGACTACATCAATTAACATGAACTAACAAATGCTGTAAAGTATCGTTCATCGTTAAGCTTAGATAATAAACTGAGGATTTACTAATACATTTTAAAGTGCCCCTATTTTGTTTTTTTTCTTATATTCCCTCTAAAGGGATAGTTCACTTTGAAATTAATGTTTGGTGTGTTTTAGCTTACCTCAAGGGCATCCCAAGATGTAGGTGTCTTTGTTTCCGCAGTAGTTTCAATTTTGATATTTTTAGGTCAAACCGTTCTTGTCTGTCAGTCATATAATGCAGGTCTATGGTCACCACCTCAAAGAGCATGCACAGAGAAGTCCAAATTAAACATGATTTAATGACTCGTAAATGTAAGTACACATTGATGGCCTAAGACACGAAACGAGCGGTTTGTGTGAGAAAACGAACAGTATTTATATCGTTTTTACCTCTTGTAACCACAGCCACGTCCAAGTGATCTGAGGGCGCCGGCGCTTCGGTCTGCGCAAGTGCCGGAAAGCGCCGGAAGTGATCTCTCGTGCGGTTGCGAAAAAAATTCAACGTTGTCTGTTGATATATCGAAATCGTCTTCCATTGCGATTTCCTGTATATCTAATAGGGGTGTAATGATACACAAAATTGACGGTTCGGTTTTCCCACGGTTTTGACGTCTCGGTTCGGTTCGGTTCGATTCGGTTCGGTTCGGTTTAGAAAGCTAAAATTGCTTCTTTTTTTTCTTTTTTTTTTTTTAACAGTGGTTTAACAAAAAAATGATCTTTGTCTTTAAATTAATTCAATTACAATTAAACGTTTCACAAGGATTAAAAAAAAAATCTGCTAAATCTGTAAACTATATAGGGAGCCGCACATTACTATAACATTAAAGGTTGTAGCCTAGACTTTTAACCTGAATTCAGATGCTATTTATTTTTTAGATATAATAATCAACACACTGTATGAAAACATGTAAACTGAACATAAGGCAGTTTTTGCATTAACTTGTGTTTTTACTCTAATTTGTTATTGAAATATAATACTTTACACAGTTGTCATTTTCATGAAAGATATTTTAAACATAGATTAAATAATCAAGATATCATTAACAGGTTAAGTAAAATATAATATATAGGCTAACATGGTGCATTTATTTAGTGCAAGAGTTCATTTAGGAACCAAAATTGTGGACACTGAATCACTTGGCTGTTGAGGTAAATATAATGCTAGTGACAAGCTATGCTGTTTTATTGACGTCTTTCCGCTGCTGAAACACTGATTGAGCGATTACACGAGTTATGATGCCTTTCAGTAAGTATACTGCATCTTTCAACATACCTTCAGGTGTCCATTCTGTAACTGAGGAAGAGATGATCGCGTTTACCCGCGCGCCGCGCTGCTGCTTGAAATCAGGAGCCTAGTAGGCCTACAGCGATCTGTCACGCCACATCAGAGAGCGCCAAAACGCCATTTATTGTTTGAATTTCGTTATCAAATAGACAGAATTTGAAAGATTACACCTTGCTTATTATCGAAAGTAACAAAACACGGAGCTTGTTATTTGGTGTTAATGGTGGTTAGGCTACAAAACTGAATTCGTTGTGTACTGTAGCCTACACAAGACATGAGGTCTATTGAGCCGGGCTGGGCTGGGCGGGGCGGAGCCGGGGTAGCAGGGGGCGGGGAGGGGCGTGTTCGGTACGCAATGAAAGTATCGCGATTCGAATCGTGTGTTCTGTATCGCGGTTTTTCGGTTCGGTTCGAATATCGTTACACCCCTAATATCTAAATATGTTTAGATCTTCACAGTGAAAGGTAACACTTCCGAAATCTCTGTGTAAACAATGAGTGACGTACACGCGCGGGAGATCACTTCCGGCGCTTGCGCAGACCGAAGCGCCGGCGCCCTCAGATCACTTGGACGTGGCTGTGGTTACAAGAGGTAAAAACGATATAAATACTGTTCGTTTTCTCACACAAACCGCTCGTTTCGTGTCTTAGGCCATCAATGTGTACTTACATTTACGAGTCATTAAATCATGTTTAATTTGGACTTCTCTGTGCATGCTCTTTGAGGTGGTGACCATAGACCTGCATTATATGACTGACAGACAAGAACGCTTTGACCTAAAAATATCAAAATTGAAACTACTGCGGAAACAAAGACACCTACATCTTGGATGCCCTTGAGGTAAGCTAAAACATACCAAAAATGTATTTCAAAGCGAACTATCCCTTTAATGCAGTGTGTTAAATATAGCTGTTTGTGAATGTAAATGTTCTGCAAAGTTGTATAGTCGAAAGTGCTCGATAAATACAAGTTATTGTCTCTCAAAAGAAAGAATCGACTCTGAACCGCCATTACGAGTAATTTGAAATCCGAATCCTACTGCTTTACGGTTCTACTTCACTAGAAAAGACTTTTGCATAATGCCTGCCTATGTTGTACGTTGTCCACCTGTGAACAACTTGACCAGCCCACAACACGTCATTTTACTGACAACTGCTTCAAGTTGAGTTCAACACGGGATTCGTAAAACGCTTGCTCTTGAAAGATAGGTCAGTTCCCAGTTTATTTAGACCAGCTTGCTCAGAGTCACAACCTGTAAGTATGAATAATTATAGATGTATATATTTTCTACTAGGTGTTCAGAATACTTCGTTTTGAGTTTTATATTGTGTAGGTCTCCTGCTAACTGATTACTCTTACTGAAATACTTCTGCTAATCAGTTGTGGGCCACTATTACCTAGAACTGTGTCTATTAATGCAGATCGTCTGTCGTTCTTACTACTTTGAGTAAATATAAAGGATGGAGCGAGATTTGTTCTGCAAACTTTAATGTCACATAAGTCATTCACGTTAGTGCTCGGCTAACATATGCACCGTTATTGATACAGTTCCCACATGTGCACTGCAATAAATTAGAAATACACACATTGGTTTGTTGATGGACATACAACTTAATGTTAATGCTGATGGTGAGAAATTACAGTTGCAACATCTCATAAAGTACCTCAAACTGTACATTCGACAAATCGTCACTGGCTTTACAGTGTGTACAATCGCTGAGAACTGAGGAAGCCTCCAGAGCTGAAGTTCAGTTATGGTAATGACCATTTAGCTTCAACCAATCACAACAGACTGAGCTGTCTGGCCAATCAGAGCAGAGTAGCTCACGGAAAGGAGGGATTTAAAGACACTGATTCTTCCATTGAGTCATTGAAAAATGTGGTGGTGTTCAATGTATATTATGAGAAAATGAAACAGTTTGATGCATGTTAACCTTTTGTAGGAGACCTCCAAAACAAAATTAGGAAACTTTAAAATAGCATAGTAGGGACACTTTACGGCATACATGGGCAATATACGGCCCTGGGGCCGGATCCGGCCCGCATAGTGCTTCAATCCGGCCCCCGGGATGCACTCGATGCGCTCGCAATTTGGATGAAACACACACCACAAAAAAAAAAAAAAAAAACACCGCCTTTATCCCGGGAAGTCACCTGTTTAAAAAAAAAAAATAATAATCCGTCCGCTCAGTTTATAAACTGTACTCTCTGTCAAACTCAATTCTCAAACGGTTTCCTCGGTTTAACAAATCGTGCTCACGGATTAATAAACCGTACCCACGAGTTTCTAATCCGCGCTCTCAGATTTGTAAACCGTGCCTTTAGTTTTTGCAATCTGTACCCACAAATTATTAAACCGTGCCCACGCTTTCGCAATCCATTCCCACGGGTTTGTAAACTGTAGCCTACTCACAGATTTGTGGCCTCTCCCCCAGTCTGTGCCAACCAGACCTCCTGTTTATGCATTTCATTATGTTTAAACTTAATTTTTTAAATGGATAATTTCTTGAATTTTCAAAAAAAAAAAAAAACATTTATGCTAGCCTACTTGTATCTTTAAAGTCCAATTTTTAAGAAGGAAAAAACTCAGTATAATAGAATAAGCAAAAAAAGACTTATTATAAAAAAGAAATATAACACAAAACCAGGTTAGATGCCAAATGCACCCTCCGACATTTTGCCCCTTTATTAAACATTTAAAATATTCACAAATTAATATGAAAAAAAAAAATCGATTTTACTGGTTTTTATAAGGCCAAATTAGAACCTGGAAATAATATTTTCCCCGCAGTGCTGAATGAGAAGAGCTCTGGAACCATACAGAGATATGTCATTTATAGGCTAATGATAATAAAGGTGTCTGAAAAAATTACGAGCCATTTTAATTTTTCGTTTAAAAGTAAACATTTTAAGCTTTATATGTAGGCTATATTTTGTTTCAGTTCATTTATGAGACGCTCCACTTCACGGAGATCATGAAAGCGCACCTGATTTATTGTATTTTACAAAAGCACAACGTTTTCTTGTAATGTGAGTTTGGACAAATAAATGTAGTTGCGAATGATGTATTATTCTTTTCTGTATGACCAGAAATGATAGAGTAGCAGCCTATTTTAAGTTGTTTCCACTGTTGATAGTAAAATGCAAGTGTTCGCGGCCGCGCCTCCAGTCCCGTGCCATGCAGTGCGCGCTCCACACACACACTTGGATATGCGCCAAAATCTTGTGTTTATTTGTGATAATCTTAGCCCTGTATTATTATTGCCTAACCTGTATTATGACTGACATTTGACGAATTGCGTTGTTCCTTTTTTTTGGATAAAAGTGCCTTCTATGTAAAACCTAAATGTAAGCTAATAATATTATTATAATTTGCGTTTATACCTATAAATGAACTAGTTCACTGAAGACAGTAATATGTTAATCATAAAATAATTTATAAATGTTTTATTTTTATGTAACCTACCTTGTTTTTGTGTTATATTTCTTGTTTTATATGTGAAGTTTTTTTTTTTTGCTTATTCTATAATACTGAGCTTTTTCTTAAAAATAAAAAAAAGGACTTTAAAAGATAGGCCTACAAGTAGCCTAAATGTCATTTTTTAGAAAATTCAAGAAATTATCCATTTATATAATAATGAAATAATGTACGGCGATCCTACTATTAAAAACAATCCAACAGATGTCGCTGTGTGAAATTACAATTTGCGACTTAACTTCTCTTCTTCACTCCTCAAAGTAACAAATTCTAAACGGCCAGCGGCATAAACAATTTGTCAAAATGAGTGCAGTAAAAAAGAGAAAAGTTGACTCTGAATGTCGAGCATTCAATAAAGAATGGACGTCAAAATATTTCGTTACGATCGTCGGCTCAAAGGTGATTTGTCTGATATGTCAGGAGAGCATCGCTGTCTTTAAAGAATATAATATTAGCAGGCACTTCAATGCTAAACATGCTAATTATGCCGTGAATTTCTCCGCAAAAGAGAGGGAAGAAAAAGCCACGAGATTGTCCTCCAACTTAACTGCCAGGCAGAATATTTTTACCAAGCAGTCTAATGTACAGGAGTCAGCAACAAAAGTGAGCTATATGGTGTCACACAAAATCGCCAAACACAGCAAACCATTTTCAGATGGTGAGTTTGTAAAAGACTGTATGGTAGAGGCAGCTAGCGTGCTGTGCCCTGACAGCAAAAGTCAGTTCGAAAATGTGAGCCTGTCTCGCCGTACAGTTACTCGTCGCATCGAGGTAATTGATGATGAGCTGACATCTGCATTGCTAAACAGGGCCAGTGATTTCACATACTTTTCAATAGCGCTGGATGAGAGCACTGATATTAAAGACACTGCCCAGCTGCTTATATTCATCAGAGGTATTACTGACACATTTGAAATAGTGGAGGAGTTTCTTTCGATGGAATCAATGAAGGGGACGACAAGGGGTTCAGACCTCTATGATACGGTGTCAGGATGCATGCAGAGAATGAAACTACCGTGGGCGAAGTTACTGAACGTGACCACTGATGGCTGTCCAAACCTCACCGGGAAGAACACTGGGCTATTGCGTAGGATACAGGACAGGGTGAGAGAGGATGACCCAAACTCAACTCTGATTTTCTTGCACTGCATCATTCATCAGGAGGCCTTGTCTAAGTCGGTGTTAAAGCTTGATCACGTCACCAAAACTGTGGTGAAACTTGTCAATTTCATCAGGGCCCGGGCGCTGAACCGCACCGCCAGTTTATCCAGTTGTTGGAGGAGAGTGAGGCAGAACACACTGATGTCCCATACCACACCAAAAGTCCGCTGGCTGAGCCTGGGAACAGTGCTGCGCCGTGTGTGGGACCTGAGAAGTCAGATAGCCCTGTTTCTGGAGAATGTCGGGAAGGCTGGTGACTTTCCAGAACTTGAAGATTCCGATTGGATGCTTGACTTTGCCTTTGCTGTGGATTTAATGGGCCATTTGAATGACCTCAATCAGAAGCTACAGGGGAAGGATGTGTTCGTGCACGAACTGTATTCCTACGTGCGAGCATTCAGGGCAAAGCTGACTCTGTTTTCCCGACAAATGACAAACAAGAGCTTTACACATTTCCCAACTCTTGCCACAATGAAGGATGTGCCATCCCGACTCACTGTCAAATACACCACCACACTCGAGGATCTGCACACTGAATTCAACAGGCGTTTCTCTGATTTCGGAAAAATAGAAAAAGAGATGGAGCTGGTGTCCGCCCCTTTTTCCTTTGACAGCGACCAAGCGCCTCCGGAGGCTCAGCTTGAGTTGATTGACATGCAGTGCGATCATACCTGTCAACACTCCCGTTTTTCCCGGGTTTCTCCCGTTTTTTAGCCCTATCTCCCGGACCCCTCCCGGTTTGTTATTTCTCCCGGGAAACTCCCGTAATTTGCATGGCCCAAACTCCTTTATGAATAATCGGACCAATATGTTTGTCTAATGTTGACCAGTTGCCAGATTGTATTAAATGCATTATATTCACACAATCCACAGACCATTTACAATTTCAACCCGTTTGTCACCTCAACCTGGCAACCTATAACCCAGTTGCGCAGTCGCGGAAAGTTTAACCCGAAAGCGAGCCGATAGACATGATGGCAGGTGAAGGTGGTGTCCCCGCAATGAAACTGAAGTACAGTTTGTAACGCGTTGCTTCAGGAAGATTAGGGATAGCTCACAACTGAAGTTATTGCATGCAGAGGCCAGACAGACACACGGAGGCGATTGGCATCTCACAACTCGCACTTTATTCCCAAATCTAACTCGTGTAGCCTAACTGTCTGTCACACGTTCTACTGTCCACATCGTTACTTAGTAAACAAAATAAGATAAAAATTAGCATCAAACAGAAATTACCCGCATACATGGGGTGTTCGCATTGCCAGTAAAAGGGGTGTTCGAGGCCCAAGGCACATACAATACAATACTGCCGACAGTTCAACAGGGAGCGCATAGCTCTTAAAGGGGCCACACCTTATTTCCAGTCGTTACAAGTTGTACATATACCTCAACCCCCCACTCCCCCCCCCCCCCCCGCCGCCGGAGAAATCTCCCGGATTTTGAAAACCAAATGTTGACAGGTATGAGTGCGATCCCACTCTCAAGGAGAAATTCACCTCGTCATCATTGGACAGGTTTTACGGTGCATTGAACGAGGCCAAGTTTCCTAACATGCGGAGGCATGCGCAAAGGATGCTAGTTTTATTCGGGTCCACGTATGTATGCGAGCAGACTTTCTCTATAATGAACTTTAACAAGTCACGCAACAGATCACGACTAACCGACGCACACCTGTCGTCCGTGTTGCGCATCTCAACGTCGAACACGACCCCAGATTTCGATGTATTAGTTAAGAAAGGCGACCGCCTCAATTGTTCACATTGAGTTACAGAACACCGACAAAAAGCTCTTCATCTCAGTTGCATAGGATGAAACACATTTTCTAAAGTAGGTAAGCCTAGCCAAAGTTCCATTAAGTTACCCTTGATTGATGGTGTTATTTTTACAATATTGTTCAGTTTCATGTTGCCATTTCTTATGCATGCCCCGCGTAGATGGTTATGATCCCGCGTAGATGGTTATGATACAGCTAAATCAAATTTTAATTTTGTGAGATGCATAGGCATATTCCATGTTGTCCTTTATATCTTTCAAGCAAACATATGTGTGAAGTTGATCTGCACTTAAATTGTGTTCTATTTTATAAAAGATTTGAACAAAATATGTGAGAAAAATTTCAATAAAAATGAATAATCACAAATGTAATCAGCTGAATATGTTTTTTATTCAGTGATGAAGGTCTCTTTCTGGTGGTATATAGCCTCAATTAAATATGATAATTCCAAGCCAGATTGCCTGAAGTCTGTATATGTATGTTAATGTAACCTGCACACATATATTTGCAGTTTTGTTAATATCTTGAATAGCTACAACTGGTATGAATGACAGTTGAACAATATGCAGGGTAGTGTAGGAAATTAATCCTTGAAAGTAAATCCAGTTGTTAGACAGAGTAGCTGTCAATAACTGTAGAGTAGCCTTGTACATATATGATTAAATGGTACAAATTAATTCAATGCAAATAACTGTTTAATTGCAATTGTCCAAAGTGTGGCACTCCGTTTACTTTGCGAAAGTAACTTTGGCCCTCAGACTAAAACTGTTGCCCACCCCTGCTTTACGGGGTGTGTCTGTTAACATGTGAATGCACTGTGAACTAAAATGTACAGGAAAATGTTGATTAACATCAACAAAGATTAATAAATGCTGTAAAAAATATATCGTTCATTGATAGATAATGCCTTGACAAATGTTAACAAATGAGACCTTATTGTAAAGTATTACCAAGTAAACAATATGTTGGGATAGTCTCACTATACTATAAATGTTATGAGAATTATAAGGAACTTGTTAGGAAGTAATACAAATTTGTTTTGTTTGTGTGCGCTCATGTACTGTGTGCAACAGCAGCTCTATGCAGGCATGAATACTGCCAATGAGTTTTGTTCTGCTTCCAGTTTATCCCAACCATTTATGCAAAAACATTGTACATATGCTGCACAGTATCAGCCAAAGCACAAACACAGTAATGGACTAAGTACAAGTATGTTCTCAGAGCATTCCTTCACATGACTCTAAATACAGTATGATCATGTTAAATGTGTGCGAGTACCTTGAGCAATGGCATCTCCAGTCTCCCCCAATTCTTTCTCCTCTTTCTCCTCCTGAACACATGATGCTGCTGCCATCTGGGCAAGAGCTGAGGCACAGTTGGCAGCCACACCTAAATGACAGAGAATTAAGTGCCAGCAAACACACCATTTCCATTAGTGTCCTATAATGGGAGCACTATAACTGAACAGAAATTATTATTATTATAACCTTGATTTAACCAGGAAATAAAGCACTTTGAGATTAAAAATCTCTTTTGCAAGAGCGTCCTGGTCAAGATTATCAGCACACAACTCACGTGAGTTTAACAAATAACATTCATCCATGCATATATAGAAAACACACAGGTAAATATAAAATAAAATAAAATAAGTAAATCAATACATAAGTCAGGCAAAGCATCTACAACAAGATGCTTCTGTCTCCAAGTCTTTCAAAAGGCTTAAACTACCTACATAATTTTTTTTATAGATGTATGTCTGTAAAGGAAGCAGAAGCTTTTATAAAGAGAAATAAAAACGAATGAATGTGATGTTACCCAGAGCGCAGCTGAGAGCCGCAGCCTTGCGTAGACCATCCAGGCTAAGGCATATGGTGTCTCTCTCCCTCTGAGTTTGCTCTTTAACTCCCTCGGCTCCTAGAATAAAGGCGAGACCCCTAGAGCTTCCCGCCATGCGTCCTGTGAGCGGCATGGACAGCGTGTCGATCAGGTTTTTCCAGCAGCCGGTCAGGATAAAGCGGGCAAATACCACACCTGTCAGAAACGAGGCCATGATGAGGGAATGACCGCTTGACCCTGTGTTGTCAAAGCTTGTGATTTGACAATCTCTCCATGGATTCAGATTCTCACAAACTTTAAGACATTCTCATCTGTCCTCTTCATATGAGAGAGAACAACATCCGAGATAGCAATTAGTCAGGCTACAATTGCAGACTACCTTGCCATCCGTCACTGAAGATTATGCATACTCTTTCTGCTGGACTTTTCCATAGACTTAATATAAAATAAATCACCAGATCTGCTAGTCCTTCCTCTCTTTACTGGATATCCAAAGATTGTACTGGTTTGAGTCATTACAAGTACATCTTTCAGGGTATCTTTGTGTCTAAGTCACATCGACTTACCACCGGAGTACCTCAGGGTTCGGTGCTTGGCCCCCTCTTCTTTTTGAAATACACAACATGACTAGGCACATGGATTTTTCTGACTTTATTTTCGTCTCCTATGCTGTTTATGTTGTATCCACAGTGCAGCGCTTCTGGGTTCTACATCAGAACGTCGGCTCATTATTGGCCGGCTCCTGCGTGAGCATCACACGCATGTGTCATGGTGCTCACGTGAACAGTGTCGGCGTTCTGATGTAGAACCCGGAAGCGCTGCAGTGTGGATACAACATAAAGAGTGTAAGAGACGTTGTTTATTTTTATTTTTAAGCACTAAAAGTATTCTCGTTGCTTCATAACATTAAGGTTGAACGACTGTAGTCACATGGACAATTTTAACGATGTCTTTACTACCTTTCTGGGCCTTGCAAGTGGTCGTTGCATTGCTGTCCATGGAGGCGTCAGAAAACTCTCGTATTTCATCAAAAATATAATTTGTGTTCTGAAGATGAACGAAGGTCTTACAGGTTTGGAACGACATGAGGGTAAATAATTAATGGCAGAATTTTCATTTTGGGGTGAACTAACCCTTAAATATATTCAAAAAATAAAATAAAAAAAGATGTTTAAAATAGTTTTAATAGTTTATCATATCAAATGTCAGATCAACTACACAAGTGCATTTGTTTTGAGAGCTGACAAAGAAAAGAAACCTCTGTAACCTCTTTACGAATGTGTGTGTGGATATGCATTTATGCAGTACCTGCCACCAAGTTGTCACTGCCATTCTTGTCACAGGCAAAGGGCGACTGTGTTGAGGCCTTTCTGATCAGCTGACCACCAATAGCACTGCTGCCCAGTCCATCAATATCTGACAATTCACCATACACAAATATAATATACAGTCAGACCAAAAATTATTCAGACACCAGATATAAATTTTGATATTCTTTTACTAGTGGCTGCAGGACACTATAGTTCATTTATGAAAGTGAGGAGAGCAAAATAAAGTAAACTGTGACATATTATACCCAAATATTCTTCATACAGTGACTACCAGTAAAATTTATAAAAATATGGGACCAAAAATTATTCAGACACTTTGACCTGACCATGTTTTGCTGAAGTATTTTTTCTTTAATTGCTAATGCGAACTTTTTACACCACAGACTGAGAATTGTATTTGAATTGCTTGGTAATTGGTTGACCTAAATTGGTATGATCTAATTGTATAGTTAAATTTAACAGTTGACAGATATTCAACATTATTCATCTGTGAGAGTCTAACAGAAGCACGGACAAAACCAGTGAAATATCAACTGATTTGATAACTCTCAGTTCTTGTCATATTTTATTACCATTTTCTAAACTATAGCAAATAAACTGTGATAATGTGAGAAATGTTGAAGGTATCTGAATAAATGTTTGTTTGACTGTATATGTTATACATTTAATCCTTCACACCACGGGTTTGAACCAATAATTGCTCATTTGAGACCTCTACAGTTCATAACACACAAAGGAGTATTACCAGTGAGCATGGTGATGAGAGGTAAAGACTGCTCCTCTGCCGAGCCCCAGTATCCCGCCTCTCCCAGCAGGTTTCTGTCCAAGACCTGGTTATAGAGCTCCTCGATCCAGGCCTGAGACAGAACCACCAGAACCCCACTGCTCTGGATCTGACGCACAAACTCCTTCTGCACACACACACACACACAGCTCATTCAACATCACCATCAGATTGTGTGGGCCGGCCTTCAGTTAATTCAGAGATATTTCAAGTGTATGGTAAATTAAAGCAGGTTTGCAGGAGTACCAAAGACACCAGGGCAGACGTGGGTTTCCGGTGGTAGAAGTCACAGCAGCACAGTTTGAGGTTGAGCAGTAAAGCATAATAGGAAACCAGGTACAATCCATCCGCATTCATCAGAGCCTGACAATTCAGGTTTTCACTGCCCTCGAAACCTGGAGAATGAACCCCACCTGGAGAATAAGACCACATAATAACATCATATTACCAATACCATCATATTACATACATTCAAGCATGTTTGAGCTTCTGTTTACCAGATTTGATGAGCACTATGTATGTGTGTTGATCAGTATTTATGTGAGTAATAGCCTAAATTATACCTCGATATTATATCTTTTATAACGCAAGTCGTATGGGTTTGGAACGACATGAGGGTAAGTACAAATTTTTGGGTGAACTAACCCTTTAAAGGGGGGATTTAACTTAACGTCAGCATGCATAAATTACCCAGCCTGAATAAAAAACTACTGATATTTGGCCATTTTGGCATAGGCCAATAACCATAGCTCTGACGACGACAAGATTATGAATGATTGGCCAGATTCACCAATGATCATGTGTTTTCATGTTAATTCTGTCACCTTCAGTTTTGCTAATGCTCACAAATCTGTGTTTTTATAACAGTAAAAACTCTTTGCATGTAATCTTAATGTTATATTGTGTAATTTTTATCAAAATGAACCTGATCAAAATATAGACTCCACTTTATAGCTATTGTGATGGAATTTTTTAAATAAAATGTAAACTGTATTTTAAACTAATCATAATTCTAATAACTAACCTTTCTTTTTATTACAGGAATAACATTTTTATGCTTTTGAAACCTAAAATAATGTTTCCAAACACTTTGGTCAATGTGTTCGTGAATCATCTCCAAATATAACAAAAGGGGAAATGAAACTAGCCAGATATCCAAATTTATAAACTCACGACTTTGAGTAACAAAGTAAAGCTTCTACCTAGTATGGGAAGGGTTGCTGAATAAGAACCAATCATATTGGAGAAAGATTATGTAATGAATCAAGTCACCTTTGCTATGCTCCTAATTCTATGAAAACTGTTGTATTGATTTTGCTGGTGGGATACTCTCTGAAATTGGTATGAGATCCTCCAGCCGTGATTAAAGCATATTCGAAGGCATTACAGACCTTCTTCCCAAGTGATAGTGTTCAAAAAGGAACGAGACGTCGTTCGACTCAGTGTGAGACTCATAGGCGGGGTTAGATTGCGGTCAGGTAACTATAATTCTTAGGCATTTTATTTTATGCGGTTGGATTATCTACTCTTAGGCGTCATCCAACGCAGTAAGTGGTGAATTTACCTGAGTATAATTTTGCAAGTGTCGACTGTAGACGCTAGGGTATCGTCTGGAGACGCCCCAGGTAAAGTTAAGTCAGGTGTGTAGGGGAAAATCTACCACAGTATTTAAATAGCATAGACTTATGTTGCTGAGTGGTTCCACTCACAGCCAAAGTCAAGCTCACCTAAACTCTACAGGATAGTGGCCCTCCAGGAGCATGACTGGACACCTCTGCCCTAAAAAATGTGATTTCTGTCAAGACCGCTATCGTCAAATATGGTTGACAATTAGCATACACTTTGGATTGGCGGTATGATTCTGTTCTGGGCAAGAACTCCCTGCGCATCCATGCAGCCTAGCATGGATAAGAGCAATAACCCCCCAATAAATAGGGTAAACAGAACAGAACAAGAATGTATTACAGATATCATTAATTCAAGATTTTAGTGTGCAACATAATTCGAGAATTTAGTCTGATTCAAAGGGGAATCAGAAGGCCAAATCCTGACTGAGACAGGAGGAGCTGGGGAGGGAGGAGGGTAATCGCTCCTGAGAAACGCGATCGCTGCTGATAATACTGAAGGAGATTATATATGAATACAGTGATAGACGTCGTATTCCTATAGAGCTCCGGAAGCTGACGTCACGCAATCTAAACTCCGCCATTTTGGCAGGCAAATCAGGAGAGCGCCAGAGCGGCTGTAGCAGTGATATCAATAGCGGTCGAATGATTTAAAGTCTATTTAAATTTTAAAACCATAAAATTTCAACATGATTTTGGGGAATGTTTAAACTGTTGATTAACCCATTTAATCCCACCGTAAAGATATAAAAGAATAATTTTACAATAGTGACAGTAAAGATATAGTATCATTATCCCATAAAACAAAATTTTTCACACACTTTCCATAAACAATTTTTTATTTTTTATTTTATTGATTATTTCTATGAACATCTAATGACACATCATTAGGATATTTTCATGTCTGGGAAAAACTTGGGAAAGTCAAAAAAGACTTGACCCTCCCTTCGCCAATCGCCAGTAATTAATTTTTCTATGACCCTCCAAAACCATTGTGAAAAAAAGCATGACCCTCCCCGATAATTTATTGATTACTTCTGTACTGGTTTGCGCTTGGCAAAGATGTTCAGATAGCCATTGTTTGTTTGTTTTTACAACTAACAAATGACTAAACTCCTGCTTTCTCATCTTACTAAGGCTGTAACAATAGACCAAACCTACAATTCTGTTCGTATCATGATTTTTTTTATTTTAGATAGAACTTTTTTTTTTTTAAATCACGTTTTCGGTGCTGATGCATGGTGCGTTCATGTAGCAAGGGTGGCGTATCTGAAAGCTGCCACAAAGAACCGGCAAAGGTAATGATTATGAATATGTCAAATATAGCAAGGAGACATTTTAATTGTTTATTAATAAACAAGGTTTTTCTGTGTCAGTGTGTCGGCTTCAAGATATGAAGTTGACGATGCTGACTCGCGATCTTCACAGTAACGCGCCAGAGAGAAATGCAGATTTCATACTGATTACAAGCAGAGATCAGTCTGTTTTTCGTTTTTAAATGTTCTGTTTAAAAGTAGACATCAAGCTTTCTATACATTTATCAGGTCTGTGAAGTAGCCTACATAGTTTCGGTTCATTTATGAGACAAGAGTCCAGTTCACGCGCCGGCGCCTCCGTTTCTTATCTATCGTCTTCTATATTTACTTCTTATTTATTAAATCTAGGCAATTGGTTGATGAAGCATTAATTAAAATTAAGATACAATTACTTTAAAGAAAGGCTTTGTGCTTTCTGAAGTCCGTGAAAGTTTTAAAGTCACTTTCACAGCGGTCATCATGTCCATAATGGAGAACTGTCAAGTCCGTAACATTGTTTTTTTCCCCTCATAAATGCGAACACGAAAAATAAAATAAAAAAGAATATTTTATGTTCTGTGGAGGCTGACTCTTCTTCATCCTATTAGCCTACTTTTAGCAAAGCTATCAGTTCCTTTATCAATACACATGAAAAGCACCCCGGGGGCATTATAGGGATCTGTTATATTTAATCTATTAAGTTTTGTTATGTACAAGTCTATGTATTTTGAATTAAAGCCTTGAAACTCATGCTGCCGTCATTCATTCACGTCCCGGTACCGGACTGCCTGAGCGCCTCCTGCCTGCCAATATGGCGGTTTAAACAGAGTAGGTCACGTGACGTCCGGAGCTCTATAGTAGAGGATCAGCTAAGAGTCACTGATGCGAGCTTGACTAACGTGACCTGCCAGAACTGACGTGGCTTGATATAGGCCAGTAGTCTATAAACAGGCTATCGGTTAATTATTGTACACAACATTCGGCATGTTACCTGCTTGCAGACCCGAACAGAAGGTGGTAGAGAAGTTCTGCAGGGACACGTCTACATCGGTGGTGCTGTGCAGTCCCAGCAGGCGAGGCAGGAGTGAAGCCAGAGACTGCACAAAGAGCCGGGCGCTCTGTTGATCTGCTTCCTGGTTCTTCAGCAGTTTCAGGGACAGAGCAGCCGTGCGTAGCGTACGGTGCCCGGGACACTCCCGCGGCGTCTGCTCCTCGTCAGCCAGAGAGCAGTTATCAGACCCCATGTCGGAGACATCGGAGCGTCCCGAGTCCTTTTCTGCAGCCATTGAGTACTGGTCGCACGAATCGAACTCATAGCGCGACAGCTCCTGCTCATCCGCACTGAAGTTACTTTCGCTGTACCGTGAGCCATGCGAGCGTGTCCGGGACTCCACAGATAGAAAGTTGGTGATGTCAGGGTAGGCCAAGCCGTGACTGCGCTGCACTACATCGGGAGGGGCCGTACTGGACGGGGCTTCTGGGACGCCACTGTCTCGTACACATTCAGGCAGATCCGGGCGAGCTCCCGTTGCGGCCCCGCCGATAGACGGCGATGGTAGGCGTTGTCCCTCCCCAAAATCCTCTGGAGTGGTCTGGCCCATTTCCCCTTCCAGAGTGGTCTGACCAATCTCCCCCTCTACAGTGGTCTGGCCCGTGTCAGTCGTGACACTGATGCTGATGTCAGGGCTGCGTTCAGTGATGCTGGTCTCCCAGGCGGCGTTCTCAGCCGAAAGTACGCGCCGCTGCCAGCGGAAATCAGCTTCGTTGAGTTCTACAGGCTCACGCATTGACTCCGCCCCTTCCTTCAGATCATCCAATCGCCGCAGCAGCATTCGAAACTGGTCTGGCTGCAGGCCACGCCCTTGACTGAGCTCATCTAAAGCACCCAATAGTGCACAAGCGCAGGAGACGGACGAGTAGCACGCCTCAATTCCACCCTTCATGCATGCTTCCGTTATACCATCCATTACCCTGAGAAAATGGGAAAGATGGTGGCATTCATTGGTAAAAATTACTTAAAGTGCCCCTGTAGTTAATAATTTCATCCCTTAAAACTCATATTTGATCACCAAAATGACATATTTTTTCAAATAACTTGAATGTAACTCTACACCCTTGCCTCGTTTAGTATACGAGGTTCTATGAATATGCAAATGAGCCCCGTCTCGACTCACTCACACCAGTTCAGAGATCCACTCGTTGACGATCACAAGTTGACCTGGGGTGTGGTAGTTTAGCAGCGTAGTTTATTTCTTCATATTTTGCTAGTCACGACTGTTTTCCTAAACCGTACTGTCGCAAAGTGGTCGTTCAACTATGTTGGTTAATGATGTCACGAACTTGGTGGAGTAATAACTTCTTTTAATAAATCTGTTTGAGATCAAATTAATGCTAGATGTTTTGCTATAAATTACGGACATGGCATCTGAGGACTATTTCAAATTTTTCTCAGTTATTGTGCTTTATTTCCAGATTCAATCATAGGCTCGTTCTTACGTACTAGAGCACGTTCGCACAAAAACGCTGCTTTAAATCTTTTGACAAACTAAAATACGTAAATGACATTTGTATGTATTCCAAATAAAAGATATAGATTGTACTGAATGTCAGCTTGATTATCTGGCTTAAGATAGGATTTATTGAGTCCACATATGTCATGCAAACAAGAAACTCTGCTTCTAACCACAGCTCGAGAGCTGTCGTTACAAACACACAACTTTGCGAATGTTTGTTGGAATGATGTTTTCGGGAAAAAAATAAATGTTTAACTATGTTGACAACGACGGAACTTGCGACCATAGTTGGCTAACGATGCTTTGGGGAAACGCACCCCTGATTGGTTACAAGGTCGTTTGTGACGTCAGAAACACCAGCGATTTCAAACCGTGTTTTTGAGACTGTCTTTGGTTCACTGCAGTTTTAAGGAGAAAACACTCAGTAATGCTGTCGACTTATGAATTTACACATGGTTTGTCTTAAAGCGTATTAAAAACACCACATAGACACATAAACAACATTAAAAGCTGGATTTTCACCAAAGGGAACTGTGGCCCAAAGACTTAAGACACAGACCTTGCTTAGTTGGGGTTTAAAAGACACTTGACATTCAGTACAGTTATCAATTGAGTAAAATTGATCTGGATATGTCTTTGTACAGATGCTGAATTGACTTTTTCATAATTGACAAATTTTGCATCGACACCGTTATTGAAATTAATCAACACTGATTTGACTCAAGCTGATTAACAAAACTATTTTCTTCTGTAGAGACCTCCTGACATGATCTGAATAATGACACTATTGTCTTTTTACAGCTGCTATAGAGCAGAATTTGAATTTGTCTCATATTTGATGAAGTTTGCATCATTGATTCTGTTATTTTCCTGTTTATTACTGTGAAGCTGCTTTGAAACAATCTGTATTGTATAAACCACTATATAAATAAAGGTGACTTGGCTTAAGATACACTTTTAAGGCCAATTACATTGCATTGACAAACACCAGTCAACGGCAACAGACATGTTCATCTGGTTTGCTCGGATCAGTGTGTTTACCCCTGTTGGCGCTTCGTGTTTGTCTAGTCTGAAAAGGGATGTACATTAATCTTAGAATTAATTAGAAACAAAATATCTTACAGTTTGAGAAGATCAAGATGCGACTTCCTTTTTGAGAAAGACCTCTTTCTCGTCTCAGGTTCAATGACGCATGGACCAGCCAGGTCAAACAAGCGCTGGGGGCTTCCCACAATCTGCAGGGGGCGAGAGGAACAACAGCATGCTTATTAGGACACAAAACCTCAGTAAACTCAAATATCTGGGGGCATAAAACAAGATGATTTTGTAATGTCTTTCACATTTCAGGGGTTCTTAGAAGCGAGAGTCATCATAGTTTGGTATACTTCTCTAGGCGTGAATGGAAACTACAACAAAAAATCCACAACAGCATTATATGACTTTACAAAAGAGGACAAGGCCAGTCCTAGGGGCTGTTTACACCTGGCCACTTCATGCGTTTTCTGTGATCGGATAGCTATCCGATCGTGAAAAGACCAGGTGTAAATGCCCTCCGAAACGCATTCGAGACGGATTTGAATCCGATCGCTCAAACCACAATTCAGGAGGAGGTCTGGGCCGCATTCCAGACGAAACTGGACAGGTGTAAATGATCTGGTTGTTGAAACCACATATGTCAATTTTACTCCTCCCAAAAATGCTAAAAAATAAACGTGTGAGTGTTTTATATAGGCTATATGTCATGTTATAGTCAGTTATGATGGCGCTCCTGCAACACACATCACCTCAGATAAGCGTCTATTCATCAAGCCAACGCGCCGCAAACTATCGCAAATCAAAGTGAAAGTGAGTCGCAGACGCTTAACACACTAATCATCTTCATTAAAAGTAAAGAAACGAAATGATCTTACCAGTTCTGTTAAAGCTCTCTCCTATTGCAGTCTTTGATTTTGAAATTAGCTGATGATCAATAAAATGCAGCTCATATCTGTTGCTTTCGGTGACGTGCTCTCCATTAAATCTGCATATAGCGCGGGAATTGAAGATCGGATTTATATCCGTTTTGCAAAAACACATTTATGTGACCATGTGTTGTTTTGATAAATCAGATAGCGATCCGATCTGAGAAAACGCATGAAGTGGCCAGGTGTAAACAGCCCCCTAGTCTGCTATGGATATGCTTACCACAGTCAAATACCCCCTTGCTTTAGTAGGAAATACTTCTTAGCAAACTTTTAGTCATAATGTCGACTTGTATTGTTCCCGAGTGCATAAATACAAAGACTAAATATTTAGTTAGAGTGAGTTGTTCTCAGTTTTCAGTGAAGGATCCAGCATGTTATAGGCAGTGGCTAAAGGCTGCAAAGAATTGTAAATACGGAGAAACGCGTTACGGCAAATCGGACAAATCTCTGTATTTGTAGTCACTCTACTCTAGAGTATGTAGTCATACTCTAATGACAGTTAGTCGACATTGCAAAGTTACTTAGGGTGTATTCACACCTGGCTTGTTTGGTTCGATTGAATCGAGCTCTAGTTCGTTTCCCCCCTTGGTGCGGACCTTTTGGGCAGGTGTGAATACAGCAATCGAACTCGGGTGCGGACCAAACAACCGAACCGAGACCCAGCTGAAGAGGTGGTCTCGGTACGCTTCCAAACGAACTCTGGTACGGTTCGTTTACGGTGTGAACATGAACCGACCCAATTGCAAGAAAGCACTGCGCCTTTAAGTTAAAAGGCTTCCGTAGTCGGAGATTTTGGCATAATGGTTTGTGTTATTGTTGTTCAAGTGCGAAAGAGAATTCCACTCCTGCGCGCTGTTTGGCCACACGATACTGTTGCGCGTCTTTCTGCACGCCGTGTGTGTGCATCATTGGAATGAATGAATGAATGAGTGTGTGCATCAGGACATTCACATACAGAGCGTTCTCTTTAGTCTAAGCGCGCATAGATGCAAAAAAAGCTTTTACAGTTCATATAATTTAACGATAGTTACAATACAAGGATGACGCTGCGTTAAACTGGACAAACTTAATCGCAAGCGTTAACATTGACAGCACTTGTTAGCAGTATATACAATAAGAATCTCATTATTTGAATGTGTTTACATAGCCCCTCTCTATGAATAAAAACTTTATACCTTATCCGTCTTCTGCGCAGTTTCTTCATATTGCGTTTGTACAGAATAACACAAAATTAGTAAAATAACAAATATTGCAGTACGAAATATCTCCATGCTGAGCCTTTTTTGCCCTTCCTGATTTCCCTACTTGAGAATCCTTGTCCAATGAATGGACGACCTTAGCACACGTGTGGTTTTGTTTACAAATTTTGGTTCACTTGCAAAAAGAGCAGTGTGAAAGCGAACCGTACCAAAAAAAAAAAAAAAAATTTGGTCCGGACCAAAGCAAGTGAACTATTGGACTTTCCTGGTGTGAATACACCCTTATAGTTAGTAGAATGTCGAAAGTGGACTATCGAAATAAAGTGGAACCAAAATGATCGTACAAATATGATAATTATCGTACGTCTGTCAACACTGGTTGGAAGTCGAATGTAGTGTTTTCAGTGTGTTCAAGCGCAACTTTGTGACATGAAGCTAGATCTTTGTTGTCAGTTTTCGTGTGTCTCAGTCTTATTTGTGATTTCTCACCTCCTTCATAATCTTAATGGCCTCCACTCTGTGCTGGGGTGGGGGGTAGAGCAGAATACGGTGGTACAGGGACTGCAACACCGGCTTCATGGACTCGATACAGCCCACCAGACGGACTAACTCTGCGGCCACATAGCAGATGGTGCGAACGACGGGCCCGATCATGCCGGGAGCGCTCGACGAGCAGCCAGAACCCCGGCCCTGGTCCGAGACCCCTGTCCCTGGGGCCGCGTCTGAGTCCTGAGACTGCGCACCGTGGGCAGAGCTGATGCTTTTATCACTCGCGGGGTTTCCCATAATCACCACCAGAGTTGGACACAACTGCTTCCTGTGTACACACAGGACACACTGATGATGCATCATTGCACCATGTTCCTCTCAGAATCATAATAGTCAATTTGTAAGACCAAAGTAACACAAATTGAGAGTATGCGTTTACAAAAAAAATAGACGTGTTTATTGGATATTGTACATTGATACCATTTTTTGGACATACCCTGCTAATACCATGGTTCCCATTGAATAGATGGTGGAGAATACTTTTAGATCATAATTTTTTAGCTGACTAAAGTCAGCATGAAATCAAAAAAGTAAATTCTTAATTTTTGTATTTATCATAAATGATTTATCAGTGCACATTAATGTTTTTTAATTCATGAGCCTCATAATTTTGATTCAGAATAGCTTCCCCTTCCTCTTGAAGAGACATCTCTTCTCTTCTCTGATGATGATGAGGGCGGGGCAACCTGTCACTCACATGAGATCCACCAATAGCAGACCACAACCATCCAATCAATCCCCCACGGACAAAATCAAGCCCCGCCTACATTTTTTTCTCATTCCAGAAGCCGTTTCACTCTCATATACGTCACAACTTTCATTTCATGCAGACCTTAATACTTACATACTGTACAAATAGTTGAAAATTTATTGAATTAATGTTAATTAATTAAATAATGTCCCTGTACGTCACAACTTTCATTTCATGCAGACCTTAATACTTACATACTGTACAAATAGTTGAAAATTTATTGAATTAATGTTAATTAATTAAATAATGTTTTCCCTGTTTTTTTTTCAATTACAGTGTAAGCTTAAAACATACACATTAAAAAGTCATTTATTCACACTTGTAATCATATGCTGAAATGTATGATTATGAGGGCTGTCAATTGATGTTAACAATGATGTTAATTTAATGCAATTAATTGTAAATTAAATTTTTTTTTTAAGTAGTATTTTAACATAAGCTGAGCTGTTTAACTAGATAAAGTGCCAACATCCTTGATTTAAACAAGTCTCACCAGATGAGGTCAGTGAAATTACGATGCAGGTGCATTGTGGGAGGACAGCTGCTCAGCATAGACAGAATACACTCCAGGTACAACAACTGCAGCAGCTGGTTTTCACTGAAGAAGAACACACACATCTCTCGTCACATTGATGAAACACTAGCGCACTTACAAAATCGCATACTGCCCTAGTAGGTACAACATTAGAGGAGGAACAAACTTCATAATTACCATTTTAAAAAGTGCATTCAATATAGTATGAATGTATGTAATATAAATAAAAATCTGGGTGTACTACATCCGTCATGTTGGCTTTGCTTGCCTACTTTTCACTGTCAAATTCAGACATACTACTTCATACTACTTTCACCAACTATATAGTAAGGAAGTAGGCATATTCTGACACAGAGTATGACAGATTTGAGTCTTTGCTCAAAGTGACTATATTACAGGTGAAACTGGAAAAATTTGAATATCGTGCTAAAGTTGATTTATTTCAGTAATTCAACTTAAAAGGTGAAACTAATATATTATATAGACTCATTACATGCAAAGTGAGATATTTCAAGCCTTTATTTGTTGTAATTTTGATGATTATGGCTTACAGCTTATGAAAACCCCAAATTCAAAATTAGAATATTGTGATGATTATAAGCTGTAAGCCATAATCATCAAAATTATTACAAATAAAGGCTTGAAATATCTCACTTTGCATGTAATGAGTCTATATAATATATTAGTTTAATCTTTTAAGTTGAATTACTGAAATAAATGAACCTTTGCACGATATTCTAATTTTTCGAGTTTCACCCGTTTATATTTACTAGTCTTAGCAGTTTTTGCAACCGGCCCCTGGTCCCTAGATATGGCTTGTGTTCCGCCTTCAATGCAAGTCAATGGGGTTTGTATGCCCTTTTATTCTTCATCAGGCACAAATCATAAAACAGATTAGAAACGTATTAGCACTCCTCTCCTAAACTAGACACACGATTTGACGCATCAATCATGCATTTTGCCAGAAGTTTAATTCTTAGCGTTAAGATTTTCCTCAGTAGGTTCTATAGTAAAAGTGAATCTCATCTTAACAAACACCCCTAATAATAGTAATCACTAATACTAGTCTACTAATACTGACTACAACAAGTTAATAACATGTAAAGCTTACTTTGAGACAGACTCCAGTTTGTCACAGAAAACAGTGAGCACCATAACAACATCTTCATACAGCGCATCAGTAGTAGGAGAGACATCTGAAAACATACATAACATTTACATAACTAACTAATAATTGGCACATAAAAACTGTAAGCAAGCAATTAAAAAATATAACAGGTGAACCTATTACGTTCCTTTTTTTCTGCACTCATAAAAACTTTGTGAATATTAATTATATATCAAACTATGTACGTAAAACATTTTATACCACGGTCTGGGTGAATACTCGATTCTGATTGGCTGCAGGGTGTCCATTAAAAAGTGATAGAGGACACCTAGTAAAGGAGTTCTGGTGAAACTGACCGTTTACCGTTCGAAGTTAATAAATAAATGCGCTGGCTACATCAGCTGTGAGTAACCATAGCAACAGGCAGTCAAAGTATCCGGTTACAATTTATTGTATCAAAACAAACATTTAGTTAGCCGTTACACTATGCCTACCTGTGTGTTTTAATTAGGTTAGTGTAACGCCCATGGCTAGAAAAGCCTAACTAACATGAAAAAAAATATGTTAGCTTCCTGGCTCGTAAGTTAGCTAAACTGAAGGGATATCTGAGTTGAGCGGACTATAAATATCTCCGGTTGCTAAGTAAACCGTCAGGCGTAACCAGGGAAAACAAGTTATTGTTTGTAAAAACTTTAGATTTCAATTGTAAAACTAATTAAAATATAAACTAATGTTTTAAAAAAGTGTTATTTTGCAGAATAGCCTAAAAGACTCCAAATTCAAGTTAGGATAAAATGTGTACTGCATTTTGTCTTTCTATTTCAGCACACTTCTAACTACATAAGAGTGTACTGCCTTCTAAGACACCTTAAAGGTGCAGTGAGCGATTTCTGACACACTGTTGAAAGTGGATCAGACCTGGCACTAAAACACACTTGTAGCCAATCAGCAGTAAGGGGTGTGTCCACTCATAATGGGGGATGTGCATAGGGGCGGAGCTATGATGATGGGGGCGTGATCTTATTGGGAAGGGGCGTGTTTGTTTTGGTGATTTCAAATATCAACAACAACAACAATATAACCCTAACCCAACAGGAATCGCTTACTGCACCTTTAATTTGGCCCAGTTTTAAGACGGCATTGCATGTATACCTCACATAGAAGGCAATACAAGTCTCAGTTTAAAATAAATAAATAATAAAATAACAATAATAATGATATTAAATCGAGCATGGTGGAATAAACTAAAATGGCTCTTATATGTTATTCATTACATATTGAAAAGTATCAATAAAAACAGTTTAATCAAGTTAAAAATCAATATTTGTGCCTGTGAACTGTGTAATAACTGTATTATTATCTTAGCAACACACTCATGAGGACTATGACTTGTAAAAAAGGAAAAACCTTTGTTTGTAGATTCCGAAGCTGAGACGCTTTAACTGGCAGCTGTTATCATCAGTAAAGGTTGAGCAATGAAAATGGTTGTGGTTTATCAGCAACATGAAAATTATTAAACGGATAGTTTGACGGATGAGCCGTGTCGAAAACTTGGCAAGTGAAAGCATGTTTTCATGGCTTATTGATGGCGTGTACCTTTGCGCTGGTGCACAGGAATGCAACGTTCCTCGCCATCAAAACCCTGTAAAAATCCAACCAGACTCATTAAAAAATGCCAATTTCATAACATCAAATCATGCTTAACATTCCAGAAATGTTTGAGAAATCTAAAAATAAAAAAAATTAGAGTTATTACATGACTACTTAACAAAAAAGTAAATCTTGACTTGAGTTCAGCTATGATTGTTCAGGACAATGGTAATTATACAAAAAATAAAAATTGATAACACTTTACAGCAAGGTTTCCTTTGTTAACATTAACTAAGAATGAACTACAGCATTTATTATTCTTAATGTAAATTTTAACAATTACGAATACATTTTTTAAATCAAAATTTGTGATTGTTAATTAGTTAAAGGGATACTCCACTTTTTTTGGAAATAGGCTCATTTTACAACTCCCCCAGAGTTAAACTGTTGAGTTTTACCGTTTTTGAATCCATTCAGCCGATCTCCGGTTCTGGCGGTACCACTTTTAGCATAGCTTAGCATACATCATTGGAGTGGACAAGACCATTAGCATTTCTAAAAAAAAAAATGACCAAAGAGTTTCGATATTTTTCCTATTTAAAACTTGACTCTTCTGTAGTTACATCGTGCACTAAGACCGACGGAAAATATAAAGTTGCGATTTTCTAGGCTGATATGGCTAGGAACTACACTCTCATTCCTGCGTAATAATCAAGAAACTTTACTGCCGTACCATGAGTGCAGCAGGCGTAATGATATAACGCAGCGCCTGAAAATAGTTCCGTTGTGTTGACGGAAGGTGGCCTATTTTCAGGCGTCAAAAGTCAAAAGTCTTGTGGACACATATTTAGTATGTGTTTTGTGACTTTATTTCAGAAACTTAAATTTTTTGTTTTTTTTCAATAACCATGCATAAACAATATTCTCTCAAAAATACAAACATGTACATACATGTTGCTCACATATTATGGTAGCCCTGTTTGTGCTAAATAGATGTCACTACTAGCCGTTTGTCTGCTGTCTGTTAGCGTCACGTCACCTCAGCTAATCCGCCCTCTTTTTTAACCCCATTTCCTGTTATCCGGGAGTGACGCGCTGCCAAGATGGCGACGGCCGGCTCCGCCCACTTTGGGCTTGTTTTTTTACAGTCTATGGCTTATACACATGCTTCAGACACCAGTAAAGCCTATATCGCTCACTGTAAGTTCATGTTTGTAATGTTAACAAATGAGAACTTGTAAAGTGTTACCAAAATATTTGACTACAGAATGCCACCACTGACCAATCACACAAGCATATTTCAGAGAGCAGTGTAATAAGAGATTATAGACATGTGCTTGTGATTGTAAAGCTCTGTGAAACGTGACTCACTGTGTTTTCTTGTCTATGGCGTAGTTGTAGGGCGAGGTCTCCGAGGATCTGGCTGAGAGTGGCCCTGACCGCTGTGTTGATACTGCGATGATGACAACTCGATATGTACGTCTCGATACACACCTGGAGACACACAAAGATGCAACAGAGATTGAGCAACTTCGAATATCCACCATGACAAACTGCCTTTGTTTTCCACTGTCACCGCTGGAACCATCATTCCCTTTTAAAGCCACTGTAGATATTTTGTACGTCAAATGTGATTATCAGTGCTCTTCAGTCATTTTTAATCAAAACATTGTATGTTGTGGTTTTTTTTTACTTTTTACTACATCAGAATGCAACGAAACTTGGTTACTTGGTTAAGGTTTTGGCCCTTGCTAAATGAACACACACACACACACACACACACACACAGAATCATGGACATGATTCAAAAAGGTTAAATGGTTAAACGGGTCCTACAGCTACAAAGCATGTGTTTTCAGCCTCTGCCGTCTCACTATATGAGGAACACATGAACTTCATCTCCGGAGCCACTCTGACAGTCACTTTCCACTTGAGAAAACAATCTCCAGATACACACAGAAAACGCTCTTCAATACAACCCATCAAAATAAAAGAAACCGTGACAGAAATATATTACTATTGTACAGTGAAATGTACTTCTCAAAGTAATAATATAAACTATATTTTTCTTCCATGTATTAGTTTTAACAGTAAATCTTTGTAGTGCAAGTACTGTGTTTGCCAAAAATATAATTTGTTCATTTTCATTTGATTACATTTTAAAAGACTTAAATTGTTAATGTTTTAAAAATAAAAAATAAAAAAATAATTAAAAAGACAAATAAAGCATTTTATAGGGCCTTATCGTAAAAAATATTTACGATATTATTCAATTGATTAGACATGATTGTTTTTAATCAGAATGTAATTAACCCATTAAAACAGAATTCAGGAAAATGGAAATGCAAAGCCCTAAAATTTACGTTTATTTTTTGATTACTATAATTTATTTCAACCATTAAATAGGAATCCCAAAAAATTGTAATAGAAAAAAAAAAGTAATTTGGGAGGGAAAGGATTTCACGGGTGCTGTTGTTGTTTTTTAGGTAAAATCTTTCAATAAAACATATACATGCATGAATCGTTCACAAGAAGATCTATAACATGCATTTAGAAATACATTGAGATGGGGGGAATTTAAATGAATTGAAGAAATAGAAAGGAAAAATTCAGACCCAAGGGCACTGAAATAGTTGGCCATCACTTAATGAATAAAGAAAAGAAAGAAAGAGAAAGAAAGAAAGAGAAAGAAAGAAAGAAAGAGAGAAAGAAAGAGAGAAAGAAAGAGAAAGAAAATGAATGAATGAAAGAAAGAAAGAAAGAAAGAAAGAAAGAAAGAAAGAAAGAAAGAAAGAAAGAAAGAAAGAAAGAAAGAAAGAAAGAAAGAAAGAAAGAAAGAAAGAAAAAGAAAGAAAGAAAAAGAAAGAAAAAGGAAAGAAAGAAAGAAAGAAAGAAAGAGAAAGGAAAGAAAGAAAGAAAGAAAGAAAGAAAGAAAGAAAGAAAGAAAGAAAGAAAGAAAGAAAGAAAGAAAGAAAAAAAGAAAGAAAGAAAGAAAGAGAAAGGAAAGAAAGAAAGAAAGAAAGAAAGAAAGAAAGAAAGAAAGAAAGAAAGAAAGAAAGAAAGAAAGAAAGAAAGAAAGAAAGAAAGAAAGATGGCAGTCTGATAGAGGTCTTCACTGATAATGTTTGACTGGACATGATGGTTTTGATTGGTTGCTGCAAGCGTGTGTTTATGATGTGGAAAGCTCTCAGTTAATCCTGATCAACAGTGACTCTGAGAGGGAATCTTCCACCCAGCAAACAGGAAGGCGGAGCTGAGCATCGGCCGTCGCGTGGCTCGCTCGCTCACGGGAAAGGGATCTGAGACGTGGCACTAGTACCTGTAACCACAGCAACCAATGACACACCGCTGGAACATTAGTTTCGTGATGGAAGTGAGACGTCAGGAGAAAGGCCTTCACCGTGTCTTAGTCAGAACAACTGCCTTATATAAAAGGTCAGTGACGCTCAGTCAAAAGAATAGGTAATAATCAACTCATTTACTGGCCCTAAAATAATATTCGGACACAAACTTCTGCATGTCTAATAGAATACATCAAACAAGTGCAGTCATATCTCTAAGCAATTTTGCTATGACAATTAATCAAATGGAGTCAAGGTGTTTTTAGTGGATGTTCCACAGGAGTAGTTTATCACATTAACTATGCACATGTTTGGCATTAATGTTTGGCAACCATAAATCGTCCAAATAGCATGTGTCTTTACTTTGATCAGTAGTTGTATCTTTTGTTTTATTATTTATACCTTCCAAACTACCTACAATTGTGTTATTATCTTGTAATCTCATGTTATTCTTTATACCATGGTCTGTCTGAATACTCGATTCTGATTGGCTGGTTTACCGTTTAATGCACAGGTCAGTTTAATCACTGATCTATATTAATGCGCTGCTTTTATTGAAGCGCACACACACACTTAGATAGATAGTGCTACTCACACACAGAAACATTCAGGAGCACAGAAACTTATCATCATCATCACTCCCACATGATATATTAAAGGGGTGGTTGATTATGAGTTCACTTTTCTAACTTTAGTTAGTGTGTAATGTTGCTGTTTGAGCATAAACAACATCTGCAAAGTTACAACGCTCAAAGTTCAAAGCAAAGGGAGATATTTGCTTTTAAAGAAATCGTTTTTTAAGGACTACAACAAACGGCTGGTAGAACTACACGAGCTTCCTCCCGGGTTAGTGACATCACCAACCCTAAAATTTACATAAACCCCGCCCCCGGGAACACGCTGTTGTAGTCACTCTGTGTGCATCTCACAACAGTTCCTATACAAGCGATTTAAAGATTATCTTGACAGAATATGCTAATTGAAGATAGCTAACTCCACATCAGCAACATAAATCCATCAACTAACCATTCAGAGACGTCCTGTTGCATTCTACATGTTGTCACTTCTTCTTAGTCTCTCCATCTTTGTCTGACTCCGGTTTAAACATAAAAGGCAGAACAGTTTCTGACATTTTAGCGTGTGTCTGCGTGAGGTAATCGGAGCTGCTAACACACACACACTCTTGAAGCTCCGCCCACTATGTCGGGAGCTGCAGCTCATTTGCATTTAAAGGGCCAGACACAAAACGGTGCGTTTTTGCTCACCCTCAAAAAGTGACAACTTTCTTTTTCAAAGTGAAAAATATCTGTGGGGTATTTTGAGCTAAAACTTCACATACACACTCTGGGGACATCAGAGATTTATTTTACATCTTGTGAAAAGGGTATTATACCACCCCTTTAATAAAATAGCTTCGCTATTGAATCGTAACATTATTTCTCAGCAACGAGGGAGTATCATCACTGTTCTTGATTTAACTCACAGCTTCATTGTGTGTTAAGCCCTATTCGCACGGGATTAGTATTATCTGGGGACCTCGTGTGAATTTGAGATTACCCCCCCCCCACCACCACCACCACATCTGAATTGTGCATTCGCACGGGATAAGCGAAGCCTGTGATTTTACTCCAATTTACTCGGATATGATGTCAATAGGCTATTGCTTGGAAATGTCTTGTCGTTATTATAGGTCTAGCTGTATGATATATCATAAACAGAAGAATGTTCTTTACCGCATGCTGCTAAACATGTCATCCATCTTCATCTAATCATTCTTTTTGTTATCGCTCTTCTGATGGTTTCCAGCTGTCTCTTTCTGCACATTGTATAGTTGTATGGTGTATAGCGAAATGACCCAGCACCCAAAATACTATCAAAACACTCCATTCTTTGCGAAAGACGGATAAAAAAAGCGCACAGGAAACAAAAACCTTGAAAAAAATATAAACGACTCCGCCAAATCACAGAGACGCCGATTCGCACGAGACTAATATTATCACAGGACCTCGGTGTTCGGGCGAAATATGGAAGGTCATTTGCGGGGGAATTTTTACTTTACAAATTACAGACATGGCCGATTCGCATGGGATTAAGATCACAGACAACCTCCGCAATTATTACAAATGACTAGAGGTCACCAGGTAATACTAATCGGGTGCGAATAGGTCTTTTGACGCTGCACAGACGCAGGTAATTCACACACGCATCTCTCTCTCTCTCAATCCATTCAAATAAATTTAATCTAATCAGCGCTGCTTTATCTCTGTGTCTGACTCAAAGCGCAACATGACATCATGACTTTGCGTAAACATACACGCCACTTTCAAGTCAAGTGGCGTGTTATCTATACGCATTTTGAGCTATCCGCGTGTGTGTCCACGCCGAAATGAACCGTCATCTTTTGCGTGTATGTCTACGCCGTTAAACGTCCGAGTGATTCTGCGTGTATGTGTACGCCGTTAAATGTCCGAGCGAAACGAAGCAAAATGTATATTTACATCTGTGGAGCAATATTTTTTTCCTAGGATGGTAGGGGAAGACTCATAAATGGTATTAACCCCAGTGACGGGTAGGTTTAGGGACGGGGTTGGGGTAGGTCATATATTTATATATACAGTAACGTTAAATCAAGGCGTTGATAAACACGCTGAAAAGCGATTATGCGTGTTGATAGCACGCCAAAAATGGAAATACGAATTGGCGTGTCATACATACACCATTTCATGAGATCAAAATGCTGGATCCAACGAGCCGTAACTGATGAAAATAACTGCCATTTTAACCCTTCCAGTCACATTTAGTGCTGCAAACATCAATAACAGCTTTAACTTAAAAATTCTGGCAGATGACCATGGTATAAGCAGCATAATCCACGGCTAGCTGTGCATTAAATGATTTGAATGCACTATCATCATGTATTAAAATCGTTTAATGCACAGCTAGCTGAGGATTATAAAATAAACAGTGAACAGTGTTCAAACAGTTCATGGGTCTGCTGTATGACTGCACAAGCCTCATGTTTATGGCCTGTTCCCTGAGCTCCTCAACAGTCCTGTGTGAAAATAAGAGCAGTCTGCCACTACCAGACACATTAAACATGATGATGTGCTTTTATGAGCCGTTTATGGCCAACCAGGGGCAAGATAATAAAGTTAGACACCAGTCTGCACAGACAAGCAGTGTGAGATCTGATCACTTAGCATGCAACTGTCTCAGGTTTAATGCAACTAAAATGTGCATAATACATCAAATCTGCTCGCATGGTTCATATCTAAAATTTCCCTTAAAATGACAATTAGTGGGAAAGGAAACTCACAGCAAGTGCACTCACAGCATGATGAGGTTAAAAATGTGACAAAGAGACTGTGATCTTTCTATACAATGAAACAAAATTGGTGTAGAAACAGTTTTCACTATTAAAGAGACACCTCACCTCTATTCAGATTTCATATTAAGAGAACCAGGGCCATATCAGATACTAGACGGGTCAGACTCAGCTTAATTTAGTCTTACATTTTTTCAGCTTATTTTGACACTCAGAGAAAGAAAAAAACTAGGGTCTTTAAAAGTAATTACAAAATAAAAGTTCTATCGTAATTTATTCACAAACCTGTATGACTTTTTTCTTCTGCAAAATACACACACACAAACAATGTTGAATAATATTTCAAATGTTTATGTCCATACAGTGAAAATCAATGGGGTCCAAAACAACATTGGACCCCATTGACTTTCATTTTATGGACAAAGAACACTGAGACATATTTCAAAATAACTTCTTTTGTGGTCCACGAGAGTAAGTAAGGTGAATGAGGGTGAATAAATAATGACAAAACTATCCTTTTTGGGTATCAAAATATCAAATAAAAAAAATCAGCACAATCAGTACAATAAATACTGTCATGATGCATAAATACCTTATTTTATATATTATATATATTATAAATAATATATGATTGTTGTTTTTTCTAATTAAAGTAATGGTAATGGAATTGTTATTATTTTTTGCATTATCGCAATGAAAAATAGTGGCAATGTGCCTAATTGCTTTGAAAATGTTGAAATAATACAATATATATGGTCTTTAATGGTCAGAAAGAAATCTCAGCAGAGTACAGAAAAAGTCAAATGAAGGCAATAGAAGGCTATCACATTCTCAGAGTTTGTATGCAAGCGATTTGTGGAACGCCACTGTGTGTGTGACCCGAAACGCTGTAAGAGTACACAAACTGCTGCATCGTCCTCATTAAAGCACATCTTCACAGCGCAGCAGTCTTTAATAGGCCTTTGACAAGGACTTCAATGAGTCACGTCAGACGTCTCATTCTGTCAGTCAAACGTCAATAAAGCATGTCTCACCTCAGCAATTCTCAGCATGTTGTGTCCATTGATCTCAAATGTAGAGGAGTAGGTGACACAAAGCAGGACCTACAACACAAAGAGCTCAAAAACATTAGCCGTTTAATATAACAGCCCCTTGACCAACACTTCAGCATTAGAAACGGGAGATGAGGAACACAGTGTGTGTATGGCAGTGTGTGTATGGATGGACACGCGTGTGCGAGTGATGCTGCAAATCTGTCCAATTACACGACAGGTGCAGAGCTGACACTGAATTAATTAAGCCTGATAGAAGCAACACGCTGTTTTTGACACTGACTGTTCCAGCTCAATGGTGGGAACGTCTTTTCTCCACAGACCAAATCACCAGTGATGGGAATAAAGATGTTATAAATTAAAGGAGTAGTTCACTTTTAAAAAAACTTTTGCTGATAATTTACTCACCCCCATGTCATCCAAGATGTCCATGTCTTTCTTTCTTCAGTCGAAAAGAAATTAATGTTTTTGATGAAAACATTCCAGGATTTTTCTCCATATAATGCACTTTGCTGGGCACCAAACGGTTCAAGGTCTAAATGACCGTTTCAGTGCAGCTTCAAAGGGCTTTACACGATACCAGACGATGAATAAGGGTCTTATCTAGAGAAACGATCGGTCATTTCAAAAATAAATAAAAAAGTTAAAGTTTTATAGGCACAAATGCTCGCCTTGCGAACTCTCCTGTTCGAACTCGTTCATCAAAATGAACAAATCTTTTTTCAAGTCATTGACTCGAAAAAAGATTCGTTCATTTTGATGAACGAGTCAATGACTCGAAAAAAGATTCGTTCATTTTGATGAACGAGTTCGAACAGGAGAGTTCGCAAGGCGAGCATTTGTGCCTATAAAACTTTAACTTTTTTATTTATTTTTGAAATGACCGATGGTTTCGCTAGATAAGACCCTTATTCATCGTCTGATGTCGTTTAAAGCCCTTTGAAGCTGAACTGAAACGGTCATTTAGACCTTGAACCGTTTGGCTCCCATTGAAGTCCATTATGGAGAACAATCCTGGAATGTTTTCATCAAAAACATAAATTTCTTTTCGACTGAAGAAAGAAAGACATGGACATCTTGGATGACATGGGGGTGAGTAAATTATCAGCAAAAGTTTTTTAAAAAGTGAACTACTCCTTTAACGGCGTTATTTTTATCAATAACGAGTAATCAAACGAATTAGTGTTTCCCAGTTACAACGCCGTTACCGTTACTGACAATAAAATGTGGCGTTACTATAATTGAGCTCACTGAAGTAGGCTCTCTCTCAGCCATAGGACCTGCAAAGTTTTTTCTCTGGTGTGTGTGTGTGTGTGTGTGTGTGTGTGTGTGTGGCACTCTATTATATTGAGAGCACTTATTAAACTGTTCAAGTAACACTTAAGTAAGCTACAGTGTGTCTACCAGTTGTGACGTTGTGTGACAGTTTTATCATTTTAATTTGCACTACAAAGAGTGTATGTATATTTTGTATTATTATTTATTCATTTTTGGTGCATTTCTTAAGAAACAATTTATTTTTAGACTTATTTGTAGGCCAGTTGTGGTCTGTGCAATATTAAATATTAAAAGTTCTAAACAATCTATTGTGTTTTATTGTTCCACTATAGTAATGATAATATTTACAATAATATTTTGAATTTAATAGGTGTCTCTCACATTGTCCCACAGCAACATTAGAATAGTGTAGATTAGTGTACAATGTTTTATAATAATTTTTTTGTTTTCTATTTAGTGTATTCTATTTCAATTTAACATATTTAATATTGGGGGTATCCAAGTTATTTAACATATTTGAACTTTTTAAAGGACCACAATAGTTACTTTCCCTGGTATTTAGTTACTTTTATAATAATGTAACTCAGTTATTAACTCATTCACTATTTGTGAGAAGTAACTAGTAACTATAACAAATTACTTTTTTTAAGTAACATGCCCAACGCTGCAAACACACACACACTGATGATGGTGAAGGAGCAGAGACACACACACACACACTGATGATGGTGAAGGAGCAGAGACACACACACACTGATGATGGTGAAGGAGCAGAGACACACACACACTGATGATGGTGAAGGAGCAGAGACACACACACTGATGATGGTGAAGGAGCAGAGACACACACACACTGATGATGGTGAAGGAGCAGAGACACACACACACTGATGATGGTGAAGGAGCAGAGAGACACACACACTGATGATGGTGAAGGAGCAGAGACACACACACACTGATGATGGTGAAGGAGCAGAGACACACACACACTGATGATGGTGAATGAGCAGAGACACACACACACTGATGATGGTGAAGGAGCAGACACACACACACTGATGATGGTGAATGAGCAGACACACACACACTGATGATGGTGAAGGAGCAGAGACACACACACACTGATGATGGTGAAGGAGCAGAGACACACACACACTGATGATGGTGAATGAGCAGACACACACACACTGATGATGGTGAATGAGCAGACACACACACACTGATGATGGTGAAGGAGCAGAGACACACACACACTGATGATGGTGAAGGAGCAGAGACACACACACTGATGATGGTGAAGGAGCAGACACACACACACACTGATGATGGTGAAGGAGCAGACACACACACTGATGATGGTGAAGGAGCAGACACACACACACTGATGATGGTGAAGGAGCAGAGACACACACACTGATGATGGTGAAGGAGCAGACACACACACACTGATGATGGTGAATGAGCAGACACACACACACTGATGATGGTGAAGGAGCAGACACACACACACTGATGATGGTGAAGGAGCAGACACACACACACTGATGATGGTGAAGGAGCAGAGACACACACACACTGATGATGGTGAAGGAGCAGACACACACACACTGATGATGGTGAAGGAGCAGAGACACACACACTGATGATGGTGAATGAGCAGACACACACACACTGATGATGGTGAAGGAGCAGAGACACACACACACTGATGATGGTGAAGGAGCAGACACACACACACTGATGATGGTGAAGGAGCAGACACACACACACACTGATGATGGTGAATGAGCAGAGACACACACACACTGATGATGGTGAAGGAGCAGAGACACACACACACTGATGATGGTGAAGGAGCAGAGACACACACACACTGATGATGGTGAAGGAGCAGAGAGACACACACACTGATGATGGTGAAGGAGCAGAGACACACACACACTGATGATGGTGAAGGAGCAGAGACACACACACACTGATGATGGTGAATGAGCAGAGACACACACACACTGATGATGGTGAAGGAGCAGACACACACACACTGATGATGGTGAATGAGCAGACACACACACACTGATGATGGTGAAGGAGCAGAGACACACACACACTGATGATGGTGAAGGAGCAGAGACACACACACACTGATGATGGTGAATGAGCAGACACACACACACTGATGATGGTGAATGAGCAGACACACACACACTGATGATGGTGAAGGAGCAGAGACACACACACACTGATGATGGTGAAGGAGCAGAGACACACACACTGATGATGGTGAAGGAGCAGACACACACACACACTGATGATGGTGAAGGAGCAGACACACACACTGATGATGGTGAAGGAGCAGACACACACACACTGATGATGGTGAAGGAGCAGAGACACACACACTGATGATGGTGAAGGAGCAGACACACACACACTGATGATGGTGAAGGAGCAGACACACACACACTGATGATGGTGAAGGAGCAGACACACACACACTGATGATGGTGAAGGAGCAGAGACACACACACACTGATGATGGTGAAGGAGCAGACACACACACACTGATGATGGTGAAGGAGCAGACACACACACACTGATGATGGTGAAGGAGCAGAGACACACACACTGATGATGGTGAATGAGCAGACACACACACACTGATGATGGTGAAGGAGCAGAGACACACACACACTGATGATGGTGAAGGAGCAGACACACACACACTGATGATGGTGAAGGAGCAGACACACACACACACTGATGATGGTGAATGAGCAGAGACACACACACACTGATGATGGTGAAGGAGCAGAGACACACACACACTGATGATGGTGAAGGAGCAGAGACACACACACACTGATGATGGTGAAGGAGCAGAGACACACACACACACTGATGATGGTGAAGGAGCAGAGACACACACACACTGATGATGGTGAATGAGCAGAGACACACACACTGATGATGGTGAAGGAGCAGAGAGACACACACACTGATGATGGTGAATGAGCAGACACACACACACTGATGACGGTGAAGGAGCAGAGACACACACACACTGATGACGGTGAAGGAGCAGACACACACACACTGATGATGGTGAATGAGCAGAGACACACACACACTGATGATGGTGAAGGAGCAGAGACACACACACACTGATGATGGTGAAGGAGCAGAGACACACACACACTGATGATGGTGAATGAGCAGAGACACACACACACTGATGATGGTGAAGGAGCAGAGACACACACACACTGATGATGGTGAAGGAGCAGAGACACACACACACTGATGATGGTGAAGGAGCAGAGACACACACACACTGATGATGGTGAAGGAGCAGACACACACACACACTGATGATGGTGAAGGAGCAGACACACACACACTGATGATGGTGAAGGAGCAGAGACACACACACACACTGATGATGGTGAAGGAGCAGAGACACACACACACTGATGATGGTGAATGAGCAGAGACACATACACACTGATGATGGTGAAGGAGCAGAGACACACACACACTGATGATGGTGAAGGAGCAGACACACACACACACACTGATGATGGTGAATGAGCAGACACACACACACTGATGATGGTGAATGAGCAGAGACACACACACACTGATGATGGTGAAGGAGCAGAGACACACACACACTGATGATGGTGAAGGAGCAGACACACACACACACTGATGATGGTGAAGGAGCAGACACACACACACTGATGATGGTGAAGGAGCAGAGACACACACACTGATGATGGTGAAGGAGCAGACACACACACACACTGATGATGGTGAAGGAGCAGACACACACACACACACTGATGATGGTGAAGGAGCAGAGACACACACACACTGATGATGGTGAAGGAGCAGAGACACACACACACTGATGATGGTGAAGGAGCAGAGACACACACACACTGATGATGGTGAATGAGCAGACACACACACACTGATGATGGTGAAGGAGCAGAGACACACACACACTGATGATGGTGAAGGAGCAGACACACACACACACTGATGATGGTGAAGGAGCAGAGACACACACACACTGATGATGGTGAAGGAGCAGAGACACACACACACTGATGATGGTGAAGGAGCAGACACACACACACTGATGATGGTGAAGGAGCAGACACACACACACTGATGATGGTGAAGGAGCAGAGACACACACACTGATGATGGTGAAGGAGCAGAGACACACACACTGATGATGGTGAAGGAGCAGAGACACACACACACTGATGATGGTGAAGGAGCAGACACACACACTGATGATGGTGAAGGAGCAGAGACACACACACTGATGATGGTGAAGGAGCAGACACACACACACTGATGATGGTGAATGAGCAGAGACACACACACACTGATGATGGTGAAGGAGCAGACACACACACACTGATGATGGTGAAGGAGCAGAGACACACACACACACTGATGATGGTGAAGGAGCAGACACACACACACTGATGATGGTGAAGGAGCAGAGACACACACACACTGATGATGGTGAAGGAGCAGGGACACACACACACTGATGATGGTGAAGGAGCAGACACACACACACTGATGATGGTGAAGGAGCAGAGACACACACACACACTGATGATGGTGAAGGAGCAGACACACACACACACTGATGATGGTGAAGGAGCAGAGACACACACACACTGATGATGGTGAAGGAGCAGACACACACACTGATGATGGTGAAGGAGCAGAGACACACACACTGATGATGGTGAAGGAGCAGACACACACACACTGATGATGGTGAATGAGCAGAGACACACACACACTGATGATGGTGAAGGAGCAGACACACACACACTGATGATGGTGAAGGAGCAGAGACACACACACACACTGATGATGGTGAAGGAGCAGACACACACACACTGATGATGGTGAAGGAGCAGACACACACACACTGATGATGGTGAAGGAGCAGAGACACACACACACTGATGATGGTGAAGGAGCAGAGACACACACACACTGATGATGGTGAAGGAGCAGGGACACACACACACTGATGATGGTGAAGGAGCAGACACACACACACTGATGATGGTGAAGGAGCAGAGACACACACACACTGATGATGGTGAAGGAGCAGAGACACACACACACTGATGATGGTGAAGGAGCAGAGACACACACACTGATGATGGTGAAGGAGCAGAGACACACACACACTGATGATGGTGAATGAGCAGAGACACACACACTGATGATGGTGAAGGACCAGAGAGACACACACACTGATGATGGTGAATGAGCAGACACACACACACTGATGATGGTGAAGGAGCAGACACACACACACTGATGATGGTGAAGGAGCAGGGACACACACACTGATGATGGTGAAGGAGCAGACACACACACACTGATGATGGTGAAGGAGCAGAGACACACACACACTGATGATGGTGAAGGAGCAGACACACACACACACACTGATGATGGTGAAGGAGCAGACACACACACACACTGATGATGGTGAAGGAGCAGAGACACACACACACTGATGATGGTGAAGGAGCAGAGACACACACACTGATGATGGTGAAGGAGCAGAGACACACACACACACACTGATGATGGTGAAGGAGCAGACACACACACACACTGATGATGGTGAAGGAGCAGACACACATACACTGATGATGGTGAATGAGCAGAGACACACACACACTGATGATGTTGAATGACCAGAGACACACACACACTGATGATGGTGAAGGAGCAGAGACACACACACACTGATGATGGTGAAGGAGCAGACACACACACACACTGATGATGGTGAAGGAGCAGACACACACACACACTGATGATGGTGAAGGAGCAGAGACACACACACACTGATGATGTTGAATGACCAGAGACACACACACACTGATGATGGTGAAGGAGCAGAGACACACACACACTGATGATGGTGAAGGAGCAGACACACACACACACTGATGATGGTGAAGGAGCAGAGACACACACACACTGATGATGGTGAAGGAGCAGAGACACACACACTGATGATGGTGAAGGAGCAGAGAGACACACACACTGATGATGGTGAATGAGCAGACACACACCCACTGATGATGGTGAAGGAGCAGACACACACACACTGATGATGGTGAAGGAGCAGACACACACACACTGATGATGGTGAAGGAGCAGACACACACACACTGATGATGGTGAAGGAGCAGAGACACTCACACACTGATGATGGTGAAGGAGCAGACACACACACACACTGATGATGGTGAAGGAGCAGACACACACACACACTGATGATGGTGAAGGAGCAGAGACACACACACACTGATGATGGTGAAGGAGCAGACACACACACACTGATGATGGTGAAGGAGCAGAGACACACACACTGGTGATGGTGAAGGAGCAGACACACACACACACTGATGATGGTGAAGGAGCAGACACACACACACACACTGATGATGGTGAAGGAGCAGACACACACACACTGATGATGGTGAATGAGCAGACACACACACACACTGATGATGGTGAAGGAGCAGAGACACACACACACTGATGATGGTGAATGAGCAGAGACACACACACACTGATGATGGTGAAGGAGCAGAGACACACACACACTGATGATGGTGAAGGAGCAGACACACACACACACACTGATGATGGTGAAGGAGCAGAGACACACACACACTGATGATGGTGAAGGAGCAGAGACACACACACACTGATTATGGTGAAGGAGCAGAGACACACACACTGATTATGGTGAAGGAGCAGAGACACACACACTGATGATGGTGAAGGAGCAGAGACACACACACACTGATGATGGTGAAGGAGCAGAGACACACACACACTGATGATGGTGAAGGAGCAGAGACACACACACACTGATGATGGTGAAGGAGCAGACACACACACACTGATGATGGTGAAGGAGCAGACACACACACACACTGATGATGGTGAAGGAGCAGAGACACACACACACTGATGATGGTGAATGAGCAGAGACACACACACACTGATGATGGTGAAGGAGCAGAGACACACACACACTGATGATGGTGAATGAGCAGACACACACACACTGATGATGGTGAAGGAGCAGAGACACACACACACTGATGATGGTGAAGGAGCAGAGACACACACACACTGATGATGGTGAAGGAGCAGACACACACACCTTCATGACCTCCACCTGCAGGTCTTCATGTAAGGCGGGCGTCACCCTGATGGCCTCCAGGATCTGACTCAGGAGCTGCTTCTCTGGGCCCTCGCTCTCCACAGCAGCAAAGCAATCCTCACACAGGATCTTCTGTCAACAGAGAAACATGCAAAAGGCTGAGAAGAGTATGAACTAAACAACATTTAAAAAATAAAAACGAACACTGGTCATCTTGCCATGTTTGTAAGCTGTATTATAAACGTATAAGATGTGAGTGTTTGCATGCTCAACTTGCCTCCACATTGCTAGGCATTCACTGTAAAATTGATCATATTTTTAAAACCTGTTAATTGGTTAACGGTAAGTTCACTTACTCTATACACTAGAAAACATTTAATAGATCCAATGAGACATTTCATACAGTAATATACTTTTAAATGTACAGTTTTTGGAAGTGAAAAAAACAAGTCATCTTATAAGTTACTGTTCATCTTCAGCTTTGATTCATCATGTGTCTTTCTCTTTACCGCCTGTGTTTTTCAAGGTGGTTGTCAGTGCATATATACAGAGCTGCACGATTAATCATTAAAAGATCGCAATCTTGATTTTTTTAGGGAAAAAAATACTGTGGAATCAATGGGGTCCATCAACTGTCTGGTTACCAACAATCTTCAAAATATCTTCTTTTGTGTTCAGCAGAAGAAAGAAACTCATTCAGGTTTGGAACAACATGAGGGTGAGTAAATGATGGCAGAATTTTCATTTTTGGGAGAACTGTCCCTTTAACATTATTTAAGTTAAGGTGCAGCAAGGGATTTCTGAGAAACACTGTTGAAAGTGGATCAGATCGAGCAGCGCACAACAATCAGCAGTAGGGGGCGTGTCCACTCATGATGAGGGAGGAGATCCAATCAGCAGTAGGGGGCGTGTCCACTCATGATGAGGGAGGAGATCCAATCAGCAGTAGGGGGCGTGTCCACTCATGATGAGGGAGGACAGCCAATCAGCAGTAGGGGGCGTGTCCACTCATGATGAGGGAGGAGATCCAATCAGCAATAGGGGGTGTGTCCACTCATGATGAGGGAGGAGATCCAAACAGCAGTAAGGGGCGTGTCCACTCATGATGAGGGAGGAGATCCAATCAGCAATAGGGGGTGTGTCCACTCATGATGAGGGAGGAGATCCAATCAGCAGTAAGGGGCGTGTCCACTCATGATGAGGGAGGACAGCCAATCAGCAGTAGGGGGCGTGTCCACTCATGATGAGGCAGGACAGCCAATCAGCAGTAGGGGGCGTGTCCACTCATGATGAGGGAGGACAGCCAATCAGCAGTAGGGGGCGTGTCCACTCATGATGAGGGAGGACAGCCAATCAGCAGTAGGGGGCGTGTCCACTCATGATGAGGGAGGAGATCCAATCAGCAATAGGGGCTGTGTCCACTCATGATGAGGGAGGAGATCCAATCAGCAGTAAGGGGCGTGTCCACTCATGATGAGGGAGGACAGCCAATCAGCAGTAGGGGGCGTGTCCACTCATGATGAGGGAGGACAGCCAATCAGCAGTAGGGGGCGTGTCCATTCATGATGAGGGAGGACAGCCAATCAGCAGTAGGGGGCATGTCCACTCATAATGTGGGAGGAGAGAGAGAGACAATCAGCAATAGGGGGCGTGTCCACTCATGATGAGGGAGGAGAGAGAGAGCCAATCAGCAGAAGGGGGCGTGACCACTCATGATGAGGGAGGAGAGACTAACAACATCTGGAACCTAACAACGAACTCTTGCTTGTTTATACTCGTGTACTTTTTTTAATTCTTCCTTGTCATTGGTTCGTCATCTTCGCATTATTTTTACAAAGCATTATTTTGCTTCGCTTCAGCTATGGTAAACAGACATTCACTATTGCATTGCGTGTTCATGCATTTTGGGGGCGGAGCAATGAAGGGAGGGGTGTAGTTTGGGTCGATTTCAAATATCAACAGTGTTTCTCAGAAATCACTTACTGCACCTTTAATGAAATATAGATGTTTTTTTTGTTTTTACTTTAAATTTAAGTTAAATCTGTAAAACTTATTTAGTTATGGCAACCACAGCTTCCATTTTTACCATAAATTCTGTATATTCTGGTCCAAAGATATGGTCTATTCATGTCCATAGTACAAACATCACGAAATGAGTTATGAGTCTAACATTGGCTTAGTAAATGCCATTAAATAAATCAGAGACCAAATATATTGTGTCCTGCTTTATCTTAGTGTACCTAAATAAGTCCGTACGTCTTTAAAACGTGAAGTGTGTTGAGTAATGCACACACCTGCATTCCAGTGAGGGCAGTCTGAGCCAGTTTAGTGTTTTTAGACTCCAGTGCCAGCCGAAGAGGGAATAAACACTTCTCTCTGCACAGAAACCGTTCACAATTAACACCGCAGATCATGAAAGATAAAACTCACGAAGAGTTCCTAGTGTCACTTTCAGCCTCTGGTGATTCTCAGATCATTTGTCAGACACTTTGAATTAAAGCATCTGCTACATGAATAAATATAGAAGCTAAATTTTTTTTTAAAAATCCCATTTCAACGGTATATAGCCAGAAAATTGCTAAGGTTAGCTAATTATGCATTTGGTAATTTTAATACTTTATCAATGCCTTTTCACTGTGTACAAATCAAAGATTTAAAAACAGGGAATGTAATGCAAAACCAAATAAATGTGCATTGTCTTTTATGGATTATGTATGGATCATAAAGATTATGTGAGAAAGTATATCTGAGAAAATACAAATGCTGACAATACAAATATGGTATATGGAATCAAAACACTTGCCTGAGTTTAGATGGAGGTGTTTTAACTGATCCATTCTGAGCTTGAAGGGTCTCTGTACAACCACAAGGAAAATTAGGGGAAAAGTATATAAAATGAGAAAACGGATATAAAAAACACATTCAAACAACATTTCAATATGAATAAACATTCTTTGAAACCCCATCATTCCTAACTATTAAAGGAATGAAATTTGTCGACATAGAGATTTTGGACTATCGTCTCTATCGCGGTTACGCTCACGTGACGTTGATGTGCTGCAAAAACAGGTTATTTTGAACCGTTGAAACGCAATAAGCAGAGAAAGAGAACTCATTTCGCTAAATGCACATGTTTCTGAGTCTGTCTGAGAGACACGCGAAATGAAGCGCATGAGAACTGAACTGAGTGCTTTTTGCCGCCTAATTGGGCTTTAACGGTTAAATACACACACTTATGTGTCAAAATGCCCATCTTTGCAAGTATCCTCGTAAACACAGTCATTTATGTCTTAAGTGAAGGTAAACAGCTGAGAAAGAAAACGGATGTGTAACAGTATATTGGATCAGTGCATTCGCTCTTAAAGTGACAGCAGCGTAATGTGTTATTAATGTTAATCAAACAACAAAAAAGAGAAAAACTCTCAATGCTCTTGACTGAATCACTTTTGTCTCACTTTAATAAGAATAGACTTAATTTGCACAGTGAAGAGTTTTTTTATACATTTCATTACTTTATACAATTCATGTAGGCTAGATGCTATTTCTTATTTCAAGTGCTTGATGTTTTTCAGGAAGGTCTATTTCTTTGTTCTATTGTAGTTTGTTGTCCTATTGCCTGTTATCAGTTTATTTGTTCGTATGTTATCACGTCTTCTGTAAGCTTGAGAGTTTTTATGTAGGCTAGTATTAGTTTATTTGTGATACTGAAATTGGTGACAAGAATTATGAACTTTCAATGGTATCAAATATTTGATGATATAAAACCCTTATTTAAAGCAAAAATAACTATATTGAGATATATATATATATGTGAAATAAAATTACTCATGAAAAAATCCCAACCCGGGCCTTGCTATACTGTCATCTGAGCTATTCATTGCTCCTGCAAAATGAGCCGGAGTTGAACAGTATCAGTTTTGAGCCGCTCATTTGTTGCCACAGCATGACTGACAGTGTGTGATACACAACGCAGAAACACTGAAAGGTCAATTAAGTGCATGAAGCTCCACGTCATCTTCAACCACTGCCTTTGCCCATCTATTAAACAGCCTATTAGTTAAACACAACACAAGAACACAGAATAATAACTTAGAACGAGCCTAACATCTATAACACTTTAAATATTTATTATATTAAAGATTACAATAATTTGAATATTTGTTATAATTTATTATTATTAATACAATTAATGTTCGGTTATTTTCACTAAATATTATAATATAATAATAGTAATGGTAATGATGTTGCTGTTATTTTATTAATTTCTGGATCATACTAAAAGCAAAGGGTGCATGAACAAAAAAAAAAAGATAATATCTATTCTTAATTACCAGCAAAAGAAAAAATAAAGTAGCCATTAAAAGATTAAATTAACCATTAAAACATTTAAGCTTCTATACAGAAAAGTACTGTGGCTTTACCTTAATATGGTAAAAATCATAATTTAATGTTATCAACATACACTATTCACTATTCATATTAACATGTTCGACTGAATTTGCATGGTATTCCAAAGTACTCATAGTGCATGTCCAAAAACATACTATTAACATGGGACTTTTTCATTTTTAACTGCATGCGTTTGAAGCCAAACCATTCAACACTATAATATTCACATAAACATGGTTTAAATGCACACAGGTTGCATGCCTATATAGGCTCATTGCATGAATGCCCACTGGAAATTAAACTATTTCATTTTATTTCAATTCGCATGTTTTCATTCCCAAAAAAAAAGTGCGATTTGACAAGACACCCTGTAACAGCTGTTATGAGGATTCAGTTGCAGTACATAAACATCCGTGAAAGGCGGGCACACCTTTGTTCTGACTGTATACTGTTGTTCTAAAACATTATTTTTAATAAGCTGAGCGCGCGTCCATCTGTTCTGAATCCGCATTTGGTTCATCGCTCACAGGTGCATCTTACCGCGCGCGACGCCGCACGCGTCCCGCATCGCTTTATGTTTGCTGCCCGACGCGTCCTTCTGGAGCTTGCGGAGAATCTCCTCCATCGCGCCGGGAGGATGATGGATGAATGATATGCTGGAGAAATGATGGTTTCAGGCCTCCTGCCTAAAGCTCAGCATCCCTACCGTAAAGATGATTCACTTTAACAACAGTGATACGTCACACTGTACGTCAGTTGTTACTATATGCGTGGAAGCCGCTGGTGTTTAGCGACACAAATACTGTAAAGAAAATATTGTTCCGACCAAATTAAAGGGTTTAACTGCATTCAAGAGCACGCATCTGATTTGTAAGGTGGGTGTCCAGCTACTTCCCGTCCGTGAATTAAGGTAGTAAGCTACTATGACGAAGGACGGTAATTAATATTCATAAGCCACGCCTTCGTTGGTGGAGGTAAATAATACAGCGTCACTAGCCTACTATCTGATTAATATATAGGAGGATCATTAACATATTAATGATATAAGATAATTGCCATTGGAAGAATACCAAGCAAATTTAACAATATCGGAATAATATTCATGAGGTAATATTTCGCCATAGTATACTTTATTATTTCTGTCCAGAAGAAGAAAAAATGCTGCACTGGATGTATTATGTTTATTATATGATATAGCCTATCACGTATTGCCTTTTTTTTTTGTTTTTTTATACACCCCTATAATTGGCAAATTTAAAGTCACCATGAAGTCAAAATTGACCATTCTTGTTTTTTAATGTAATCTTGCAATATATAATATAAATGAGCTATTTTATTAAAATTCATGTGCATTGTAATCTTTAATCAAAATAACTTCCCCTCCCTCTTCCAGCGACATATCTTCTCTGATGACGTGGTTACTGGCACGAGGGTGGGGCAACCTGTCAATCACATGAGATCGACCAATAGCAAACCACAACCATCCAATCAATTCCCCACAGACAAAAGTCCCGCCCTACATTTTTTTCTTGATACCGACTTTAATAAACAAAACATTAACAGAATGAGGTCTGATCCTTTTCATATTTCCGTCTAGAGGGTAAATTTGACAGTAAAACTTAAAGTAGGCCTATATGTCTTTTCATGATTCTGTCTATTTCTGTGCACATGAAACATAATTTGAGATTAGTGTTTTTTAGTTATTCAAATTTGACGAAAAAAAGAAATAAATACAACGTGACCGATTTTATGTAGCTTTTTATGGCAGACGGGTAAACTTTTATTTTTAGACTTTTATTTTTAAACCGCAGACCGGATGTTGTTTTGAACCCGCAGCTGAAGTGTCTCCGCGAGCGCTGCTGTCACTCACAAACTCACTCGTCATGATGGCTGCCGTGTGGCGAGCTCGCGTATTTGCCCGCTCTGTCGTCCGCTTCTCTGATCGTGATCTGTAAAATATTCGTTGAAAGCACGTCTTTAAACGCGACATTAAAAGAACTCGCAAAATAACTTGTTATGGTCAGTAAAAGCTGTGTTTCTAAGATTAGCTACTGCTAATCAGTAGCTAACATTAGCATGTTAGCAGCCGTGACGTATTATCGTCCTGTCACACACATCTAAGTGTTTTTTACTGGATAACAGTCTTAAATAATTTTTTTAACGCATAGCATGTAATTACAATCATGCATAATGTCCATTTATGTAAAACATCGTCTAATTTATCCATGCATGTTTACAAAGTTCTGCAAATCACGAAACAACTGGACTCGTGTTTTGATGCACTGAATAAGAAAATAATTTGATAGACGAATTTTTTTTATGTAGTGCAATAATTTCTCAAATCTGTAGGTCCAGGTGATTAATGCTTGTCAAGTTTCTGCTAGTCTGTGATTGGTCAGTCTTATTTTTAACACCAAACATGGACGTGGCTGAAGTTTCTTTTTTTTTAATCTGCGTCACGTCTTTTTAAATTGTACCTGCGTAACAGAATATATTAGTTGAAGTTACTGAATATGTGTTATTTCTAGGCTGAAATCAACCAAAATACTGATGGCACTGTTGAAGAAGTGGAAGATGAAAATTCAGAGGATACTAATATTCAAGTTAGTGAACCTGATCTCTTTTTTTTTTTAAGAAGACATGAGAGAAAGTTGCAGATGTCGTTATGTAATAAATTGCTTTCATCAAATACTTATAATTGATTTCATTTTAAGAGTATTCCTACATCATGGTTAATTTTGAAAACCTTTCTTTTCTCTCTGTGTTTACTTTCTTAAAACACTGGTTTCATTGTGCACAGTTCGTCGGCGCATGTTATTCCAAAGTTAATAATTTATGAAACAATACTTTACTCCACCTCTGAAATGATTGCCCTTTTTGGATGAGTCACAAATCGCTCTTACTTTTTAGCCCCTCCCCTCCAGCAATCTCTCCCCATTCTGGATCGGGATACTTCGTTGTGTTTGGCTAAAACCAAGTCCTCCTCTACTTTTTTCTTCTGCACCTTCACTTGGAAAAATGCTGCAAATCTCAAAACTTTTTGTGTTGTTTTATAGACATTTGTGTAATGTCTAATCATTAAACAAAGTACAATCATTTCATTTTACCATTGAATATATTAGTGAATCATTTAAGCCAATGGAATTCAAGGATTGATACCTGATATAACAATAAAATAAAAGTCCTGCCCTTTATTTATTTATTTGGAATCTGTAAAAGCTTGTGTCCGGCACGAAAAAAAAAAAAAAGTCAGAATTGCGAGATATTAACATTTGCGAGTTCCTATCAGAATTAAGAGTGGAGTAACTCGCAATTGTTTATATTGCAATTCAGACTTTTTTTCTTGCATTTACGAGTTTATATCTAGTAATTCTGATTTTATAACTTGCAATTCTGAATTCTGACTGATGTAAATAAACAATTGCGACTTTTTTTCTTGCATTTACGAGTTTATATCTAGTAATTCTGATTTTATAACTTGCAATTCTGAATTCTGACTGATATAAATAAACAATTGCGACTTTATATCTTGCACTTGTGAGATAAAGTCGCAATTGTTTATATCTCGCAATTCTGACTTTTTTATCGCAATTCAGAGTTTATATCTCACAATTCTGAATTCTGACTGATTAAATTCGCAATTCTGAAATAAATATTCGCTCTATTTTATATCCCGCAATTCTGACTTTTTTCTCGCAATTCTTAGTTTATATCTCGCAATTCTTAATTCTGACTTTTTCTCGCTATTGTTTATATCTCGCAATTCTAACTTTTTTCTCGCAATTGTGAATTTATGTCTCGCAATTCAGACTTTTTTCTTGCAATTCCGAATTTATAACTTGAGAAAAAAGTCGCAATTGTTTATATCTCGCAATTCAGACTTTTATCGTGCAATTGCGAGTTTATATCTTGCACTTGTGAGATAAAAAGTTGCAATTGTTTATATCTCGCAATTCTGACTTTTTTCTTGCAATTCCGAATTTATAACTTGAGAAAAAAGTCGCAATTGTTTATATCTCGCAATTCAGACTTTTATCGTGCAATTGCGAGTTTATATCTTGCACTTGTGAGATAAAAAGTTGCAATTGTTTATATCTCGCAATTCTGACTTTTTTCTTGCAATTCCGAATTTATAACTTGAGAAAAAAGTCGCAATTGTTTATACCTCGCAATTCAGACTTTTATCGTGCAATTGCGAGATTATAACTAGCCATTCTGAATTCTGACTGATATTGACACGCAATTCCCAGATAGGAACTCGCAATTGTTTATATCTATACCTATATCGATAAAAGGCGCAATAACCTTTTTAATTTTTTATTCTGAAGCAGAAACAAGCTTCCGTAGAAATCTTGCCCGATCACGGAAGTAAAATGTGTTTTGAAAGGCTTTTTATTGTCGAAAAAAACCCCTGTAATAATCATGAATGACTGAAGAAGCCATGAAAGCTCATTTGTTTAGAAGCTGTGGTAATCCTTCATTTCCCATGAGCCTCCTCCACCAGTGCGTGTTCAGTAGCTGATGTTTGATGTTTCAGATGGAGCTCAGTGCTTTCCGGGCCAAGTGGATGTCCGAGCTTCAGCCCAGCTCAGGTGGGAGGAGGAGCCTCCAGAAATCTGCTGAGCTGAAGAGGAGACAAGAAATAGCTAAAGAGGAAAAGGTGTGAACTCATGAATATTCATACGGTGTGCTATGAGGAGAAGTGGCTGTGAGAGCGCCACAGTGATGATGTGGACAGTCACTTGGCCTTGTCGTTCCTCTGACTGTGAATGTGTGCTTTCACAGGCCCGGGAGCTGTTCCTGAAGGCAGTCGAGGAAGAGCAGAATGGAGCGGTTTATGAAGGTTTTTGTTCATTTATTTATTTAGATTAGACTATTACACTTATAAAGTGGATTGCATGAAGAAGTGAAGGTGAACATTTCCTCTGCTGATGTTTTGCAGCCATCAAGTACTATAAGAGTGCGATGCTGCTGGTCCCGGACATTGAGTTTCGGATCAACTACAGCAGAACTCCTGATCCGGACCGGAGTGGGGGCTAGTAAGTGCTCGGATCACATGTGCTCATGGTCATGGAAAACCAGTGTAAATAGTGTTTTCCAGCCTTGTAAAATTCATGGAATTTTTAGTTTTGTAATATTTTTTTATAGTAACAATTAAAATAAGGTTTACTTATTTACTATTTATTTAGGTTTTACTTAAATCATTGTTAACTGCAATGAACAATACTTCTACCGCGTTCATTAATCTTAGTTAATGTTAATGTCAACATTTACTAATAAATTATTGAAACCATAAGATGTATCTGTTAATGTTATTTGACGGATCTGAACTAACTATTAACAGTTATTAACTAACATTAACAAAAGTTGAATAAATACTGAAACAACTGTATTGTTCATTGTTAGTCGACGCATTAACCAATGAAAACTAATGGGATTGTGTTGTACAGAAAACCAAAAAAATTATTAATTAATAAATAAATAAATACTATCAATTCTTATGGTTAGTACGCATTTTCTACTCATGCTCTTCAGTAAAATATTTAATAATTTATATTATATATATTTCTTGTTAGATATTGCTTTTGTGTAAGCCTTATGTATAGTAAAGCATAGTTATGTTCAGGGCCGGAGTGGGACTAATTTTCAGCCCTGGAGTTTCATGCCTTAGACCGGCCCACTTTAGTTCCCGTCTGACTATATTAAAATAATGTAATTGAAACCTCAGTATAGCTATAAGTCTGCAATAGTGCAGTGTTCTGTACAGCCTTGTTATTCATTGTATTTAAAAAAATATATAAATTTCTATTCAGTGCAATAGCCGTATACAGGGTTTTATAAATACAGAGGTCCAAAAAGTGATCTTGCTGGGGGTTCGGGGGCATATGCCCACCCAGACAAGTGAAGTAATACAAACAGTGAAAAGTCCCAGTGCTGATATGGGGAAATATAAACACATTCGAGGTATACAAATATCTGTATTTATACAATAACAATGGCAATATATTAGCCTATATATATAGGTGATTGTGTTGTTAAATTGAGCTTATTTTTACACTGATGATCATCATTGGCAAAGAACAAATGTATGTCTGTGTTAAATAGGAATCCATTGTAATAAAGTTATTCTCATTCTGGGCACAGTAGCCTATGCAATAGGCTATTCCTCTGCCTGCTCTCATTTCTCATCTCCATCTTCTCTCATTCTTCTTCTCTCAGTCTCTTTATCTTAGGTTACCTGTAAATCTCCCCTTCCCGAAGCTGAGTTTTTATTGATACAGTCTTCACAAACTGATTATTTCTTTCGGTCGTTTAAAACTTCTTTCGTAATTAAAACAGCTGTTTAGTTTAGCCACTTGCATCTTATCTCGTGAAGCGTCGCGTTGGGATTCGCGCGCGGCCGCGGCTCGCGCTTCTGTGAACATAAATCCCGCTTGCTTTGATCGGTCATCTCAAACATTTTGCCATTGCCGACGAGCGGTGTTTGAATACTGAAGCAGCTCAGATTATTAGGTCGGTTATCGTCGCGATATGCAAATCATTGCAGCACCAAATTAGAGTTAATATTAGGCAATTTTTTCACAACGTTCATTATACACTCAGAAAGCTGTGACTGGAGCCTATATAAAGCATTCAACCCAGTGCCATGACAACACCGGCCCTCCTGGCCAATAAAACAGACCGGCCCACCGGGAATTCTCCCGGTGCTCCCGATTAGCCAATCCGGGCCTGGTTATGTTTGAATGGTGAGCTAATAATTTTTTTAATAGGTCAAATCAGTCTGAATGATTTGTTAGTTAAATGATTTGAATCAAAATAATAATAATACAGATCTGCATCCATAGTTACAGGTGACTGGGAAGGTCATGGGAATTCATTTGTTGGGAAGTGTGTATCCAAACATAAATTTATGAATCTGCAGTAAACAGAAACACACACACGAAAATAGATTTTGTGCAAATGGAGGTAAATATGGCCCAAATCTGAATTTTTGTGACGAACCACATGGAATCTGATATTTTTTTATTCATATTTGTGCCACTTCCATATGTGGTCCTGAATCCGATCACATGTTTTGCAAATGCGAACTCAGTCTGAACAATCATATCGGACATCATGTGACTTTAACGTCACTCTAGATCAGCGTTCGTCACAATTCTGCACTCTTGTGATTTTACACACCCGACGTTATCAAAGTGATGTGTCAGAACTCACAAGTATTACAGTGACAGCTCTATATACAAGCAAAACATCATAAATAATTTTTTTCGTATCCTTGTCTTTATTTTTTATATTGTGTGTGCATAAATCTGCTGGCTTCTGTGGCAGATCACACTATAAATAAACGCATAATCACTTACTTTATTGTCTTGTGCGTGCCGCATCACATCTCTGTATCTTTCTTTTGCGCATGTGGGTCAGTTCTGGACTATCTGTTCACACTAGAATCTGATATTGGCCACATTTAAAACAATGTGAACAGCTGTACAAAAAAAATCATGTCTGAGCAATAAATCGGGATTGAGCACTACGGCTCGCCTTATTTTCAAGCTCATTTTCTCATCACTAATGCATTCAAATGTTGAACTTCATGAGGGTTTTTTTCTTGTAATTCTGACTGTTCTTGATTATTCTCATTTCTGCAATACAGTAAAAAAAAATAATTACAGTAATAAGGGTTAGATTTTTTTAACATTACAGTAAATTGGTGGAATTGTGATCTGGTCATACAACAATACAATACAATGTTTATTTATAAAGCACAATTTAAATAAAAAAAAATTTCTGTACAAAAAAAAACATTTCTAACAATAAAACACAAGCTGTAAAATAGGTGTAACACATGAAAGTAAAATCATAAAACAACATGTCAAGATATAGTATAAATGAGTCTTAAGAGAAGGCTTAAAAGTAGATAAAGTTGGGTCAGTTCTGATATGAGCCGGCAAAAAATGTGCTTAATTTTCTACATTCAAAATTCTTAACAAGTGCCTGTTCATGCACTCTAGCTTGGAGGACAACGAGAAGGACCGTGAGATCGACGATCTGCTGACGTACTTCCAGCAACAGCTGACGCTGGGCTACGACACCATGAAGCTGTGTGAGCCGGACACAGACACGTCACAGGTGCACATCTCAGGTACTGCTCACACTGGACCATAGATATATACACTAGATGTCGCATTGGCTGCGGCAGTTCATTGGAACGAATGCGTCAATAGAGCCGCCATCATGGAACAGGGGAGCCCCTCCTCTTTAAAGGGATAGTTCACCCCAAGATGTAAACTCTGTCAGTAATAGCTGGGTTTCAGTCACGTGATTATGATGACGCGCGAAACTCAGATGGAGGGCAGGGAGTGAAGAGCGCAATGGACGAGATGGAGGAAAGTCCGTACTGTACTACTTTACACGCTATTACAAGAGAAAGATATAAACAAAAAATCAAACATATGTTGGACGTGATCCTTACGTTATGAAGAGGAGCGGTTTTTCAACTGAATTGAAAGATTTTCCTGCCATCGAGGCGCTAGATATCAGCAACTACCTCGTCTTACAGACATACTTTGCCTTTACAAAGTTCGGAAACGTTACACGTTACACAAACACAGCCACTTAAGTTGTATTATCTCACCTTTGACGAAGTGATCACTGCACACACGGGCATTTTCCCATTCGGCTCCTCCCGACCGCAGACGTGGGTTTGCAAGCCGTTTTTCCGGAGTTTTTCGGTCAATTTCTTGCATTTTCCTCCCTTATGAACAACAACTTTTGGTACACGATAAAAACTCCTCGTGGTTTGATCGATTTAAGTAACCATAAACAACGCAAAACATAGGCATTTTGAGTTTGTTATAGAGCTTTCTAAATACAGCAAATCACTTCCTGCCCTCCATTTGCATTTCGCGCCATGGCAACGCAGTGGCGTGACGTCATATGAAAACAAGCTATTACTCTCCCTCATGTTGTTCAACCCCGTAAGACTTTCGTTCATCTTCAGAACACAAATTAAGATATTTTTGATTAAATCTGAGAGCTGGATCACTCCTCCATAGGCTTCTATGGGATCGAAACTGGCCGGCCCAAGAGTTATTAAAGACATTGTTAAAATAGTCCGAGTGACGACAGTGGCTCAACCTTAAGTTTATCAAGCGACGAGAATACTTTTTGTGCGCAAAACCCCCCAAAATAACGACTTTATTCAACTAATCATTTCCTTCTCTGTGGGCCTCGAGTGAGTTCGCGTAGTGTAACAGCGCAGCGCTTCTGGATGTACGTCACACGCAGGCTCACTATTGGCCGACGCTGGTCATGTGTGTGTGATGTGTGTGACGAACAACCTAGAAGCTTAGCGTAGTTTCACTTCGTGAAATCTCGAGGCCCACAGAGAAGGAAATGAATAGTTGAATAAAGTCGTTATTTTTGTTTGTTTTTTGCGCACAAAAAGTATTCTCGTCGCTTGATGAACTTAAAGGAACACTCCGACTTTTTGGGACTTTAGCCTATTCACCTTATCCCCCAGAGTTAGATAAGTCCATACATACCTTTTTCATCTCCGTGCGTGCTGTAACTCTATCTGACGCACCCACCGCTAGCCTAGCTTAGCACAAAGACTGGATGTAAATGGTTGCAGCTAGCATACTAATCCAAATAAGTGACAAAATAACGCAAACATTTTCCTATTTACATGTTGTGATTTGTATAGTCACTGAGTTATTAAACCGCAGCACCTGAGACGAGCCGTGGTGAGGAGCAGAGAGCGCGTCTCAGGTGCTGCGGTTATCACTCCGCCCAAGTAGCAGTGCTTCGCCTTCAGAGAATATAGTTCCCAGTATTTATACGGTTAAAATATGTCTGTGTCTCATGTGACTTTGTTTTTGTACACTCAGTGACTATACAAATCACAACATGTAAATAGGAAAATGTTTGCGTTATTTTGTCACTTATTTGGATTAGTATGCTAGCTGCAACCATTTACATCCAGTCTTTGTGCTAAGCTAGGCTAGCGGTGGGTGCGTCAGATAGAGTTACAGCACGCACGGAGATGAAAAAGGTATGTATGGACTTATCTAACTCTGGGGGATAAGGTGAATAGGCTAAGGTCCCAAAAAGTCGGAGTGTTCCTTTAAGGTTGAGCCGCTGTAGTCACTCGGACTATTTTTTTTTTTTCCATTTATATTTTATTGTCTTTTCACAATATGAATTTTACAGAACAACAAGGCAAACACTGACAATATTTAAATACAGTCAAAACTTGTTTTCCTTGAATTACCTTAATGATAAGACATTCATTTTTTGAAACATAAACCAAACATAAAACTAAAACTAAAATAAAATTGTAGCTTAGAACTGGGGTGTGGTATGTGTTACTCTCAGTGACAATCCTTGCATAGTAAATTTGCTTTCTTCATCCTTCTACCTAGTACATTAAAGAGGTATTCATAAAACATTCAGACCTTACCACAATTCTCTAAACAAAATCCGTTCTATGTTGCCTAATATATTTAATCCATCCTTTCCAGATATTGTTACATTTATCGACTTCCAATCTTAATGACGCAGTTAGCTTTTCACTTGGACTATCTTAACGATGTCTTTAATAACTTTTCTGGGCCGGCCAGTTTCGATCCCTTTAGATAGATCCTATATAGAGGAGTGATCCAGCTCTCAGATTTAATAAAAAATATCTTAATTTGTGTTCTGAAGATGAACGAAAGACTTACGGGGTTGAACAACATGAGGGAGAGTAATTACTGACAGAGTTTGGGGTGAACTATCCCTTTAATGCATAAGCGTCAATGTAGGCAAAGGTCTAACGGAAATAAAATCACCATAAATCGTCATGAATCCGATTTTCTAGTTTTTTGGTTCGTTCCAGTGATCAGACATGTATTTATCATTGAGTCCAGAGAAAGAAAAGAAAAAACATTCTTCCTAGGTCAGATTTCGTTCGTGTGAACATCCATACGCAGCACAAAAGCCCGAAAATCCATGAATTCGAAGTACAGGCGGAGATAGCTGCGTTACCTTGCTACTTCCTATGACAAGACCCCTGTTCCAAGATGGCGGCGGTTTTGACGCGTGCTTAGAACCCCAAGGCGGCATCTAGTGTATATATCTATGACACTGGACCTGCTCTGTTACATTCACAGAGCTGTCCTGTTCCCCTGACACTCTCTCTCTCTCACGTCCACAGCTTTGCCCTTCGAGGTGCTCATGTATATCTTCCGCTGGGTGGTGTCATGTGACCTGGACCTTCGAGCCCTAGAGCAGCTCTCATTGGTTTGCAGGGGTTTCTATATCTGTGCAAGGTGGGCTCACAGACTCACCAAACATCTGAGGAAACCATCTTGGAGTCATAGCAGAAAAAAGATGTGCGTTTGCCATTGAATTGTGTGTGTTTTGCCGCAGGGACCCTGAGATTTGGCGCTCTGCTTGTTTGAGGGTGTGGGGGCGAAGCTGCACCAAAATGCTGCCGTTTTCATCCTGGAGAGAGATGTTTTTGGAGAGGCCACGTGTGCGCTTTGATGGTAAACGTGTGCGTTTATGTACAGTCAAACCAAATTGTATTCAACATTTCTCACATTATCTCAGTTTATTCGCTATAGTTTAGAAAATGGCAATAAAATATGACAAGAACTCAAGAGTTATCAAATCAGTGGATATTTCACTGGTTTTGTCCGTCCTTATTTTAGACTCTCACAGATGAATTATGTTGATTATCTGTCAGCTGTTAAATTTAATTACACAATCAGATAATACCAATTTAGCTCAACCGATTACCAAGCAATGCTTATTTTTGCTCAGTCTGTGGTGTAAAAAGAGAATTAGCTATTAAAGAAAAAATACTTCAGCAAAACATGGTCAGGTCAAAGTGTCTGAATAATGTTTGGTCCAAAAGTTTTATAAATATTTAGTCACTGCATGAAGAATATTTGGGTATAATATGTGACCGTTTACTTTATTTTGCTCTCCTCACTTTCATAAATGAACTATAGTGTCCTGCACACACTAGTAAAAAAAATATAAAAATGTATATCTGGTGTCTGAATAATTTTTGGTTTGACTGTGTTGTCTTAAATATATGCTGCACGTACAGTGTTTAATAAACGTCTTTGGTTCGTCCAGGTGTTTACATCAGCAAAACCTCCTACATCCGTCAGGGGGAGGAGTCTCTGGACGGCTTCTACAGGGCTTGGCACCAGGTGGAGTATTACAGGTGAGATCTGGGCTTTAAAGGGATACTCCTCTCAAAATGGCAGTTCTGTCAGCATTTACTCACCCTCATGTACGTCCAAACCTGTATGCATTTACAGTGTTTCCCCCAAGCGGAAACCTCTCTCTTGAATCCGACACGGAAGTGACTTAAAGTGCAGTTCATCGACTGGCCACTAGAGACAGGCTGCAAAAGAGAGTCAATCCCATAGACTCCTCTTGTTAAAATGCCCAACTTTACAGCAGAAATAAATATGTTTACAGCCTGGTACAAATAGTGGTTTTGGTCTATATAGCTAATTTTGCCCTTCGTGACGACTGTGAGGGGGTGAATATTTGTACAACTCATCCGTTTAAATTATATTAAGCCTTAAAGTTCTGCATAATTAAGGGCGTGGCCACTTGAGTGACAGGTGGATTGCAGCTGATGTCACTACTTAGTCGTTTGTCTGCTGTCTGTTAGCGTCACGTCACCTCAGATAATCACGACTTTTTGCACATTTCCGGTTATTCGGGAGTAGGGGTGTCGCAATATACCGGTATTGACGATAATCGTGATATTCAAAGCTTGAAATATCGACATCGTGTTAATTTAGAGTGTGGCAATATACCGGTATTGGCGATAACCACGATGTTTAAAATGAATAGGACTTTTATGATAACATGACGTATACTCCAGCGCCAGTTGAGGTGGCAGTATTGCACCCGCTGACATCTATCAAATGAGAAGAAGACGACGCAGTGCGCGCCCGCGCAGCCACTCTGGTATGGGAGTTCTTCGGCTTCAAAGAAAACAGCACTTTAAAGGGGGTCGCACACCGGACGAGAAGCGCAGAGAATTCTTTAAAATTCGAACACATTATTTTCTAGGAGTTTACACACACCACCGCCGGCACCATTCGGCGTCTGTCCGCGACGCCCAGCAATGGCTCGGATTTCAGGTGAGATTATCAAACCATTCAGTTAAACGGATGCGCTCTGACTGAGGTAAAGTGTTCAGACTGCAGACGCAACGATTGTATTTAATTGTACAGTAAAATCATAACATAGTACAGACATGATCTTAATTTCATAATGTCCTTAAACATAACAATATTGCTGGCCATGAACTGAGAAAGTGCGCGTCAGGTGTGCTACACACGACGCGGCGCGGAGCTGCGCTTCTCGTCCGGTGTGCGACCCCCTTAAGCCCAATCTGCAGAATGTGTAAGTTAGCCACCAACCTTTTTACCCATCTCCGTGTCCATCACCCTGCGGATTACGCTATTTTACATAGAGTAAATTGCGATTATTTTACTAGTCATGGAATGGGAAATGTGACATTAACCTGTTAACAGCGGGGTTTTGTTTTCATATGTTTAAATAAAGGGTGATTATTAAGTACCCCGTTTTCTTTACTCGTCTTATTTTGGTATTTTTGTATTTGCACTTGATTTATTTTGTTAAAATCTGCATGACTTGCACCGGCGCAACAAGCTTTTCAGTTCTTCAGGAAACATTCAGACAGTGTTTCGCTCCAGTGTGAAACCAGATATACTTCACATGCTTGTCTTACTTCACAAAAATGTGCATTCAAATATAAGAACGCAAGAAGTAAAAATGCGAAAAAAGAAAAATTAAATAAACAAAGTAAAAATGAATTTGACTGATTTGACATTTTTCCCCCAAGGTTTCTATAGATATCGCGATATATCGATATCGTGAATTATTTTGGCCACAATAACCGTGGTGTGAAAAATCTAACATCGTGACAGCCCTATTCGGGAGTGACACTGCCAAGATGGCGACGGCACTTTTGGCTTCAAAAATGCTCTTCAGGAACCTACGGGTGACGTCACGGACACTACGTCCATATCTTTCTACAGTCTATGGTTTCCCCACAGGAGTTTGTGAGACTATGAGTGGTGGACTTGGGTCCCCTTTTAAGTTAAATGCATCAATGTGGTGCGCTTTGAGAGCAAACTTAAAGTGCCCCTATTATGCTCGTCCAGAAAATGATCAGTTTCTGTGAAAACAGGTTTACAAATGCATCTCATTACAAATCTATGTGTACTCAACTGTCCACAGAATAATGTTAGAAATGTTTCACGACTGTGAAAGTTTAGAAAGCTAAATACGTATTTAATTAAATCACAACCTTTTGCAATTTGATGAGCACACTAAACCATATCGTGATTTTAGTTTGACTGACAGATGCTTATGCTATTATGTGAGATTTTCTAAATGTTTTCAGTTCATTATGAAACTGTGGCGGGACAGATTCGACTATGGCGCATTTCTACATTTCTTCTAGTGACACAAATATTGGGAGCCAAACAGTTTTAGAGCCCAGGTTTGGAAGTAAATGCCAGATGTTTTCATTTCTGGGTGCAGTATCTCTTGAGTGTCCCTGAACAGATTGGGTTTTGTTCAGTGTTATGAGGCTTCGACGAGACCAGGGCTATTTTAGACCGGTCTATAGTGTTAGACAAGTCTAAAATTTTCTCATAGACTAGTCTAATGCAAGTTAGACTGTTTCACAAAAATAAAGACTGACTTAATTTAGACCAAAAAAAATTAGACGCCTTTCCCCCAGGCTAACTTAGGTCTAAGACTCTGTTACCTTGGCAACCAGCAGCAACAATCAGTTACATTACAAACAGCCGAAAGAAAAGGGAAAATGGCCCATAATTTGTGGTTTGCTGGCGACGTTATGGAGAGAGCTGTGAGAAGGGAAAGGGTTTTTAGGGACCGCAGTAACCTACTTGTACCATGTTTTTGTATCTTTTCTGTATGTCTTCAACGCTCGGATTACCGTATTTTCCGCACTATAAGGCGCACCTTCAATGAATTACCTATTTTAGAACATTTTTCATATATAGGGGGCACCGGATAAGGCGCATAAGATACTGCAGTCAAACGTTTGACTGGGTTTGCGTTATGCATCCACTAGATGTGCTAAAGGGAATGTAGCGAGTGTGCGGCGCTGGAGGCGAGGCGTTTATTAGTGAGCGCGAGCACGCTGGGGCGGACACGTAACTTACATTCGCAGCCTGACTCATGAGTATTCATGTGCGGCGGCTCGCTGACAGCAACAACTGGCTGTTTTGAATGAGACGACCCGGTTACTGTGAACGGGGAGCGCTTTATGAACACACTGTGACAGAGCGGGCATAAGATGGACACGAGCGCGAGTTCGCGGGCGAATTAGTCCTAGTCAGAGATAGTCAGAGTCCTAAGTGTTTTGTGCAACGGTCTGATTTAGATGTCTATCTGAAGTCTGACTCTCTACTATATCTAAGCCGTAGTCCAAGTCTGTCTTTGTGAAACCGGCCCCTGGTCTTTCAGGTACCTGCGCTTCTTCCCTGACGGTCAGGCGGTGATGTTGACCACCCCCGAGGACCCGTTGGTCGTTGTCCCAAGGCTGCGCAGCAAGAACTCCAGGTGTGTGTCATGTGCGTGATTAACACACCTCTGAATTGACATTTCTAGCCCATGTGACATGACGGTTAAAATGCTTCGATTCCCACAGGATGGACTCCATCATGCTTGGCCATTATCGGCTGTCCCAGGACACAGACAATCAAACCAAAGTTTATGTTGTTGTCTCCAAGAGGAAAGAAGAGGTTGGTTTGTCATTTAACAGGTTTTACTAGCAATAAGCCGACTGATTTGTAAATGTTGTTAACAAACAAGTATTCATTACTTCAATGAGCTCATTGTTTCTGCATTAAATTATCACATTGTTTAAATTAATACATTTTTTGCTAACTGTGAGTTTGTATATGTACATTTCTGAAATACGTAACTTATCTCTGATAACAGATCACTCTAAATTGTAATGTGGACTCATGCATTTTCTGTAAAGCTGCTTTGAAACGATGTGTATTGTGAAAAGCGCTATATGTACGCAATAAGAGGCTAGTGCTATTTTACATTTACATTTATGCATTTGGCAGATGCTTTTATTCAAAGCGATTTACATTTACACATTTTTACATTCTTATCAGTTCTTGCTTTCCCTTGGCGTTGCAAGCGGCAACGCTCTACTCTTTGAGCTACAGGAAAGCAGTGCTGTGCATGAATAAGTCCCGGCTGAGGGGCGTTGTTAGGCACGAAGCGGAGCGGAGAAACCCCTTTAGCCGTGATTTATTCACGACACAGCACTAGACTCTCGTACCTTATTGCTTTTATAAAACGGTTACCACACAATGCAACTATTTAATTAAATAAAATCACTAAAAGCCTTCCTTCCGCTGGAAAAAATTAGTCCTTGACCGTGAACAGCATCAGAGTTACATTATTTCGCCATTAGACTGCGGCAAAGACTGTCTTTATGAGTGAGTCAGTCAGTAGAGAAGACTTTTATATACGCTGATTTCACGCAGCCGCCATTTTGAAATCAAAAGCGAGGCTCCGGTGGGAAGAACCCCGGAAGTACAGATAGACAACAATGCCTTGGACTACCAACCTGAAGCTGCTGCCGCGGTTTACACTATTGGATGTTAATATCCAGTATAGGATATGTATATAGTTCGTTCCTGCTTCTTTTTTTACGTTCTGAATTATATTAAAAAAAAATTGTATTTATAAATGAATTTCACTGTATATAGTCTAAAGTATGAAAGAAATGTATGTACATTTGTGGAATAACTCATTTCTACATTAAACACAACAATACGCCATCGCATTCGCGACTCTCCTCTGATTAAAGGCGACACTTCCGTTTTTCTTCCTACCAGTGGCGATATTTTTTTTCACAGGATGGTAGGGGAAGACTCATGAATATTCATTAGGGAACTCATCCCTGATTGGTCTTAACCCCAGTGACGGGTAGGTTTAGGGGCGGGGTTAGGGGGTAGGTCATCAGACCAATCAGGGATGAGTTCCCTAATGAATATTCATGAGTCTTCCCCTACCATCCTGTGAAAAAAAAATATCGCCTACCAGGGCCATTTCAAAATGGCGGCTGCGTGAAATCAGCGTATTGAAAGGATTTAAACTTGTGAACACGGAGAAGCAAGACGCAACTGACTAATGACTAGGACACGGGAAAACCCCTGAACTGTTAAAAGGACAAGATATCGCAGCGGACATTCAAACTGATTTTTTTATTACAAATATAGGACTGACCTGAAGGAAAATGCTATATCTAGTGTAAATGCAGGTACACTTACTTACTCGATCTCTCACAATACTCGACTATGAGCTTCAATGAACAATATCAATGAGAACAAACATATGTTTACGTTGCTAAGAGTGGTTGCTAGGGGGGTTGTGTCGTGATACATAGAACCGTTGGGTGAAGCGGTCATAGTGTTTCATCATGAATAAAACACAGCTATCAGAATTGACCATTCAGCTATCAGACCAATCAGAATCAAGGACTGGAACTAACCGTGTTATAAAAATAAATGTGACTTGAATTGCTTGTGATTTGTCAGCAGAAGGTGTCCGAGTACCAGAGGAGCCGGTTCTGCAGGCGGAGCCCAGTTCCCGACGCCGAGCGCTCGTTTCATGTGGGACTGCAGCTGTCCTCTGGGGGGCGCCAGCGCTTCAACAAGCTGGTGTGGATCCACCATTCCTGCCACATCACCTACAGGTGTCATGCCCTGCGTCTCAGTGTCCATACTATCATCCTAAACTGTGTGTGAGGTTGAAATAAGTGTGTCCCAAAGCATAGTATGCTGAAAAGAGTGTGCCAGAAGTCCCCGGATGATACTATTTCCGGTGGATTTTCAAAGTGTGGATCTGTGCTCACTATAACAGCTAATATTACCCACAATCCACTGCGCTTTGGAGGAGGAGCTACAAACAATTAGTAAACAGTGTTAAAAAACTACCAAACATGGCGGATATGCGCGACCGACGGTGAGAGAGATTTAGATAAAGGTTTGAGTGACTGATCAAAAGTTTAACCTGATAAAAAATATATTTATTTAATGTTATCCGTGTTATATTTCATCTGCAATAACAATGTGGACTTTTATGAAGATCCATTTGGCCATTTGGTCAGTTTAAGTGACAGGATGATTGATGATTGACAGGTCAGTTTAAGTGACAGGATGATTGACAGGTCAGTTTAAGTGACAGGATGATTGACAGGTCAGTTTAAGTGACAGTATGATTGACAGGTCAGTTTAAGTGACAGGATGATTGACAGGTCAGTTTAAGTGACATGATGATTGACAGGTCAGTTTGAGTGACAGGATGATTGACAGGTCGGTTTAAGTGACAGGATGATTGACAGGTCGGTTTAAGTGACAGGATGATTGACAGGTCAGTTTAAGTGACAGGATGATTGACAGGTCAGTTTAAGTGACAGGATGATTGACAGGTCGGTTTAAGTGACAGGATGATTGACAGGTCAGTTTAAATGACAGGATGATTGACAGGTCAGTTTAAGTGACAGGATGATTGACAGGTCAGTTTAAGTGACAGGATGATTGACAGGTCAGTTTAAGTGACAGGATGATTGACAGGTCAGTTTAAGTGACAGGATGATTGACAGGTCAGTTTAAGTGACAGGATGATTGACAGGGCAGTTTAAGTGACAGGATGATTGACAGGTCAGTTTAAGTGACAGGATGATTGACAGGTCAGTTTAAGTGACAGGATGATTGACAGGTCAGTTTAAGTGACAGGATGATTGACAGAGAGCAGCCGTTAAAGACACAATTGTATGACGTGATAGTGTGTCCCAAAGCTTGTCTGCTGTTCTGCTACACACTCTTCTTCACAAAACGAGCACATAATAATAGGGCGTAGTATAAGTAGGCGTATTGAGACGTGCGTCTGATGAGCGCCCGGTTCACGCATTGCTGATACAGTGTGTCGGAATTTCATAGCAAAAGCAAGAGAAAAACAGTGAAAAAATTAATAAAATTAATTTATAATTAAAAAAATTAATAAAATGTTTGGGGTTTTTTATAAAAAATAAGTGCTGGGCATCGATTAATCATGATTAATCACATCCAAAATAAAAGTTTGCGTTTACATATTATATGTGTGTACGGTGTATAATTATGTTGTATATATAAATACACACACATGCATGTTTTTCACTAAGCATCATTTTAGGGAATTTGTAATAAAAGGAAATGCTATCGGGCGAGCAGGGGTCCGTGTCGTGGGTCATGTGACTCGAGCTGGTGCCGTCCAGTCTTTGGCCCGTAACACTCGTGTCCAGTTGAGGTCAAGAAGATTGCTATCCACCATTTTCTTTTCTTTTTTCATACTATTTTATTGATATATTTAGTCATTCATTTGTTATTTATATTGTTACAATTTATTGACTAATGTTGTTTTATGTACGGTTTTGATTTAGTGGTTTGGTTATATGTCAACTACATGATTGTTTATATAATCGTTTGTTTGCGAATAAGAAAATCAATAAAGTACAAATCATTAAAAATAGAAGATGGCGTCTAGATTTCTTCTAACCTGTTTTCTGTTTTCCTCTCGTCCCGCAGATCCAGTGGAGAGACTGTCGTCACTGCGTTTGATGTGGACAAAATGTACACGCCTCTGTTTTTTGCACGAGTCAAGAGCTTCACCGCCTTCTCAGAGCGCCCACTGTAGGACGACCCCGGCGATGCATGACGAAAGCTCACCTTTGACCTTTGACCTACCGCTTCCAGCTCTCTCTGATGAATGTACAAGAATCGTGAGATTTTTAGTCTTAACTGCAGCTCAAAGCATTATGTTTTGTTCTCATGGATAGTGTAAGAGATCTGTCACGCTCTTATTGTAAAGATACAAATACTATATATATATATAGATCGTCTTTAAGAGGTTTGTGATGAATGTTCACTTTGTGTGTGTGTGGATTTCAGTGAGGGAACATGTCTACTGACAACTGGAACACCCAAATAAAGCAGATGTGTTGTGTTCTGCTTGCTTCTCATTTACATATCTAAATTATGTTCAAATCAAAAACACTTTTTCCTTTCTCATTACACGTTCCTGGTCTTAATTTGATGAAAGAAGCTCCGGTCTTTCCTCAAAGTGGTGTTCCCGTTTGGCTGATGATGCTCCGCTCGAAACACTTCGTTCTGGTCACGATTCTTTCTCTTCCTGTCAGATTAAATCTATATTTTTCAGCTGGAGACGCTTTCCGCCACCAAATAATAAATCAAATAATAATTGCATGATATAAAGTCGCAATTATCTTTTAAAAGGTGTTATCTCGTGGCGGAAACAAGCTTCTAAACTTCAGTGTTCGGTCTTTATAAAAGCTGGTGTCTTCATAAATAACAAAATAATGCATTTATCTGTAAACTGGGTAAAAGATCATAAATAAATTCAGCTCAATCGATGTTCATTCCTCTTTTCTTTCTTTCTTTTTTTTGCAAGATAATTACAAAGACAAAACATAGAACTATGAAGGTTACATTACACTATTACAAATTATTATAACTTGCATGTATTACACCATTAAAGGGTCTTACATGCAAGAATTTAAATCCCTATCTGGTAACACTTATCTTGAAGGGGTGTGCATAAGAATGACATGACACCTTCATAACCATGACATGATACATGTCATGAATATGAAAGAGGGTTTATGCATGTTTATGACAACTGTCATTAAGTGTCATTCGCTCAATTATGACATTTTTAATGCAAATATGACATTGTTTGAGATGTCTTTGGTATGACAACTTGACAAACCAATACGTCATAACCTGTCAGTGTCTTTGTCATGACAACTTGACATTACTAAGACAACACAACCTGTCATAAACATGACATAGCAGATTAATTATCAAATTTAAGATTAGCTTTATGGGTTAACATTACATTAAACTGTGGTTGGTTTTGACATTGGCTGTCATGGAGCCATTATAACTGTGTCATGAATATTTTTCTTGACCTCAACTACAGTGGTACACATTGAATTTGTCATTAAAATGTTATAATGGCCTTATGACAGCCAATGTCAAAACCAACCACCTGACAGTTTAAATTTTGTATATGTCCCACAGCAAACATAATGAATATTGGATGGCAATTAATGAATAAAATAGATTGGATTCATTTTAAGTGTCTTTGAGATTAAATGTTATGATTTCACATGAAGTAAATGAGTCATGTGACTAAACTGCACATAATTATGTTATTCAATTATGCATTTAATTATCAATTATTTTCTGTACGTTTGCAAAAACGTCTCTTTCTAACAATAAATAATCTTGGAATCCTTTTATTTGTTCATCACCACACACGGCCCAGCTCTGGCTGGCAGGACGCATTGCCCTATTTATTAAACAGTAGAATAACTTTGCACGCTTGAGCGGCGGCTAATTCAAAAGGATGAAACTTTTATATCGTCACCTTCCTAAAATAATTGCATTTTTTCAGGTTTCTCATAAAACACAAAAAACTGAACCAATAATTGAATATATGATTTTTTTTTCTCGTTCTTCTTGATGCAGCTGCCATTTTGAAAATCTTGTAAAATTGCCTAAGTGTCATTGTCTTTTGACTTTTGAAACGGCCTAAGTGAGCGATTTTACCAGAGGTGGCCAGCATCATGCAAAAAAAATCATTTTTGTCAAAAAATTACTTAGGCAATTATTTTAAGAAGCTGATGATATGCAAGTCTTAATTTAGACCTAAATATTTTGAGTGTATATTGGTTGTCGTTTTAAACAAGACAGTAATTTTTATGTGATCTTACAGCATAAAAAATGTTATTATTTTTATGCTTTAAGATCACATAAACATTAGTGTCTTGTTTAAAACAAAAAGCACATGATGCATTTGAGAATAGGTTTTTGCTCAAGTAGTGACTTATTAAATATCAGCTGAATATCAATTCAACATAGAAAACAAACAAGCACGGATGGAGATCAGTTGTTCATGCACTATCTATACACTCACCTAAAGGATTATTAGGAACACCATACTAATACTGTGTTTGACCCCCTTTCGCCTTCAGAACTGCCTTAATTCTACGTGGCATTGATTCAACAAGGTGCTGAAAGCATTCTTTAGAAATGTTGGCCCATATTGATAGGATAGCATCTTGCAGTTGATGGAGATTTGTGGGATGCACATCCAGGGCACGAAGCTCCCGTTCCACCACATCCCAAAGATGCTCTATTGGGTTGAGATCTGGTGACTGTGGGGGCCATTTTAGTACAGTGAACTCATTGTCGTGTTCAAGAAACCAATTTGAAATGATTCGAGCTTTGTGACATGGTGCATTATCCTGCTGGAAGTAGCCATCAGAGGATGGGTACATGGTGGTCATAAAGGGATGGACATGGTCAGAAACAATGCTCAGGTAGGCCGTGGCATTTAAACGATGCCCAATTGGCACTAAGGGGCCTAAAGTGTGCCAAGAAAACATCCCCCACACCATTACACCACCACCACCAGCCTGCACAGTGGTAACAAGGCATGATGGATCCATGTTCTCATTCTGTTTACGCCAAATTCTGACTCTACCATCTGAATGTCTCAACAGAAATCGAGACTCATCAGACCAGGCAACATTTCTCCAGTCTTCAACTGTCCAATTTTGGTGAGCTCTTGCAAATTGTAGCCTCTTTTTCCTATTTGTAGTGGAGATGAGTGGTACCCGGTGGGGTCTTCTGCTGTTGTAGCCCATCCGCCTCAAGGTTGTGCGTGTTGTGGCTTCACAAATGCTTTGCTGCATACCTCGGTTGTAACGAGTGGTTATTTCAGTCAAAGTTGCTCTTCTATCAGCTTGAATCAGTCGGCCCATTCTCCTCTGACCTCTAGCATCAACAAGGCATTTTCGCCCACAGGACTGCCGCATACTGGATGTTTTTCCCTTTTCACACCATTCTTTGTAAACCCTAGAAATGGTTGTGCGTGAAAATCCCAGTAACTGAGCAGATTGTGAAATACTCAGACCGGCCCGTCTGGCACCAACAACCATGCCACGCTCAAAATTGCTTAAATCACCTTTCTTTCCCATTCTGACATTCAGTTTGGAGTTCAGGAGATTGTCTTGACCAGGACCACACCCCTAAATGCATTGAAGCAACTGCCATGTGATTGGTTGATTAGATAATTGCATTAATGAGAAATTGAACAGGTGTTCCTAATAATCCTTTAGGTGAGTGTATATGCAAACATGAATTTTGAACAAAATAAATTTTTTTGCATAAATGCAGTTCTAAAACAGACAAAACACTGAATTAAAAGAAAAGACAGACAATAGTGATACTGGTAACGCATTTATTCTCGAGAAGGAATATAAAAAGAACAGCGGATTTGAAGGATGCAACTGGAGAAAAAGAAAAACAGGCTAGTTTTGGCGTCTCAGTCTTTCCTGAGTGGCACGACCTCTTCTCGAATGCCTTCCTTGGTGATGATGCAGATCTTGAGAGCATCTCCTGTGTAGACGTCCCTCTCGGCGGCCGAGATGAAGACGTCCTTCACCAGCTGCACGGCCTTCTCCTGGCTCAGCGGGAGATGCTCCACGTTCTCCATGTTCTTGAAGCCGATCTGAGCACAAGAGGACACAGTTTAAGCCTTCAAGAAGGAACGCTAAAGTTTTCATGACAAATACTGACATGATATATAAACAAATGCAATTTCAATACTCCACAGCTCATTATTTAAAAAAATTATAAAATTGTCCTGAAAACTATCTTCATTTTATGTAAAATAATTCAGGCCTCAATCGCTTGAATGTAACTTTACACCCTTTTATGAATATGCTAATTATCCCCGCCTCCACTCACTCACAGCAGATCCAACTACCCGACCCATTCAGCCATACATGTTTGAAGCAGAAACTGATTCAGAAGAAGAGGAAGAGTGAATTATACGGGCTCGTCTACAAGTCCATGTATCAGAATGTGTTTTATGTATCGCTCTCTGCAAAGCCGGACACATAGCGGTAATTAATATGATTAGCCGTTGGCTTGAATACATTATCAAACAGATAATAATGTGTTGCTAATGTTACACAAACCATGTTCCCGTTCTCATCTCAGAGTCAGACGGCTGCCTTTAAAAATCAGAGTGGTGAAAATCACTTTTTTAATGTTGTTTGTGTGTCTATGTGGTGTTTTTAATGTGCTTTCAAATTGTACATTCATAAGTCGACAGCATTGCTGAGCATTTTCTCCTTTAACTGGAGTGCACCAAAGACAGTCTCAAAAACACATTACAAACATGTCACCAATCCCATCAACGTGTGTGTGTGTGTGTGTGTGTGTGTGTGTGTGTGTGTGTGTGTGTGCTTTTCCCCACTGACTTTCTATGAGGTTAAAAGCAAAAAACACATTACCATTCTGATACATGACTTATAGACGAGCCTGTATAATTCACTCTTCCTCTTCTTCTGAAGTGTTTCTATAGTTGAGTGAATGGATCAGGGAATTCGAGCTGCTGTGAGTGAGTGGAGACGGGGCTAATTTGCATATTCATGAAGTGTAGTTACATTCAAGCTATTTTGAGGAATACGGAAATCATTTTAACAGGAAAAAAAAGTTAAAATGTGTTATTTTGATAATCAAAGATGAGTTTTAAGGGATACAATTATTTACTGCAGGGAGGAAAATTAAAATTTCTTTCTTTTGACTTTTGATATGACCTATAGGGGTGTAACGGTTCACAAAATTCACGGTTCGGTTCGATACGATACACTTGTGTCACGGTTCGGTACGTTTTCGATACAGCAAAAAGAAAGAAATGCCAGAGAAATTTCCTTGATTTAATTTTTTTAATTATATTTTTATTAAAACCAACATCATAAAGTATGATATTTTTTTACTTTGAGCAATGATGGAGCTATACTTGACTTTTCTTAGGAGCTTATAAAACAAAACAGCTCCTTGGACAAAATGTAATATTGTAGTAGTTATAAACAAAGGTTTAGTTTAGTTCAGATTAACATTTGAGGGCAGTAATTGTATTCATAATGTCAAAATAAAACCGATGTGATGTTACTTGAAAGCATTATAGCCTACTATTCCTGCCAAACTCCCATGGTTACAGTTAGTAGTGTTACTCCAGTAAACCCATGGTGATGTTGCTGATCTGTGGACACTAGATAGTTCATTCATGGCACAATGTTTCTTCCTGGTTTCCACGTCAGCGCTGTTTGATCCGTTAATAACGGAGAAATGCGAATGTTTCTCTCTAGATCTCGCAGCGATGTTATTACTTCAGTGGCGAACTCAAATGTTTTCTTCACTGGATTTGGCTGTGTAGTGACAGTGCTGATGATGAAGATCGGCTCGCGCTGCATTGGTCCAAACTGATAAACGGTCCGTCAAACACACAATAACGAGAAGCTCAGTTTCGTTCCGCTTACATTACGTTTGCCATTTGATGTTGGGCAATGTTGTGGTCACGCCGGCGTCTCTTACATCATGAGCGCGCTTGCCACGCGAGACGTGCCTACATTTGAAATAACGAAATTTTGGTCGGCAGGAAAAATTCCAACGAACCGTTCGGTTTAAAAATGCGTGCCGAAAACCGAGCCGTAAGCCGTGAGTGAGTGAGTGTGTTGTATGGTTGCTGCCACTGAGCTATAGTCCCATCGTTCTAGCCTGTGACGTGGTTGTGTATGATTTGGCAATAGGGGACAGTAATTTTCTAACATGTCAACAACAAAGACATCGACAGTGTGGCAGCATTTTGTTAAAATTGATAACGGGAAAAAGGACGAATGCAAAGTTTGCAAGCAACCACACCTCGACGACAAACATGACACATCATCCAAAAGCGGTAAGCTAACTCGTCTGCGTTAGCCTGCCCTGTCTGTTTTGAGTAACGTTAGGCTATATGAACTTATCAGAATTGGCATATCAGTTATGCACTTTATTTAGTTTCTGCTCTTGATCTGGTTTGTTTAATAAATATTCTTTTTTTATTAAAGTGGACGTGCCTTTTGTGTTTATTAAGAGTAAAAGCTTTAAGTTAATAGTCTATTCGTGTCTCAGCCACGAAGCTGATATGTTCAGCCTCGCTCGGTGTGAGGACATGCAGAGCGGCTGAAATGATAGTGTCTTGACAGTTATTATAACATATGACAAAAAGATTTGTCTAAATTATGTTGCATATTCCTCAACAGTTCTTGTGATGATATCACTAGTTGACATAGTACTATTTTCGGAAATCATAGGCTATGATATTGCGCAGGTGCACGTGATGCAACGCTGTCAGAGCCGATAGACTTGTGTGTCAGACTCATTTCAGTGCAAAATAATTAGGTCAAAAACAATTTAATATACTGCAAACAGCCTACTAGCTTTTTTATGTTCATTTATAATTCATTTAGGTGGACAAGGCTACCAAGTACTCCGCACAGTGCGCAGCTAATTCATTTAAAGTTGTTTTTCTAACGTCATTTTTAGTCGAAAATTTCAGGACTTTAGTCGACCAAGATTTTCTTTGGTTGAGTACAGCCCTACTCGGCTCGGCTCGTAATTCCTCACACACACTGCGAGCCGCGACCATGCGAGAATCACCGATTTCCACTCATTTCTCCCGAGTGAAAGACATCCTCAGCGAGCTCGTAATCATCAGACATCGCTCGTGTACGCCGCCTTACGCTGGACAGAGACTCTCACCTGGTTGTCCAGCAGAGGCTGCAGCATTGCACTCGCTGATCCTCCTGCTTTGTAACAGTCTCTCTGGTAAGAACCGACTGGATCAAAACTATAAACGGCTCCTCGACCTGGATTGAAGAAACAGACTCGCTATTGAAAGACAATCCAGTTTATTAAAGCATTGGTTTTCATGCACACTCACACACTCACACACACTCACACGCCAATTTTGTGACTGTGAACGTGTTGTTTCAGACTAGTGGAAGTCAAACACCCAAAATACATTTTTATGTAATTTTTTTATTGCACTCTCTATTTGCGTCTGTAAATTTCAATGTCAATACATATATTTCTAAAGGCGGCGAGTTTGAGTCTGAAATCTCCACTTGAGCGGCACTAACACACACCAAAAAACTTTACAGTTTCATTCCTATCTGTATTCTGGAGGTTCATCCATATATCATTCACCTGATTTATGGAACATTTTACTCCTAAAAACATGGTGAAAATCTATTGTTTTCTGGCTGTTGACGGTACTTTCTGAAAAATAAGTGAAGATCTAAAATCCGCTCTGTAAAAACCTTTAACTGAAACAAAATCAAACTGATCCTGATTCCTGGCTTTATCCAATGCACAGACTTCGGTTTAGGAAATCTATGCAAGCTAGTGCATATTTAATAATTGAATGCCTCGTTTGTATATTCAAACATAACAGCAGAAACTTGTAATACAATATAATGTATGCAATGCTTAATGTTATCAAGATATTATGGTGATATCTATTAGTACATGTTTTACCCTATTCACCTGAGGTGTCTTGCCTTATAAAACCGGTAACACTTTACAATAAGGTTCATTAGTTAATGTATAAACTAATAGGGGTGTGCAAAAAAATCGATTCACATTTGAATCGCGATTCAATCTTTACCGATTCAGAATCGATTCATAGAATTCCAAAAATCGATTCATTTTTTTATTTATTTTTTTATGGCGTGCACGGGCGGAGTGGCAATCGGGTGAGTCGGGACTTTTACCGGTGGTTCGGTAGTGTTTCGAGGCTGCGAGGGCCGGTCTGATAAATAGTTACATTGCAAGTTCTTGCCGCCCGCTGGTCAAAGTGTGCAGCCTCTCTGCTCAACCCGTAAATAAATGCATCGATCCGCAGATTATGTTTGAGTTCTTAATGGTCTGTAGATCTTTTGCCAAGCGTGTCAGAGGTTACGGGTTCTAAACCGCACTCGTATCGGTTTTTCTCTCTCTCATTAAAACCGAATATGTTCATCACGTTTGTGTGCATTTTATTTTGAGATCTCACCGGAACCACAACGGCGATATGAAGCGCGTGTCCGAGTGAAATAGGGCTGGGTATCGTAACAAAATGTTCGGTACCGATACCGATACCTTGACTTCGATACCGGTTCCTGAACGATACTTTTTTCGATACCAATTTTATGTAACCAGGTTTAACAATATAACATTACCTAATTTTTATTTCAGTTTGTTGACTTTTTTACACTCATATTTTGAGTATGTAAAAAAGCACCAATGCTAAAGTTTTCTATGTTTCCTAATCATTTAACAACATGTATTCTTTACTTCAATGAGCTCATTGTTTCTGCTTTAACTTAATGCATTAATTAACGATGAAACTGAATGAAAATTAATTGAAATGCATTACACTGTCACCTCTGATAACAGATCACTCTAAATTGTAATTTAGACATGCATTTTCTGTAAAGCTGCTTTGAAACGATATGTATTGTGAAAAATGCTATACAAATAAATGTGAATTAAATTAAATATAGGCTACTGGGGGGCGGGATATATACCTGCACGTGAAGCTTGCAGCAAAGCACTGGCAAAAGTAGCCTAATGATTATGGATGTGGAAACAATAGCAAGGAGATATTTTAATTGTTTATTAATGAACAAGTGTTTACTAATGGTGTGTTCACACCGAACGCGAATTTAATTATTTGTGCGAGTAGATTACATACATAGTCAATGCAAAGACGCGAATAGACGCATCATTCGCGCCGGGCGTCGCGAGTGACGCGCACGTTTGCCGCGAACGTCTTCCGCGCAAGTTGAAAAATTTGAACTCGAGCTGAAGATTCAAGCGTCGAACTAGACGCGATAGACGCGTATTTGACGCTCTATTCGCGTTCGATGTGAACACCATTACTCTCAAGTGTCTTTTGTGCGCTTCAGTGCCTAGATTTACCGTGTTGCCGGTCGATCTTGGCAGCAATGATCTTGTCAAAAATATTGCATCGCGTGCATCTGGCATCGAGTCTGGCACATGACATAGGTACACTTTGGATCATTTCCACATATTTTCTATCTATCTGGGTTGGGACGCACGCTTACACACACACACACACACACACACACTGCAGCCTCACGTGCGACGAGCCGCGTCTCTGGGCAGCCGCGTAAACTAGTGTTTTTCCGCCACAGCCAATCATGCTGCATGCTTATTGTTTCACTGACGTTGACGAGATTAACCACTTAGGTACCGAAATGTGGTACCGAAAAACAAGACATGTTTCGATACTCGGTAGTATCGAGGCAATTCGGTCGGTACCTAAAAAGTACCGAACTCGGTACCCAGCCCTACCTCACTGCGCGAGCCACAGAGAACACTGTATCCATGACACTGATAGCAGCGGACACGAGCGCTCAGCTTGATTTCAAAAACAACAGATCTCTTATTTAATAGCGAACTAAATGAATGCTCTGCTAGTTAACTGGAGATACCCGCAAATTACGCCTATGAACAACCTCACTGGATCTAAACAAATCAATCTAACCATAGATGTTACCAGTAGCAGTGGCTTTTTAAAATCTATTTAAAATAATTTCGCAAGGGTTCTATGACATTAGTATATTTTTAGGAAGTTCAATGTGCCCAGTCGAGTTCACATTTCAACAGTCAGCCTGGTAGCTGAAGTAGTCCTTAAACCACATTTAGCATAATTGTTTGTTTGATCTGACTACAGCACTTTAAAGCTAAATGTAAAAGCTTTTTATTTAAGTTTTATTTTAAACTTAAATTAAATGTATTTGAAAGCTGGCCAAAGCTTGGCACTTTGCACTTTTTAGTTGCAAAAGTTTTTATTTTTGTATGAAGACATAAAGTAATATCAAACTACATTTAATTTGTTGTGTTTTTTACTGCAATCAATCACATTGGAAAAAGTAAACTACATTTATATACTGCGAATCGTTTTTTTAATCGAGAATCGTTTTTGAATCGAATCTTGAGACAAAAAATCGGTATCGAATCGAATCGTGACATTTTCTGAATCGTGCACCCCTATAAACTAACATGAACTAACAAATGAGCAATACACTTGATACAGTATTTATTCATCTTTGTTAATGTTAGTTAATATAAATCCAGCTGTTCATTGATTGCTCATGTTAGTTCACAGTGCATTAACTAATGCTAACAAATACAACCTTTGATTTTAATAATATATTATGTTGAAATTAATATCAACTAAGATTAATAAATGCGTAGAAGTATTGTTCATTCTTAGTTCATGTTAACTAAGGTAGTTACTAATGTTAACTAATGAACCTTATTGTAAAGTGTTACCAATAACAGAGTGTATAATAAACTCAATCACACATTTCGGAGCCTGAGAAAGACAAACCCGCATGTTTGACCAGCTTGGACCCCGCCACACACACACACACTCACCCTCCTCGTCGAGACCCCCGATGATGTTGTACACGTAGTAAGGGAAGAAGCGCCTGCCGTACAGAATGGTGGACAGCATGGCTGCGATGGCTCCACTGGTCATGCCCTTATTATTGGAGTGCTTGTACATCTATAAGAGAAAGAAACATAAAAACATATTGATTTCTGTGCCAAGCTGTTAGTGCTGACTGAACATGATCTGACCAGAAGATACTATGACTTTCTTTCAATTTTCCTTTCTAGGTTGTGTTTGTCAAACGCACCTTCAGTCTCGCCTCAATGATTTTGGTTAGCGTCAAGCAGTCGCCATGGAAACCACTGCAGCCAATCACTGTAGTGTCTGTCCTGTATGGGAATGAGCGAGAGATGAGGTTCAGCAATCTTGAAACTCTCCATACAGTTACAGTTCAATCAAAGCACTGGAAGTCACATGTTGTCGCTGTCGGGTGAAAACCTTGCATCTCCATATTTCGTCTTTTTTTTTCATAAATCATTACTAATGGTCATCCTTTATGTCTGTCTGTGGGTTTTCCAAATATTTAACCAATGAAAAGAATTAAAAAGAGCTTGTGACTAAACCTCGTAACTCCATTGGATCCTCAAACTGTCAGTCAAACCTCATAGCCCCGCCCACCTCTATCGTGAATGAAGTGAAATGTGCGGGTCAAAAAACCTTATAACTCCATATGAGCTTAATATTTGGTAAAACGTTTGTAATATAATGTCAAATGCAAGTGTCTGCCCACATAAAGCCACAATATCAACTTTGACAATGCAGTAATCATGTATAAATACTGATTTTTCCATTTCCTGAAACGTAGCATTTTTGGAGATTCGAGTTTCCCGCACGACACCGACGATAAAGAAATATTCACTATTGTAATATTTGCTTCCTAAAAGAAGTGTAATCAATCAGTGTCTCTAGTTTAACGCTTTATTATGATTAGTATTTTGAAGCTTTATTAAAACGTCTCACATTTAAACTTCAGTAGTTGGTAGGTTTGTTTGCTTGGTTAACTCAGTCCCAACCACTTAAAAAAATAGATTCAAAACACTGATACAAATATGTGATGTTCACAGACGTGTCCACATGGCATTCGTCATTCCTTCATTATCTTTAATTAAATTACTGTATTTTATTTTACTGTGCAATAAAGTTTGGTTAAAAAAACTGATGTATAGGCTGTATACAATAAGTGACAAAAGTTCATTTATTTCAGTAATTCAACTTAAAAGGTGAAACTAATACATTATATAGACTCATTACATGCAAAGTGAGATATTTCAAGCCTTTATTTGTTATGATTTTGATGATTATGGTTTACAGCTTATGAAAACCCCAAATTAAAAATTAGAATATTGTGAAAAAAAGCTTTAAGCCATAATCATCAAAATGATAACAAATAAAGGCTTGAAATATCTCACTTTGCATGTAATGAGTCTATATAATATATTAGTTTCACCTTTTAAGTTGAATTACTGAAATAAATGAACTTTTGCACGATATTTAAATTATATAGTATATACATTAAATATGATTAAAAAGCTAAAATAGCTTTTATTTTGTGTGAAAGATGGGTGTGATAACTCACAGTTTGTAGCATTTCGGGGAGTCTCTGCTGTGGATGCTGTATCCCTCACTGAGACGCGTGTCTGACGCCACGAGAGCGAAGTCTTCGCCCGCCACCGCCAGCACAGTCCTGAGGAGAGAGTCCGTGACACACACAGCATTTAACGCAACAGAGTCACACAGTAAACATACAGAACAATATCCATACTTAAAACTTTATCGTCAATTGCCGTCATTACGTTGTGCGTCAAGTTCAAGTGTTACTCTTTTGCCGTAAGTCGACTGCAGGATGCTAGTTATTTTAGTCAATAATATAGTTTTAAATATGGATATTTTTCTTACACGAACGCATCGCTTCACTTCAGAAGGCCTTTATTAACCCCCAGAGAGCCGTTTCGAGGACTTTTACCACTGTACGATGTGCTTTGATGGACTTCCAAAGACAGACACCCATTCACTGCCATTATAAAGCTTGGAAGAGCCAGGACATTTTTTAATATAACTGATTGTATTTGTCTGAAAGATGGAGTAAATCATGGGCTAATTTTTATTTTTGGGTGAACTATCCCTTTAAAGCTGCAGTCCGTAACTTTTGGAGCTACTTCTCTCTGTTTTTGTTCTCTATTACTCCTTTTCCACCCAAAAATTGAGAGCTGGTTCGGAGCCGGTGGCTACTCGCGAATCAGTTCTTTGTGTTTCGACAGCTTCTCGGACAGGAAAATTGGTTTCAAAGCAGCACCAACTCTTTGCCGGACTAGAACCGTTCTTTTACCACGTCATGCTTACGTCGGGGGCTGGAGGGTTATCGTGACCAACAACACGACTGGAATGGGAAAGCTAAGACGTATGGCGACGTACACAGTGACGTAATGACGTCGTTCGCTGGGCTCTCTAGTCAGTGGAAAAACAAACAGGTTCTGAGAAGGTTCGCAAGTTGAGCCAACTTTGACCAGCACCAGTTCCAAACCAGTTCTTTTTTGGTGGAAACGAGGTATGCGACGAGTCACGCCGGCACTGGGCAGCTGTGCGACCCGAACCAGTCTAAAATAGTCCCAATATAAACACTTATTATAGTTATAGCCTATAATAACTTATAGGTGTACCTTAGTGATTTAGGATAAAGCAAAAACACGGTTTGGAAAATGGATTCATGATGTACTCGTTCATTATATAATTCTGAACAAAAAAAAGTTATGGACTGCAGCTTTTATATATATTATTGTGTGTGCGTCTATGTCTATATATATATACATACATAGTGTTGTTGGGAGTAATGCATTACTAAGTGACTAGGTACTGTAATTTAGTTACTTTTCCCTTGAAAAAGTAAAGTAATTTAATTACAATTACTTCTGATGTAATTGCAGTAAATACTAAATAGACTATAGAACCGTTTTATATAAAGCAATAGGGAATTTAACATCAAACTTTCACATCTGATCATGTTAAAATGTGTGTTTTAATGTAACTTTCTCCCTTTAAAGGGTTAGTTCACCCAAAAAAGAAAATTAGTCTAATCTTTTTGAACGTAGAGTGTCAATGGAGGGACAGAAATCTCTCAGATTTCATTAAAAAATCTTTATACAATTTTATATTATTTATCTGAAAAATTAAAAGTGCTGCAGTTTCATGTCTATCCTTGTATTGTTCAACTGCTCAAGGTTGATATGGGATGTTAAGTAATGCAATAACTACATTTTAGAAAGAGTAATTAGAACAGTAATCTACTTACAATGTTGATTAGTAGCTAGTAGTTAAGTTAATTAATTAGGTTTTTAGAGAAACGTATCCAAGTATGTTTGAGTATATGTATATATCCCATTATAATAATTCTTATTACACCACTGAAATGAATCTCCAGGAAACAGGCAGTAACATCACTAGACCATGAAATATACATTTCATATTATTAGTGCAGATATCAGAATTTAACATATTTTTGACTTTGAGAAAGTGTAAATCAGTTGCTTTTATTGTTCGTCAAAAACTGCCGTTATGATAGTGAAAGTAAAACAGCACACCCTACATATCAACTTATTATTTACCATTACGACTGAATTTAACTATAGAATGCCAAGCTTAATATATGGATTAAACAACAGAGGCAGGAATCACTAAATAGACTTTTAAGAGTTTGTGAGAGGATTTCTGCATGAAGTGACCTGTCATGATCGGCGCGTAATGAAGATGAAGACACGGCAGAAAACCCTTCTTACCCTCCGTTGAAAGCATAAGGAGAGAATTTATGCTCCACTGGACCAGAGTAGTGATAATCTTTCATCTTTCCATTATCACCATAAGCTTGAGAAGAAATCATGATGAAGCTCCCTCACAAAAACTCGCTGTATCACCGCAATATGGCCACCGGAAGTTGACAGGTCCTTGTTTCCTGTGCGCTTACGTCACAGAGTTTGTAGCGTAGTCACATGTTAGCTAGCTTATAGCGCCGTCTGCTGGTAGCCTCGATTATTCACAGGCGCTGCTGTGTAATTTGAAGCATATGCCAAATGTTTTCATTATAAATGTTTAGTCAGTTGTTTATAACCGTATACTAATTTACGTATTGATACGTAAAACAAGTTCTCAGTGTCAAGTCAAATATATTGTGTCTATATTTATAGTGTCTTTCATTGCGCTCAAGTTCAAAGGGACAAGAAAAGTAGGCTAGTAGTAACTGGACTGGTTGGTGTGATGAACGGGGTAATTATTAACCCTCTGGGGTCCTTCATTTCAGAGTCACACTCAGGACCTTCGGGTCCAAATGGGCCGGAAGGGTGGGATTAATATTTATTAAAAAAAACCATCTTTTTTTTTTTTTACTTGTTTTTTATAATATTTTTTCTTTTCTTTTTTGGTGTTTTGAGATAATTTCAAAAATAAAAATGATTTATAATTAATATTAATGCAATAATTATGACCCATTTTTTCCCCATTGAATATAATAGAAATTAAAAAAAAAAAAAAAAAAAATTTTTTATTTTTTTTAAAGCTGTATTTCATTTTAGAGTCAAGCCTAGGCCTCATGAAAGCAATTTTTGAAATGAGATGGATGCCATCTGGTGGACAAACTGAGCATTTTAAAAATTCAAAACCCATATGTAATCTGAATTTATTAGTGTGTATGTGTATAAAAGTGTGTTTGTGTGTGTGTGTGTGTGTGTGGATGTGTCTGTTTTGCACTCTTGATGTTTTATAGATTCACCCCTTCACTGTTGTGTGCTTTTTTTCTGGATCGTGGCTGATTTGTAGTTTGTACGCACAAAATAACTCTGTATTTTCACATTTTTGCCAATTTCCCATTCATTTCCTATGCGGGTCCATTTGGACCCGAAGGTCCTGAGTGTGACTATTTTTTTTACAACCACTTAGACTATTCAAATCCTGTCCCCAATTTTTTGGGGTGTTCATATGCCAAGTACCAACAAAGTCACCAAATTTCGGACCATTCCGATAAAGCAATGATTTAAAAAAAATATATATTTAAATGCTTCGGGTCCATTTGGGCCGAAGGACCCCAGAGGGTTAACTAACAAAAGACACACATAACTGCTATCAATATTCATAAAGTAATTAATTAAAACATTTGTTTAGACTTTTGTAACTAATAGGGCTTATATCCGTATATTTTGAGAATTCCCAGTGAAGGAAAAGCCCTAAACGGAGAACCACTTATAAGTAAATAAAGGCTAGCCTACATTGTAAACCTGCACAAAGAAGCAGGTTCTATTGCATTTGAGATTTTTTGTTTCTTAAATAAAAACGCAAATATTACAACGAAAATAAAATTTGTACCTAAATATAATTTTATCTTTTTCACTCAAAAAAAAGAAAGGTAAAAGCTGTCACAGGGCTGGTATCCTTTTAAAAGGTACTAATATCTACCACTTAGGTACTAATATGCACCCTTTATGGGTAAATAAGATACAAAGGTGTACTTTTTTTAAAGAGTTTAGGTGCAGAAATACATCTATATTACTATGTTTTAATAAATGGATGTACAGTATCTGTAATTATTCATGTTTGTTCGGTTGGTTAATAATTGTTTTATAGGTTATTTATGTAAATTTGTTTACTTCAGTCACTCCAGCCTGTTCTGTTCAACGTGTTTAAGTATAATAATAACTTGATTCAAAGGGTCTTTTATTCACGTAAACATTGATCAGCGAACATAACACAGAATATCAACCAAATAGCTTTGACGCTGAAGCTCAAACGTGCTGCATAACAGCAGAATGAACCTCATTGGTTCTCACTTGTCAAGTAGTAGCGTAGCTGTCAATGAGGGACAGAAATCTCTCAGATTTCATTAAAAAGATTGTGAACCGAAGATGAACGAAACGAAATATATATATATAATATATAATATATATAATATAATATATATATATATATATAATATATATTGTTACACCCCGTCTAGGGGAAAAGGGGCAACATGAAAGTCAACGAAAAGCGAGGAATTGGAACAAAAGCTATTTATTTTTCTTAATTTGGGACTTGCGATTCAGGAGCTGACAAAGCCAAAATAACAAACAAAACCCTAACCCAAAAGAAAAGAAAATGAAGATACAATCAATAAACCTATCTCCCTAACCAAAAACAGAGATTAAACGGTTTACAATAAAGAAAATGGCGTCGAGCTCCCTACTTTCCCAAAAATCGATCAGTATTTGGGCATTTCTCAGATTAAGGGCCAAATTGGGTTGCTGCAATTTTGAAAATTAAAATCCCAAATTTGACTAATTGGTATACATCAAATTATCAGTCCTTAAGTCAGGAACAACGTTATGAGCTTGGTTGAGACCATAAGATAAGGGAATTTATGATTTTTTGCCATTTTTTTAACTATGTCAAGTAAATGTGTCATTACCATCACATCATCGAATATATATATAAAAAATAAAACTTAAATGATAAATCAGTGCTTTTAAAACATTTTGTGGTTTCACATGGAATCTATTTTATCTTGAACTTAATGGGATTGTTGATTTTTACTTGTAAGATGAATTATAGTCATTTAAGTATCTACATTTCTGATTCATCAATCTACCCTGGCTTGGAATATAAGCTTATTTTAAGTGGATGCCATATATCAAAACTTTTTTAATACAGTGATAATTTAGACTGTCCAACATTGTCAGATATATATAATTGTAGGATGTTTTTGTGATGTATACATAATTTATTGGCAAAAATATGTATGGTGATGGTGATGACATTGCCGTTCTGGTAATGACAGTTTGTTGCGGTGATGACAAATCACTGATCATAACCTATTGTAATTTAAGAGCCTAAGTGACTTCAGACCAAAAAAAAAAAACACACCAGCTATTAATTGGTTTAAACATCATAGTTTAATCTGATTATGAAAGACCAAACAGGAACTGTGTGTATCTGCCGTCATCACCACCACAACCTGTCATTACCAGCACAAGCTGTAATGTGCTGGTAATGACTGTGCTGGTAATGACATTTTTGTCAAAAAACTAGCCTTGCTAGCAAAGATGATGACTAAGCAAGTGTAGCTAGCTTTCTGCATGTAATGTACACCATTTTAACTATTAAAGTGATAAAAATAATCCAAAAATGTTGAAAAAAACAGAAATACAACACATATGGTAATGACGCATAATAAGTGTACATGCCCAACACAAAAAATAAAGAGTAGATTTACTTAATTTTCTGGACATCAAGGCATCAGTCTTGCAGCTTGAAATCCATGTGCTCCACTATGCTATCAGGTTACCATGGCTACCAAATAAACTTTTGATGAAAAAACAGTTAAAAAGTGCCTTTATGCAGAGCGTGTTGGTAATGACAGCTAAACCATGTGACAGGTAGAAATTAAGCAAAATAAAGTACAAAATGCATATATATGCTTAATCTGTGCATGTAGTTTATTAGTTCAGGTAACATTTAATTCATATGCATATTTTTTTTAATTAATTTGTGATAAATAATGTTTGAGATATGGCACGACATGTGAAAACTCTGGTGGCGGACAACACCAAAACACAGATATTGTACCACAAAACACCAATAAAATGTGTTAAAATCATTAGTAAGAGCAGCCATAAAAAAAAGTCTAGGCTTGTTTTTGTTTATACTAATTAGTGGTGCTAAAATGTATTAGATTTAATTCGTTTTTAATAGAATTACGCCCTGTGGACAGAAATAGGCCCGAATTCTGGGAAATACCCATTTACAGTATATACAGCCAGACAAACAAACTGAAAAGGGCAGTCCAAATCAGTGTCGGTAAACAGGCAAAGGGTCAAATATACCAATGAGGATATTCAGATACAAACAGCTTTCAAAACAAATAAACAAACAGTACTCACAGTCTCAATACTCTTAACAGTCTCAAATCACAAACTTTCTCTTTCAAATCAAACAAACAAACAAAAAGCTACTCAGTCTCAAAACTCTTAACATTCAAATCACAAACTCTCTCTCTGCTCAAAACACAATATCTCCCGACTTCCTGTAAAGGAAGTGATGTCTCTTTTAAAACAAGCTGCACCAATCAGGATCGAGCAGCAATCATCGTGCAGGAACCAATCAGATGGGCGTTCCAATCATCCTGCAGGAACCAATCAGACGACGTTCCTAAACAGACACACTGAGAGACTGACAAAACCAAGGGGGTAATCCATCGACCGGAAGTTGAAGCCGGCCGGGTGCCGCCATCTTGTAGCAGAACTTCACTTGCGTTAGCATTTCCATTGACTCCCATTCATTTTGGCGTCACTTTGACAGCGAATAACTTTACATCTGAGGCGTTTAAAGACTCCATTTGTCCATTATTTATTTCTAAAGAAACACGACAATGTATAAAAGGCTCCATTACTTTGTACCTTATGGCCCCGTAGAAGCCGTTTTTGTAAAAATAGGCTAACGATTGCGTCATAACACGCGACTCTCTGGCGCACACAAGAGAAAATCACCGTATAGACAGAAGTAGAAACTCGCGCGCACTCGGGGGGGACGTGGAGGCATAAAGTCAAGGGAGAAGCCCATAGAGAGTTGTAAAGTTGCTCCTGCTGCGAGCTCATGGACAGCTAATACTCACGATCTCCGGCTCTGCAAGTTTCGGAAGGGAATGATTAGATTCCTCTTGGCACCGCTACTAGAAGAGTAACGTCTGTCAGACAGGTTGCTCACGTCATCAAGCTTAGTTTGAGTCGGTTTGAGTCTGCGCGTCAGGAACGGAAGTGCTCAGAAATCGCCAAAAATGGGCTTCAACTGTCTCAACTGAGTTCCAATGAGATGGCTCCATAGGGTCGTAACACCCCCACACATATGAGTAAACATGGTTACAAGTTTACAAATGACATCTGGACAAAGAGTCTGCAATTACACTGTCAACACCTTTCTTGTACT